GACGCAGTCATGCGTCACAGGCGCGGATCCAGGGGGGGGGGGCCGAGCGGGCCTTGCCCCCCCCCCCCGCAAAAAAAAAAAAAAAAAAGGAGAGAGAGAGAAGGAAAGAAGGGAAAGGGAAAGAGGAGAGAAAGGGAAAAAAGAAGAGGAAAAGAAAAGAAAAGAGGGAAGAAGTAGATGGGGGGGGGAGCAAAAGGACTTGCCTCCCAGGCTGTTGCCCCCCCCCCCCCAATCAACAAATAAAAGAGAAGGAAGGAAAGGGAAAGAAAAAAGGAAAAGAGGAGATACAAGAAAGGAAAAAAGAGGAAGAAGAAAAGAAAAAAAAGAGGATAACGACACAACAAATCGTCTTCTTTCTCTAATGATTTAATGAAACGTAAGCTTCCGCTTAGCGCGGGAGGGGGGAAACTCAATTCAGACGAGGTCTATTTTTTGGGAACGGTACAACATATCGTCTTCTTTCTCTAATAATTTATTGAAATGTCAAAGCTTCCGCGTTTCGCGGAGGAGGGAGGGGGAAACTCGCCCCTCCATGCACCCGCCCACCCCCAATTACGTCACTGCTGGTCACCATTACGAACCAATATTTGGCTCGCATAATTTCAAATTTTGCCCCCCCCCCCCTAAGAAATCCTGGATCCGCGCCTGATGTATATACAACGGCAACAGTTTCAATATAAAATGTAAGTTCTTCTTACTTAAATCATTGGTCTGGAAACAATTATTTGCCCATTGTTGTGTATTGTATTACATTTTCACTGACAATGAATTCACATTGTAATGCAATTTTCAAGTTTCCCAGGCTTATTTAGGAGAACAGAAGATTGATATTGTTTAGTTGTACGATAACATCACTCAGTTTGATTTAATTTGTTGGAGATATATCTCATTAAAAACAGAGTAAAGGCTATACAGTTTCAAAAAACCTACACCATTAAACTTCAAGCTCACTCACACATGATTTATTGCGACACTTTCAAGGCTACTTATTATTTCAAGTTCATGTATATACAAAGGGCAACAGCTTCAATATTAAACGTAATTAAATCAATGGTCTGGAAAATGTTAATGCCCATTGTTGTATATTATACAACATTTTCCATAACGATGAATATACATTGTATGATGCAATTTTCAGGAAAACCATACTTGTCATTACTGTTATATTTGTTATATGATACTAAAGCAAATCGTTTCGCTTATCGATAAGATAAATCAATGTGAAGTACGTGTCAAATAATGAAATCATTACGTGCTATTTTTAACCGGACTAGACATTTGAAACGTATAAAAAATGTATACACTATTGACAGCAAGCAAGTTTTTTAAACAAAGAATTCAGAAATTGAACAACATTACACATTTTAGTCTACACGGCATGCTCTACACCCTCAGTTGGACTGTAAACAGTTGTCTTCTTAAGACACCACTTTCGTAAGGTTGACACATCAATATATATTGTGCACACATGTAACAATGTGATAATATTTTTTCTTGGGGGGGGGAGGGACGGGAGGAGGGCAATCCAAAAAGGGACTGATATGTGAACATTAATATTGATAGGTCGCTTCACAAAAGGGGCATACATAGTCCTTTTTGTGGATAGTTTTTTGAGCAAAACACAAAATAGGTGGAAGGACGGGGTACACGTCTTCCTTCAATTTTCTGAGGGGGGTCGTCCCCCATGGATAATTTGAAAAAGTGCACACCAACAAAATGTATAGCAAATACTGACTAAAGACTGCAACACGCTTTAAGTCTCTGGTGGGCCCAAGAGTACAGCATTTAGACTAATAGAAATGCTAAAATCTTCTCGCTCGGTCGCTACGCTCCTTCGCATAATATCCTAAAAATATACAAGTAAATATTGAAGAAAATATGTATTCTGTTGGTATCACGTATGTACAAATTACACTGTATGTTAACAAGATTAAAAGTTATAGAAATAGATCAGTGTTCCAAAAATGAATATTCAGCTTGCTCTTTTAAGAAGTCCCTTCCTGCTCAGTCAAACTAAAATTTATCTAGTAAATATTTACAAACCTTCGGACTGCACACTAAATATCGGTAAAGTAAAAGTGAAGCGTGAAAAAAGTATATTGCTTGTTTTTATGCTGTAGTTTTGCTAAAGAATGTAATTTTGTAACACAACAAAACTTCAAAAACCTGTGAGGGGTTTACATATAAGAATTATCATACAGCTTTATGGGGGTAGTCCCTTCCGTCACCTCCGCCTCTTTCACTGGCGTACTGATTGGGGGGGCGCAGTAATCCCCCCCCCCAATACAATTTAAACATGGGTTATTTTTAATTTGATACCAGTGATTTACAAGTATTACTAAAATGGCAGTATTTTTCCATGAGCTCCCGGGGGCTCTACCCCCTGGAACCCACCAAGGGCCCTAAGGCGGGCCCTGTTTGCTCATCTGGCCGTAATTAAATGCCTAAAGTCCTTGAGCTTTCGGGGGCTCTGCCCTCTGGACTCAACCAAGGGGCCTAAGGCGGGTCCCTAGATGCGTAATTTGGTGCCTAAAAGCCCTTCCGTTATGTATTTCTTATGTATTTCGTTGTCTTTCTTTCTCCATATCCTCTGCACTCTCCTTATGTATTTTTTGTTTTCCCTTTTCTATTACCTTCTCTTCCCTGGGTATACGTGCTTGCACATGAACTATATATGGCTAAACAGTTTTGTAAAAAAAAATATGCGCGAACGGTCAAGGAGTAAGAAGAAGGCAGAAAGAGAACAAAGACGGCATCCATGGAAGCCATGTGAGAGTGTCCACTTTTTTCGCTTTTACTTTCACCCTTGCATTTTTTCCTGAATCAGAGTTTTCTCACACCTTGTAGACTCGTGCAGGTTATGATCTTGTGTGTGTGTGTGTGTGTGTGTGTGCGTGCGTGCGTGTGTTTGTGTGTGTTCGTGTAACGAAATAACGTATACAATAGCTTGGCAATTCTCATGGTTATGAGATACAATGTGAAAGGAAATGAGAGAATAATGGTCGCGTAGCTTAAATCAAAGTTCCCCAATGCAGTCCTCTCTTTTTGGATATTTTTGCATTTTGTTTTTGTAAGAGTTGTAGCGCCAGAAGAAAGAAAAGGAAGAAGAAAAGAAACGGGTGAAGAAGGAGATGGGGGGGGGGGAGGCGAAAGGGCCTTGCCTCCCAGGCTGTTGCACCCCCCCCCCCCCCATCCAATAAAAAAAAGAGAGAGAAGGAAGGAAAGGGAAAGGGTAAGAGGAGATAAAGGGAAGGAAAAAGAAGAAAAAAAAAGAAAGGGGATATCATTTGCAATTTTCCCGCCGGTGGATCGAGGAGGGGCAAAAGGCCCTTACCTCCCCCCGCCCCCGCTATAACAAAGAGAGAAAGAAGGAAAAGGGAAAGAGGAGAGCTAAAAGGGAACAAAAAAGAGGAAGAAGAAAAGAAAAGGGTGAAAAGAACGGGAGATCAGTTCCGGTTAATCCCGCCAACAACGTGTGGATCGGGGTGGGGACCGAAAGGCCCTTGCCCCCCCCCCCCCTCGGCAAACCTTAAGGAGGAGAGAAAGGGAAAGAAGAAAAAAGAGAAAGAAGAAAAGGGGGGCACTGGCGTACTGATAGGGGGGGGGGCTTGGGGGAATTCAAATTCAAACGTGGTTTATTTCTAATTCCATAACGGTGGCTTACAAATAATGCTAAATTCTTTCCGAGATTTTTCCTCAGTTTTTAGTAAATTATACTTTTGTATGCGTTTGTTGGAAAATGACAAATTCCTAAATTTACAGCCAGGCAAGAAATATGATTCTTGAGAAAAGTTAGGACCCGGGGATCGGCTGGAATCGCAAACCTCGAGCTCCCCCCCCCCCCTCCACTTTTTTTTGAAAAGGTATAGTAAAGAGAAATAGAAATAAAGAGAGCAAGAAAGAAAGAATAGTTAACTAGCTGCTCATCTGACCGAAATTAAACGCCTAAAAACCCCTGAGCTTCCGGGGTTCCGTCCCTTGCACCCCGCCTAGGGCCCTAGACTCCCCTGGATGCTAATCTGACGGAAATGTAATGCCTAAAACCCCTGTTTTCTGGGGGCTTCGCCCGCTGGACCTCACGCCAATTAGTGTCCTGCCAGTGTCACAAATAAGGTATAAAAATATGTTCATCTGACCGTAATCAAATGCCTAAAACCCCTGAGCTTCTCGGGTCGGACAATTTATCAAAATTTGTTTACCTAAAAAATAGAGAGGAGAGGAAAGGAAGAGGACGTAGGGAGAAAAAGGAGCAGACAAAAAACATCTTTGAAATTCAGACAAGAATTAAGAGTATAGAGAACGGTACAACGAATCGTCTTCTATCTCTAATAATTTAATGAATCGTCAAAGCGTCCGCGCTTCGCGGAGGGGGGTGGACTGAATTAAGACAAGGATTAAGAGTATAGAGAACGGTACAACGAATCGTCTTCTATCTCTAATAATTTAATGAAACGTCCAAGCTTCCGCGCTTCGCGGAGGGGGGGGGGCTGAATTAAGACAAGGATTAAGAGTCGAGAACGATACAACGAATCGTTTTCTTTCGTCAATGAGTTAATGAAACGTCCAAGCTTCCGCGCTTCGCGGAGGGGGGGGGGGCTGAATTAAGACAAGGATTAAGAGTCGAGAACGATACAACGAATCGTTTTCTTTCGTCGATGATTTAATGAAACGTAAAAGCTTCGGCACTTCGCGCGAGACGGGGGGGGGGGGGGGGGGGGGGCTGAATTAAGACAAGGATTAAGAGTCGAGAACGGTACAACGAATCGTTTTCTTTCGTTAATGATTTAATGAAACGTCAAAGCTTCCGCGCTGCGCGGAGGGGGGGGGGTTAATTAAGAGAAGGATTAAGAGTCGAGAACGGTACAACGAATTGTCTTCTTTCTCTAATACTTTAATGAAACGTCATATATAGCTTCCGCGCTTTGCAGAGGAGGGAGGGGGAAACTCGCCCCTCCCTACATCCCTCTGCATTACGTCACTGCTGGTCACCATAACGTACCAATATTTGGCTCGCATAATTTCAAAATTGGGCCCCCCCCCCTAAGAAATCCTGGATCCGCGCCTGATGCGTCAGGCAAATAACGAATCGTGTGCAAAAGTTTGTTTCCTCAGTCTTCGGAGTGATTTTTATCATTATTTCGAAAATAATCAATATCAGTAAACAAATATCAGTTGCTGTACTTATTGTCGGGTCTTTTTTGAGCATCGACAGAGTTCAATTCATCATGCAGACGCTTTTCGTTGCTGTACTCCGCTACCATCTCGGTTACAAATTTGTCCCACTTTGCCTGCCATAGCGCCATCGCTGTGGTCTGCTCTGCTTTGGCCATTGCGCTGTATCTGCAGATGAAGGAACAAAATGGAATCAATTTTTCATGATATCAACTTATTTGTTGTTTTCATAGGTTTTTATTCTCTTCTCTCATAAAGAAAATTGTACATAATTTATAATATTGTATACAAAATTACAAAATAATCTTCACATAGGCTAGCTGTTTGCGAACATCTTTGCCATTCGTATAGAAAAGAAATCATGTTTCATTTACATCATGGTTTTATGGACAAACTTTGAGAAAAGTGCGCTGGCCTGGTGTCAACTAGAAAAGGAACTCTGATTCTATATACTTGATCATGTTTAAAGCTAGCTGTTTGCGAACATCTTTGCCATTTGTATAGAAAAGAAATCATGTTTCATTTACATTATAGTTTTATAGACAAACTTTGAGAAAAGTGCGTTGGCCTGGTGTCATCTAGAAAAGGAACACTGATTCTATATACTTGATCATGTTTAAAGCTAGCTGTTTGAGAACATCTTTGCCATTTGTATAGAAAAGAAATCAGGTTTCATTTACATTATGGTTTTATGGACAAGCTTTGAGAAAAGTGCGTTGGCCTGGTGTCATCTAGGAAAGGAACTCTGATTCTACTTGATCATGTTTAGAGCTAGCTGTTTGCGAACATCTTTGCCATTTGTATAGAAAAGAAATCATGTTTCATTTACATTATGGTTTTATAGACAAACTTTGAGAAAAGTGCGTTGGCCTGGTGTCATCTAGAAAAGGAACACTGATTCCCTATACTTGATCATGTTTAAAGCTAGCTGTTTGAGAACATCTTTGCCATTTGTATAGAAAAGAAATCAGGTTTCATTTACATTATGGTTTTATGGACAAGCTTTGAGAAAAGTGCGTTGGCCTGGTGTCATCTAGGAAAGAAACTCTGATTCTACTTGGTGGCGTTTAAAGCTATAGCTGATTGAGAAAAGTTGATATGATGTAGTCTAAAATAGAAATATTGAATGGTGTTCAAAGCTAGCTGTTTGATGAACGTAAGCTTGATGTAGTCTAGGAAATAAGACCGGTTTGTTTATTTATTTATTTTATTTTATTTTTTTATTATTTTATTTAGTTGCTTTAAAAACACCAACACGTAAAGTTAAGGAACTTATAATGTTTCATTTACAATGAAATTAAATGGTGTAGACAAAATTGAACCAAAATATATACACTCGGGACAAACATTTTGTTTTTAAGCACATGAAAATATGGTAACAATACAATATTCAACGAGTATAGCCAGTCTGGCTACATGTAGCAAGACCAAAGCGAGAGATGACGAGCAAATCGAGAAGGAGTGAGAGAAAGAGAGGAACTGAAAATATTCATTTACTTGATGGTGTTCAACGCCAGCTGTTTGAGGAGCTTCAATCCCGTGGTCTCTCCCGCCATGCCCATGAAAGCCATGTAGAAGTCGTGTGACAGGGGCAAGGCCTCCCACGCTCCAGGGTCATCGGAGCTGATGATCACCGGGTAGTCGTCGGCGATCAGGCTTGCGCCCACGTGGTCTCGGATGTCGTGCACCAGATGGAGGACCTGAGAAGTGAGAAGTGAGAAGTGAGAAGTGAGAAGTAAGACGAACTTTAAATCCCCACTGCACTACTTATAGCTACTTGCACCCTCTATATAGCAAACAATACATAATCGATGACCCTTGGTCCTCCATTACCCTCTCTTTCTTATGTTAATTGAGACCTGATTTAATGAGATAACCAACTGTCAGTGACCATGCAGGGAGGTCTAATCCCTCCCGGTCAAATTTACTAATGCAGTGGGGCTTTAATTGCAGTGATAATAAGGGCCAATAATTACAGCTCTCCGAATTAAAACCTCAAAATTGCATGTAAATCTTTTTTTAAAGTAATAGTTGTGTAGCTATAAAGGGTACAAAGAGGCACGTACCACACCCACTATTTTCGGAAGAAATTAAAGAGATCTCGCAAAACAAATGAGAGGGGGAATCGAGGAATTTTGAAAGTCCATGATATACGACGCCCTCCCCTGGGAAGAGTCTACATGATTTAATAATCATATCCCATCCTAAACTAAACAGTGTTCATTCAGCTTTCCCTTGAACAGATATGAAAATGTGATCGGATGAGGTCTTTAATATTTGGACCCGGCCTTGCTACGCGTTACTGAATGTCGACAATCTAGAATATTGAAAGTGAAATATATTTCACAATATAGAATATTGAATTAAAGCAAATACTATTATTCCAAACCTGATTAGATATCGGGTTGATCTCAATCGCGACGCCTTTTGATTTGATCGTTTCCATGACAACAGGATGTTTACCGATTGCGTAACCATGCCCGATACGAGAGGTGTTGAGAAGGACTGCATCAATGAGATTCTTATCCACAAACTCTCCTTCCCAATCTATGAAAAAACATGTTGATAATATTTTGTAATACGCGTTAGGCCTAGGTGGAAAAATGATAGCCGTTCATCTTCTTAAATTCCCACATAGATATAACTACATAGACAGAGACGAATCTGTTTAACTCGGCAGATAATTAATTGTTCTGTCATTTCTCTTTCTTCTGTTCTTTTCATTATAATGTAAGGGGAAGGGAACATCCATTCCCAGCTGCAATGGTGCGAGAAGCTCAATGATATAATCTTATCATATCGATCCTGCTGATATATATATATATATATATATATATATGGATATATATGTATTCGTGTCTATGCGTGTATGTATGTGCGTGGTGTTTGCGCCAGCGTGTGCCTATACACATATGCATAAATGAATGTACACACACAGTATTTTTCACTAAGTGTGGGTTGCGGGGATGTGGGTGTGTTTAACGGGTGCGAACATTCGTCTGCCAGCTCCAATGTCATTTGTGTATGGATAATTACCTGTTTCGCCAGCATGAAAAAAGTAAGGAAGATCCATTCCCAGCTTTGTCGGGATGAGCAGCTCATCGATATAATCGATCAGAGGTCCTCCACTATCTTCTTCTCCTACAAGGTCATACCCTGCAAAGAATTCTGGGTACTTCTTTCGGAAATCCATTCCTAAATAAACCTGATCTCTTACGAGCGTTTTGTTGAGAGGATATCTGAAAAACATTGATAGAATATTCTTATTATCTTTTTGGTTGTTTGCCTCTTCACGTTATGTCTTTTTGTACGAAATAATCCCATCTTAAAATGGTCATACAAAAACATCCTCTTAACATTGTCAAAATCCTAACTACATTACACCTAAAACATTGCAATATCTCAAACTTGACCCTAAACCTAACCTTTGGAATCCAGTTGCAACCATATTCCTAAATCTATATCTTGACAACGTACATAAAGCCCGGAGCTATTGTGGACGGAGCAAATGTTGGAACATCTTTAAATTTAATGGGAGGGAGGCTGCTTGAATATTTTGTTTGCCTTTCCCTCCCCCCCCCCCCCCACTTTCCTTAGTTTCACAAATTCAGTTATGAATCTATTTTTTTTAATACATATTACAGCTACTGCTCCTCTAAGTTGAACAACTATCATCGGTGTTGTGGCCGATGATTAATGTAGTATTTATATCAAGATCGAGACTGGACTTCCTTCCTACATCACTGACTAGTCACAGAGAATAAGATTACAATTTCATCAATAAAATTAGGAACCATATCACATATTTCTTTTCTGCTGACGGACGTTTGTGTGTGTTTTGAATAATTATTTAACACGACCGCTAATATTTTTAAAATAAAAAGTTTGGGCAATTTCCACATCCTTGTGCTGTGTAAATGTACAAGAATGACTATAAAAAATGTAATATATATATATATATATATATATATATATATATATATATATGTATATATAGTCCAAACACGATTTTCTACAGGCAGTGCATTGAGGTTTTACTGGGCCCCAGAACTTCTCGAAAGTCTTTGCGATCGTGTACAAATAGTGTTGTAATTAAAGGCCTAACACTTACCTGAGTGATGATGAAATGATTTTGCCTCCCACAAAGTCATTTGGGTATTGGTCGGTGAAGTCCTTTAATACTCTGATATACTCCTGAAGAGTGTGTTCTTGAGAGCTTTTCGTACCGTTAAGATATTGGAGCTGGAAAAGATAGAAGTATGTGGACCTATTTTACTAATATTTTTAATAGACCATTTTCGTAATATATCCAAATTTTTACTTGCGTGCCTCGAGACGAAATTATTTCATTCACCTGTTACGAATAATTATATATATTTCAATGCAAATTGCATATCTAACGTGTTGATAGGTTGGGCAAGCCATAATGTTTGTCCAACCTAGCTACAACTAATGTATGAAATTCAAATTATTTGTTCGTAACAGGTGAATGACATAATTCCGTATCGAGGCGCTTCATATAAGGGCATAAGTATAATTGTAGTTACGAGTTTTTTTTAATGGCCTATTTAAGCAAGTATGTCTTCAGAACCCCTGGTTACCAGGCATTTGATTCACTGGATATGTGGTATCTCTATCGATGGAATTTACTTTGCATGCATCATTTGTTGCTATTCCGGGTCCATCCCATAGAAAGCCATTTAGTTATCAAGAGAATTATCAAGAGAACATTTGGTTCAAATTGTACGCAGACAATGGGTATAAACAAGTACTTTATACCCTACGACCCGTTAAAATCTACTTTATCATGGGTTCCTTATATTAAGAGCATACAAATATTTTCTTGAATATAAAAGGTTAATATCATGTCGCCGAGATCAGACTTTTGTGTTTTTGTTTTTTACTTTTATGGTTTTTGTTGTTGTTATAATCATACACTGTCCCCCCCCCCCCCCCCCCCAATGCTTGTAATTAACTTCATCCCAAGGGGTGATTGGGGTGGGTAATTTGAGTGAAGCGTATTACCGGGTTGGTGGTTGGATGGGTGGTTTAATTTGGATGGTCGATTTGGGTGGGTGATTTGGGTGGGTGATTTGGGTGGGTGATTTGGGTGGTTTAATTTGGATGGTCGATTCGGGTGGGTTATTGGGTGTGTGATTGGGGTGGGTGATTGGGATGGGTTATTGGGGTGGGTGATTGGGGTGGGTGATTGGGGTGGGTGATGGGGGTGGGTAATTGGGTTGGGTGATTGAGGTGGGTGATGGGGTGGGTGATTGGGGTGGGTGATGGGGGTGGGTGATGGGGTGGGTGATGGGGTGGGTGATTGGGGTGGTTGATTGAGGTGGGTGTTTGGGGTGGGTGATTGGGTGGGTGATTGGGGTGGGTGGGTGATGGGGGTGTGTGATTGGGGTGGGTGATTGAGGTGGGTGTTTGGGGTGGTTGATTGGGTGGGTTGGTGATGGGTGTGGGTGATGGGGTGGGTGTTGGGGTGGGTTATTGGGGTGGGTGATTGGGGTGGGTTATTGGGGTGGGTGATTGGGTGGGTGATTAGGGTTGGTGATTTGGGGTGGTTGATTGGGTGGGTTGGTGATGGGGGTGGGTGATGGGGTGGGTGTTGGGGTGGGTTATTGGGGTGGGTGATTGGGGTGGGTTATTGGGGTGGGTGATTGGGGTGGGTGATTAGGGTTGGTGATTTGGGTTGGTGGGTGATTGGGTGGGTGATTGGGGTGGGTGATTGGGTGGGTGTTGAGGTGGGTGATTGGGACGGGTGATTGGGGTGGGTGGGTGATTGGGGTGGGGGATCGGAGTGGGTGGATAATTGGGATGGGTGGGTAATTGGGATGGGTGGGTAATTGGGGTGGGTGGGTGATTTGGTGGGTAATTGGTGGGTGATTTGGCTGGGTGATTGGGGTGGGTGATTGGGGTGGGTGGGTGGTTTGTGTGGATGGGTGATTTGGGTAGCTCGGTGATTTGGATGGGTGATATGGGTGGGTGATTTGGGTGGGTTATTTGGGTGGGTTGGTGGGTAATTTGTTTGGGTGGGTGATTTGGGTGGGTGGGTGATTGTGGTGGGTGATTTGGGTGAGTGGGTAATTTGGGAGGGTGATTTGGGTGGGGGTTGGGGTGGGTGATTGGGGTGTATGATTCGGCTGGGTGGGTGATTCGGGTGGGGGATTTGGATAGGTAAATGTGATTATGCTCGTTGAAAGCATGCCTTCATATATTAATTACCCTCGTCGGGAGGATTTGCATTTTTTTGGGGGGGGGGGGGAATACCCCGTATTTATGCTAATAGTTATGCACTTAATGTTAAATCACCTTTTTAAAAGGCACAGGAGTGACCACTTTTTTCAAAAAGTCGGATTAACAATTTTAACATTCTAATTTCAACTTTTAAAATGTTGGATCCAGCATGTTCAAAGTGTTCATCTACCGCTTAAAAAAGAAAGAAACCAGTGGTCATTCGATCACCGATATTCTTAAATGATGATTTTGAGATTTGACGTTTTTAGAGTGAAGCGTATTACCGGCTTTAAGAGCGTTCGTATCTCGACGTACTGAACATTGTCCTGTACCATCCGTTCAAGGCTGTGCCACATGAACAGTCTGAACGCCGAGGTCGTGAAGAACAGATCTGTCAAGGGGCTAAGAGCGAGGGCAAATCTCATCCAGGACATCGTAATGTTTGGGTAGGCCACGTCAGGATTTTGAGCAGCCATGGTGATGTTATGATGTAATCTGCAATAAACAGTTATAATAATCCACGATAACAGCTACATTTTTTAAAATAATAATAATAATGATAATACTGGATTCTTTAATGCAGTCACTAGAAGCACGTATCGACCATGCAAAGTCTTCAGGGCGCTCCAATATTACCCGGCTATGCTAGGCTGCCGATTTCGACACACAGCATTTTAAGGAATTCTTTCCTACCGGTACCCATTTAACCCCCAACCCCCACCCCCCCCCCTCCCACCCACCCAACACCCACACACACACACACTCCGATATGCCTAACCTTCAAATTGCCTTTACTGGACACTGCTAGTACAAAATGGGCTTTTGGGTTTGATTTTTGTCATATCAAAATGTTAATATTTTGTTATAATCCTGAAGATAAATTATGTATTTAAATTGAAAGAAGATAATAAGAAAATAGATAATGACTATTTTTTAAGCAAAGAAGTTCACGAGTCATCTTCTGAAAATTCAATTATTAAAAACATTCTTTACGATGTGAGGCCTCCATCCATGACTCACATTTGGTCGAAAATGTCGGCACCCATCTGCGCACGCGCACTGGCCACGGACACCCAATCTGTTACGCAATCCGGCGGGCTCTGCGTGAGGGGCGTGGTCGAGAAGTTGAATCGGAGAGATGAATAGTAGTCGTTTTTGACACAGTAGAATAGATGGGGGAGGTACGTAATGTTCTTCACGACCCAGCTGGCATTGGCCATGGATACCTCGTGGATGTGGAGAATACCCCCTTAAATATTAAACAAAATTTGTATTAAAAATCAGTACATGCATTAAAAAAATACGGCCCATTACTTTATTTCTCCGGTCTTATTTTGATTTATCCTTCTCCCCATCTCTCTCTCTCTCTCTCTCTCTTACTCTCTTTTTCTCTCTTATTCTCTCTCTCTCTCTATCCCTCTCTCCCTTTCTACCTCTCTTCAAACTACTTTCAAACTATTTTCTCTTCCAATGCTCATTCTTTCCCCTAATACCTTTCCTGAGTCCTATCTCTAATCTTGCATCTAAGGCGCCCCCATCTATATTTGAAGGAGCTAAATCCACTTTTGATGAAAATTGAGTTATTGATATCAGAACATTGTTCACTTAAGTACCTGTCTTTCAACAAAACTATTTACCTAAATAATTGTGGAAGCAATTATGAACAGATGCTTGCCCTTTTGATATCACTTTTCCATAGACGCCTGTACAAAGTCTGGTGAACAAGTTCTTTTTTCTCTGAAGTTACAAAAATGGATTTAGCTCCTTTTGGAATTAAACTCTTTATTTGTCTCTCTCACTTCGTTCATTTCCTACAGATCACAATCGATGGCATTGTATTGGATATCCTAATTTTTATCGAGAAAACTTTATTTTTGTCCATGAAGACGAGTGCCTTTGAACCATACGGCTTGCTGTGGCGTTCCATAATAAGTAAAACAATAACAATATTGTTTGTTTGACATAGATTTAGGCCTATATATTTATAACATCATTTGAATTATCCTAAGGCATGTGAAATTTCATTTTTTGATCACCAACAATTATAAGCTAATTTAATGTGGACTAAAATTAAGAAACCATGGGTATTTTATAAAAATAAAAATTCTAAAAATAGTTTATCCGTCAATTAATCGCGATCTGCATAGATTTTCTATAAGACGGAGAGGACAATACCAGGACAATATGACTCAAAGATCAATGATGCAGAACTTGTAGGCCTACCGTTAACGGAGGACATTCATTTTCCTCCAAAAAGGGTATCGTAACCGACTCACCTTTCGGCATTCGTTTGATGATCTGAAAGACTGTGCTGTTTTCAACCAACGGTTTGCCCTTCAGAAAGTTCACGGCGGGAGGAAACGTGCGCTTAAAGCCTCGAGAAAACTCCCTCTCCTTCGCTTTCAGTAAAATCTCGTTCACTTTCTGCTCTTTCTCGTTGAGTACGAGACTTGAGCCAATAACGAGATTGGCTTCATCAGCCAAGAACTCCTTGCGCTTTCCCATGTAGGTTGAGTTGGATTCGCGGTACGTAGGATAGCAATGTGCAGTCGCTGCTAAACATAGCAACATTATAAACAGCATTTCGCCTTTCATGGTGATGAGGATGATTCTAATATAAAGAACAAACGAAATTCACACTTATTACTATTTAGACCTAATGTATATATCATAACATGCCTCGTTCTGTTTCTTCTCCTCCCCCCCCCCCCCCCCCCTCTCTCTCTCTCTCTCTCTCTCTCTTTCTTGTTTAATTAAACCGGTGACGCATAAAACATTGTAATTATGACTGTATTTGTTCTACTATTATTCGAGTTAAATCTATTTTTTCTGTACTTTGTAAAGCGCTAAGAGATGTCTAATGTTAAGCGCTATATAGATTTATTAGTATTACTGTTATAACAGTGTTCATCTTTTGGTATGATGAGCTCATTAATGACGATGATAGGGCATATTTGTCACTCAACCAACATGAATAACGTAATTTCCATTAGAAAAAAACAGACACTACTTTTCTTTAAGAATGGGGCGAGTGTACCCCCCCCCCCCATCCCACCCCTCTTCATGATTAAAGGCCTGCCGGAATAGATACAAGGGGTTGTTCAGGTATATTTTGCGCCCGGGCCCCCCCCCCCCCACTCAGTGTTATTTAGGGTACGCATATGCGTGTTCCAACCGACCCCCCCCCCCCCCTTTCAGCAAAAGTCCGGTGTGTAAAGTCAATACGGGTCGACCTTTTTCTTTTGTAACGAAAAGGACATTTTGGCAACACGCATGGGGTCCGTCCGTTCTCGGAGTGGGGGGGGGGGGCGGGATTTTGCGTCTCCTCTGGATGTGATGCCGTGTCCGTCTTTATTCAATTCTGAATTTGCCGATATGGGGCCCCGTTGCACAAAACTTATCATTGATGATAACTTTGCCATCAATGGCAACTACCATGGAAACCTTGATTTTGATTGGCTGTTGAGCCTTGATACCATGGTAGTTGCCATTGATTGCAAAGTTACCATCAATGATAAGTTTAATGCAACAGGGCCCTGAATTTCGTTATCATATCCGTCCATTGTTTCAAAAGACTAGATCTATATATTACGTTTTAAAGGTAAAGACCAGTTCTGGTCATGTGATTGCATTGTGAAAGAAACGGTGTGGAATCTATCAGAAAAGGTTGATCATTCTAGTATATAAGTATTCGAGTGTATTGCAAGGTTCTTGAATCATCAAAATGATAAGAAATTTGGCCAAATCTTGGCAAAGTTACAAGCACTGTACACAGAATGATGTATATGAGACTACACGAGCACATGGCGAAAAAACCTACCCCCGATTTTTACGATGTTTCATGTCATATTTAGAATATGATGGCATTTGAAGAGCCATGCTTTTCAGGGAACATGTTTAATCTGATGTTCTTCCACCCTTGCATAATAACAATGATAACGCTCACAAATTATTTTTTACCTCTTCCCAGAACTCAACCTTCTCTTTAAGCCTGCGAGATTGTGGTGTAGGCCCTATGGAAAATTCACGCTATTTGTCAGAATGCCTGTCTATATGATCCTAGGAAATCAATAATTCTCTTATTACATTAAGTCTTAAAGGATGTGACTCTTTCACTTTCAATTTTCACCCATTAACTAATTTTTGCATGTAATACGAGTCATTATGTTACAGGCTTAATGACATATGGTCTGGCAACATGTCCTATGAATGGTAACTGATTGCAATATATCATTTTCGAAATTTAACCAAATTTAATGCATACGTCTTTGAAAAGTACCTCGATACAAATATTTTGTTTAATTGTAATAAATAACTGTACTTCAATAGTGAGATTGAAAAATGCATATAATACGTGTTGGTAGGTAAGGAAAGTCATAATGTTTGCTCTACCTGGCAACAACCTATTAATGCAGATCGCATTCTCACTATTGAAATACAATTATTCGTAATACTATCGACTCAGAGGCACATTGCAAAGACGTATGCATTCAATTTGGTTACATTACAAAAATGATGTATTAAAAGGTCCTGTGCATATGCACTGAACTCTGTGTTATAATTAGATGCAGACATGTGAAGGTTTTACCTTTTACGTCATCATAACAATTATTTAAAACGTCACGGTCACTTACGTCGTTTAACGAAGAATACTAATTATGTACACAAGTGATATAATAAACAGTGACACGTCACCATGAATTACTGACGCATGAGCTATTTCAATTAACTGGACTAATTAGCGCAGGTAATGACGCAATCGCAATCAAAATGACGCCTCATATCCAATAGACCAAAGGTGTCGTTGTCTAGTGGATATGCCTCTAAAATGTGAATATAACTAGGTTCGCGGTTCGAGTCCCGCTGCGTAGTGGAGAATGTGCATACCTCGTGTGCGGGTAAGCATGAATCCGATAACCGGGGTAGTAATATATATCTGTACAGCACATTGAGAGGGCATGCGGTCCTGAAATGCGCCACTATAAGGACGAACTATTATAATTATTATATTATAAAAAAATTATTGATTGCTTGAGCACCTTATCATGGTAAAAATTATGGTAGCTCAGCTAAAGCCAGGGATTGCAGAGCTCTCGGGGATAACAGTTTTAACACTGAGGAGGCTACCCTGGAAAGAAAAAAAAATGTTATTATTATCATTTCAACCCAGGCATTACTTGAACATTTTTCAGAAACATATTGTCGGTACACAAACAAAATACTCCTCCAGTCTTTGAAAGAGGGGGACACTAGTCTTTTTTTTTTCAGCACTAGAAAAGTATAAGCTTTTCATGTTTTGCCGATATGGGAAAGAACCTATAGATTCCTGCAAAGTGAGGCGTTCAAAATATGGAATTTGGAACGACTTAGCACTTCGACAGTGCTCCGAATGTACTTTGATCACATTATCATTTATATTCAATGCCTTATTCACGGTGTGTACTGTGAAAGTTCGACTGTATTAAACACGCGTTTCAAAGGGACGTTGATGAACATGCACTTAGATATAAAGGTTTCTTGAAACGCTACCCGCGTCTTTTGGCCATAGCAACGGAATCCTCAAATTATCAGTTTGTAAAAACACAGGAGCGGGTCCGAGGGGTATGGGAGGCACACGCCCTCCTTTGTTCATTCCGAAAACAATTGGAGGAAAAAAGCTAAGAAATGTTAGTCACATAAATGTTCAGTTGACGCATTGATAAATGCCTCAGAATGTACCATAGAGCATCTCATAAGGTTTTAAAAATGTTAAGGGCTCCGGACGCCACGCTGTCAAGGATCCGCTCATTTCACCCCCCCCCCCCCCCATTTGGAAAATCCTGGATCCGCCCCTGAAACGAAACGAAATTTTAAGTAAAATATTAACCATGCTAACACTTTCAACACAAGGAATAATGGGTACTTAAATTCTAAAGGACAGGCTCGTGTCGGATGCGTTTTTTTATTTCAATATCACTGTATTAACTATACAACAAAGTTATTAATAGCACATACACTTGTATAGATACTAATAAAGTAAATAAAAGTAGAAAGGAAAAAGGCCCAGGTTATGTACTATTAACAATTAATGCAGGGCTATAATGCTTCATATTATTCATAATGTAATACGTGATGCGATAATGTACACAAATATCATGGACACGTTTTCACATGTCTGGATGGGGTCGCAAGGGCGTTTAACCCGTTGACTATTGAATGTATTCATTGCCATAGGCTTTATACAAGGGCCACCCGGTTACGGTAGGCAATGGGCTAATACAATGTCAAAGTAAGATGAATCAATGCCATCGTGGCTCCAAATAGACCAGGGCGGTGTTCCACAAAGATCCTAAGTAGAACTTATCTCTAAGTTGGACTTAAAAATTATGGAAAGCCGTTAGCGACTTTGAAAATATTTTGTAAAAGTTATTTTGAAAGGCATAAAATGTTGATTCAAATCATTCATATTTTCTATCATCAAGGAGGTTTCATGTTCTGGATGTGGAATTATAAAAAGTCTAAAATACTTGAATTTCTGCTTTTGAATATATTTCATTTTAAGACTCCAATGGCTGTCCATAATTTCTAAGTCAAACTTAGAGTTAAGTTCTACTTAGGATCTTTGTGAAACACCCCCATGTTACATAAATTCGAAATGGAGATATAGAATTTCGAAACAATATATTATGTGCCCGATGTAGATGTAACATCATCATCATCATCATAATCATCATCATCATCATCATCATCATCATCATCATCATCATACGAGGAGAGGTAGATCCTGTAATCGTCGGTCAGTTCTTCCGGGTTGGTTATGTTGATCATCATATCAAATTAACTTAATTCGAATCGCTCAGACCACCAGTGTTTATCCAGACTCATCTTGAAGATACCGATGGAGTTCGAGTCCACATCATAGAGAAAACACACAAATGTAATCTGAACTTTAAAATCATACAAAAGCTGTTGATGAATCGAACTTTACGCTATATATATCAATCATAGCGTGGTCGGTCATAAGAATACAATGTCGTATATGGACAAAGCTGGCAGCTTACGGCATGTAATTCTTTAAAAGGCATAAGAGCCCTTGAAAGGGCTGGTGATCGAGCTCTTTAGTTCTCAACGTTTCGACTGTAGTAGTACCTTTGATCGTCTTCTGGGCAGCGTCTCACGAAACCGTCATAAGTACAAGTCCAACGACATCCCGTCGAAATGCGTGTATTCAGTACTATAACACGCGTTTCAATGGGATGTTGGTGAACTTGTACTTATGACGGTTTCGTGAAACGCTACCCTGGTGAATTAATGTCGTTGGCAATACACATTATTTCAACGCTCTGGTAGGATATGCTACGGAAGATAAATGTTAGTGGCTGAGAAATCATGACACCAGGAAGTGTGCATGACCAACATTTAACATTCACATCCTATATTAAAGGTACTGTGTCCCATTTGCAGATCAAAACAATGAAACGTTAAATTCCAATGGCATTCGAAAGACAATACTTATTTAGAACTTCCCTCAAAATGAAAGGGTTTGAAAATGGCTTTTTGTGGGAAAATAACGACCATTAGTTGTCGAATCGACTTAAGTGATTGCAATCACTTAAGTAATAGTCTGATTTTCAGACCCTTTTACCGAATGGTCGTACGTTTTGTGCTGCACAAAGATTCAATCAGTTTGATTTTGGCCATAACAAGTTGTGGGTTATTGATGTAGACAACATTCATGTACCTGTTACAGCTCAGTTTATGTATGTTATTACCAAAGAAAGAAGATGTCAGTGACTCACTCAATGGTGTCTGACAGTGAAGTCTAGAAAGTAAACGGGTTTCCTTGCATAATTTGAATAGTAGGACACTGCTAACGTTTAAATTTCACAGATAGGACATGCATGACATATTCATAATTCCTGCAAAGTTCTACATAAGCTGATGTTTGCTGCAAAATGGACATAGTATCTTTAAACACGGTATATACAGGAATAAAATGATGATATTAGTAGTACAAATGTATATTATGTTTCCGTGATTACACAAGATACCATTTCCAGCTAGCGAGCAGGATATAAGCTGGAATAATTATGATCTAAAACCATGCAATGGATGGTTCGATAAGGCTTTTTACTTTCAGTTTCATTAAATTGTGTCAGATGTCACATTTTACAACATGATTTTTTGCAGAAAAATATATGATACTTCACAAATGTTGGCTTTTTGGTAACACGTAACATGTGGTAGCCTTTACTGAAAAGACTGTTAATATATACTCTCGTCAAAAGACGAGACACGATACCTCCATTTGTTACCTCATTTATTTTTATAAATAAAACCAAAATTTGACTCGTGTAAGTGTTTGATAAAATTCCATTCCATTATAATCACTTCTTTTCTCTCCTTTACCTCTGTATATACTTTTTTCCAAACTTCCTCTAAACATCCCCATAAGCGAGTTCTTTTGACGAAAGAATAGTTAATATCAGCAACCTATATGGACAGTAGAGAGAGGGGAGTGTTTTTTTTTCCAAGAATCTAATCATACATACCTGATAGTGGCCTTTTTAGAAGATTCGAAGATTCACGGGTCCAGAGATTGAACAAACAAATTGTTTCCCAGGAATAGTTCAAATCCAAAATGCAGTTCCGATTTTCGTGTCGTTGAGTTATCTGCACGGCTATTCTGCGTGTTCAATGAACTTCGAAGTATATGTGCGCGGGATATGTTTTTCAATACCGCCTGACCCGATATAATGTTACAGTGGACTTCCTGGATCCCGGGCCTGAATCGGGGAAGTTCTCGCCTCAAAATAAAATTTCGGCAATAACAAATACAATGTATGTTTACTCCAGTGTTCAAAGTTATTTTGTGACCTTCACGCACTAGAAAAAGCAATCACTATGTCCTCTGTATTAATAATTGTGCGGTGAGTCTCACTGACTAGAGCGGGTACATGAAATGCGGATAGAGATAAAAACATGTTATCTACTTAATTTCATCAAGATAGAATTTCGACAGTAACAAATAGAATTTCTGCAATACCGAATACAATGTAAGTTCACTCCAGTGTTCAAAGTTATTGTGTAACCTTCACGCACAAGAAAAAGCAATCAGTATGTCCTATAAATTAATAATTGTGCGGTGATGCCTCGCTGACAAGAGCGGGTACATGAAATGCGGATAGAGATAAAAACATGTTATTTACTTAATTTCATGCCATATGCTTCTTGAACAGATAATTTTTTCGTAATAACTCAAAAGCTTTCAGTTTGTCGTCTGTATTTATAATTGCGCGCCAAGCCTCGCTGATTAGAGGGTACATGAAATGCGTATAGACATAAATTATGTTATCTACTTAATTCCATGCAAATATGCTTTTTAACGGAAGTTGCACGTGATAACTCAAAAGCTTGCCTTAACATAAGCATGCTAGGCACGCTTTATCAACAACGGTTGTTCTTGACAACCTGAACATGGACTTACCAGAGGCTTGCCCGAAATAGCAACAAGTAAAGTTGCAGACTGGATTCCAAGTATTGTAGTTCATTCATTTTATAACAGGTAAACGGTGTAACTCGTCACTAGTTCCCCAGAATAGAAAAAGCCATAAATTAGAATAATTAGGTCAGTATTAAACAGCGCACTATAAGCTTGCCAGACATAGCAACAACTAGTGTATGCAACGTGGCCATGGAGCTCCGTCTATAAAGCTGCCATTATAGGCACAGCAGGTCACCTTTAGATAGCCTGATTGGGTTTCTAAAGAGAAACATAAATATATTAAATACATTCGAATGTATGGATGGATGAACACTCGTTGTCCAGTATGCCTGCAGTCACTCGATGTGTAGGCCTACTTGAGATAAAGGGGTTTATACACTATGAATATGACTGACAAAGAAAGCGGACAAAATATACAGTTCCTCAGGTAGACAAAGGAACTTCCCTTCACTGCTATTGTGTAAAAATGTGTAGAACAAATTGTGTCACATGCATATTCACCTTTTTACATAATAGCAGTGATCTGAAGGGATGTTCCTTTGTCTACCTGAGGAACTGTATATTTTGTCCGCTTTCTTTGTCAGTCATATTCATAGTGATAGCTACAACCCTCCCAAACATTTCACGCCGAAAAACAGAAGACGAACGGCAAAAGAATTAAAAAGTAGTATGAAGAAGAAATAAATAAAGAAAGACTGAAGAGAGAAAGAAAAAAAGGAAGGGAGGAATACTGACGTTTCTATGGTTCGCATAGAAATAACACCGCTTTTAATAATCACGTCCCTGACATGAAACAATGAACCCAAGTTTATATACCATATTTTCCCTATAAAAGAGTAGGGATTTTTTTTGCTCGCTCGCTACGCTCGCTCGCCAAAATAGAAATAACACCGCTTTTAATAATCACGTCCCTGACATGGAACATTGAACCCAAGTTTTATGTACCATATTTTCCCTATTAAAGAAAAGTGATTTTTTTTTCGCTCGCTACGCTCGCTAGCTCGTGGAATTATGTGCCCACCACTAACCTGCTACAATATCATTAAAAATTAGAGAAATGTAGGGGGTTGCCTGCCCGCCAAAATGGGATTGACATTGCCTTAAACACGATTGTGCCCGCCCCCTACCTGCAACAATGAAACAAATTTAATATAGCAATTCATTGAGAGAAAGATGTATTTTCGCTCGCTAGCTAAAATGGGTATAAAATCACCCTAAACACAATATTGTTCCCGCGCCCTGCATGGGACAATTGAACCAAGTTTAAGTGGCAATTCTTAAAAAAGAAGTGATTTTTTTCTTGCTCGCTACACTCGTTTGCAAAAAAATGAAATTAACGTCGCTAACAAGTGAATGTTCCCACCCCCAACTTGCAACAATACCAGTTTATATACCAAACGTTACTTAAAGATTTTTTTTTGCTCGCTCGCTCGCTCGCTAGAAGTGAAAATTAGCATCGCCTTTTTTGTTTGTTTCGGTCGCTTGCCCCCCCCCCCCCTGACGGAGTACCCCAGGTACGCCACTGGCTCCGACGTATGATATAATAAAATAATGTAGGCTATGCTTGAAGCAAAGAAACCAAGTCTTACTTTACCTTTTTCTGGGAGCGTCACAATAACTATGCCTTCTCATAAATTATGATAGTCTGGCATAAATAATGTATGACATTCTTCGCGTGACAGAACAAGTCTTATCTGTAACGTGACGCGATTGTTGTTTTATATATAAATGCGGCCAAAGGTTGAAAGATAATGAAAGGGACATAATTATTATGAAAATAATTCGATCACGTAGATAGTTCAATGGCGTTTCAATAATATGTGCAGCTAGATGGATCCACCCTTTTAAGGCAATATGACGTCCTTTTATAGCACTGGCAGTGACGTCACATTGCCTTAAAAGGGCAGTCCGCGTTCTCGTCGTGCAGAATCTAAAAGTCTCTAATGACATTATCAATCCGATCATGTTCTAACTGGCTGGTGTTGATCCCTATTGTACAAGATGATTTATACAGTAAAACTAGTATAGGCTAGCTCTTAATTTGAATCGAAGTCGATTTTTCGAAAGTCACATGCGATCCGTGTTCCAGATGCATATGTACTCTCACTTCTCCTCCCGCCCGTCATCTGGGGATTCACCGAGAGGGGGTTCTTCCTCCAATACACCCATCCCCTCGTTTTTACGAATCTCTTGTTTATAACGCCACGGAATGTTGCAATATTTTGGTATGATGCCAAAGTCTGCTGAGGTACAATCTTATGACGTCATATTTTTTAGATAATAACGGTATATAGGTCATTTCAATATTGTGGAAACAATAGAAACTCTGAATTTGTTTTGGAATCTTTCGGTACGTTGGCGTACGTAGCATGGGCCATGGAGGGTGAGGGGGGGGGGGGGGTAGCCATTGTCTTAGCTATTGCGAGATAACATTAAGGTTGTTAGTGAGGGAGGGTTGAGGAGGTGCATGGTGACAGGATATTCTGTTCACCTCTCTCTCTTTCTCATTCTACAAACATACACTCTCCCACTTTCTTTAACTTCCTTTCTCCCGAACCTTTTCCCACTTATAAGTCCTTTACTCTCTTTCTCTCTACCCCTCTCTTTCTCTTTGTTTTCTTCTTCTCTCTCTCTCTCTCTCTCTCTCTCTTTATATATTATGGTCCTAATAGGGTTAGCATACCGGTACTACATGTATGTTTAAATAGTAAAAGAACAACAAAATACAAAGCACAAAGCAGAGTCAAATGTGTAAAGTGTAAGAAAAACACAATATATAATTTGGAATCATATATTGACACAGGTGACATGTTTTTAACATGCATGGGTCAGAAAGATTTCAGAATTATGATTAACAGCATTCAACAGGATTTGCAAACAACATGTTATTTATTTACTATTTTAATTAGATTCTTTGAATGAGAGCTACAAAAGGTACTGCACCAATATATTTCACTGAGGATTATAAACTAGGAAGCTATTTAAATTGCAGCATTTAAATTTGCCTTTATAAGCCTAATTTACTATGCCAAAAGACATCTTGTATAAAATATAATTTCAGAAATATTGCTTCTACTTTACAACTTTGCTTAGAAACACTTTTTTTTTAAAACATCATATCCTTTTACTATCTGTGTTATGAAAGTATAAAACATCATGGAAGTCTACTAACAAAACAGATTTCAGGTTTAAGTGTTATATTCCGTACTGTGCAACATATAAATAGGCGAGTTGACCAAGTCTGTATAATGTATGCATGTTGAACGAAAGATCATGGGTTTGAATCCAAACAACGCAGATGACTAAAGCCTGCGTGGAGTTAACATGCCCTTCCCCTTTTTCATGAATTGTGTCTCAAGATCCATTTCATTGTGGCCACAACGGCCTCCAAGCATAAAACACAAATAGATTGATACAGGAACTTATTACTCAAGGCATTCTCTGTTTCTCATAGTTATTAGGCATCAATCGTCATAAATTTCTGTTCATTACATCATAAATCTTTTTTTTTCTCTCTTTCATATCATTTGTAATAATTTCTGCTAGCCTACCCTTTTCAACTAACAACATACCAATAAACATTCTACATACCTGTATATGCTTTTGTGATAAATATTTAGTATTTTCTACCTTAAAATGCAGCCTTTTTTATAAAACATCTGTTAAAAGCAATTTAACAAAGTGCTTCACTACTTAAGCATTTACAAAAATATAATTAGACACATTATTTCTCAAAATCTTTTATATACTCCATTATCAGGATTATTATTTCCTAATATAAAATGCAGCCTTTTTTATAAAACATCTGTTAAAAGCAATTTAACAGAGTGCTTTCACTACTTTAACATTAACAAAAATATAATTATACATATTATTTCTCAAAATCTTCCATATACTCCATTATCAGTACTCTTCATTTTTAGAAAGCTAATGCTTCATTTCATGCATTTGGAAAATCATTTTCGAAAATCTCTCATATCATTCAGAAAATTGCACTAATAGTTAAATTGATCGATGTTTTATACATTGGAAAAGCATACTATAGTGTTGACATTATATTCATATAACAAATGGTCGTCTATCATGAAGTGCTTTTCAGAGTTACATACAAAACATATGGAAACGTCATTATAGCGTTATCGTTCTGTATATGATAGCATGTCGTAGCATGTAGTATCATGTAGTCAGTAGTGCCTGCAGATTTGACCAATCAGCAGTCTAGATTGTTGTATGCAGAAATATAATATCAAATATAAAAATACTACAAAAGGATTGCAAGTACAAAATTATCAAAATAGATAAACCTGAGGTTTAAATTGTTGCTATATAAGTAATTTCTATGATTTCATTTTGCATACACAATAAGTAAATATTACCATATTATATAATAATATATATACATTTCTCTCCATAAAATATTTTCATAGAAACTTTCATAATGAAAAATCCAATATTTCAGTTGAAACATAAAATGAGGCTAAACTTTTTTAAAATTACATCACAAATGCTCATCTTGAGTACTGGTTAAAAACAACATTTTGGGAGACATAAATTCGGCTTAAAATAATCCAGAACAAATTTTCAGCCAGTATATTCACAGCTTGGAGAAATACATGTAAACGAACTTACAAAAAACTTCCTCCAAAACACAATCACCGCAAGCACAAACACACAAATGCAGACATGGGACTAAAGTTACAGGGCTGAAAGACAATAAAAATGGAAGTGCATTGGAAGTTCATCTCTTCTAAAAATGTTGTCTGATTCGAGGCAAAAGGGCCTAAACTCTGCGGGAGAGTCTATGTGTTACTAAAGCCTTCTGGCTCTAAGCAGAGAGTATTATGCAGCTTTAACAGGAGCAACATGAAGTGCCCATGTACAAGTGTGTTATTTATGTATTATAAGTTGATGAAGCGGATCCTAATCAAATGACTGGTTGAGAGCGTACACATGACCAGGCATTTATTTCGCCTAACACGTAATTTTACTAATGACCAGTCATTAGTAAGTATTATAAGATGATGACGTGAATCCTATTCAAATGATTGGTTGAAAGCGTACATGTGACCAGGCATTTATTTTGCCTTATACATAATTTTGATAGTGACCGGTCATTATCAAATGTTAATGACTGGTCATTAGTAAAATAATGTTATAAAACATCATTTTATTAAAAAAAATTGAACATCATCTTATAAAACAAATAATACAGATCATTTGTTCAGGCATTAGTAAAATCACCCACACTCAAATGTGTTAGACTGTTCAAAAGGTACCTTGTGTGGGTAATTCTTACTAATGCCCTCACTGCTGTGGATTATTTGCATAATATTGTCTCTTGACTTGTTTATATTTGTATAATAATGCATGCCTACCGGTAAGTTGTTATCATAACACAAGACAAGGCAAATTATTTTAACAATTTATCTTCCTTTTTTACTTACAAGCATATACTTGCTTTCTTAGCAGTCAGGTAAAACTAATCATCCAATCATTGATTTGCCCTTGTATATTGCACCAATCTTTCAAATATTTAAATATAACAGGCAAATAAAGGCATATTATATATACCAGGTATATATATATATATATATATAGTGAAAGTTCTGAAATATTGCATACAACTTAGGGAGATATTTATAAAAACATTGGACATTTTTACATCCGGGGCTCACATCCATGTTGCAAGATGCTCAAGGCATTTCAATATTAAGCTCACTATGCTAGGCGCTTTTCGTGTTCTCAAGGAACCTATCAAACACCTGGGGGGCGTTTCACAAAACTTGTCATCAGTGACAATTGACAGTTTTTGTTATAAGCTACTGAAATCCTTGCTTCTGATTGGTTATCAGCAGATTTGTCACTGAATTTTGTCATTTGTCATTGAAAAAAGGCTTTGTGAAACGCTCCCCAGGGTGAACTGCCACAGGTAGATTGATATCTTGCCAAGGAGACTACTGCCACACTGGGGAGCGAACCCACGACCTTCGCATTTCCAGTCCAGTATTTGAAACCCCTTGACCACAGCACCTCTTCCGGTCAGAGCTGATGGATGGATGGTTGGTCAGAAATCCAGAAGTACTGTCTTGTAAAGTGCAGTCATCAAGATACTACTTAACGACACACCTAACAGGATCAACGAGACAAACAGATACAGATTTAAAAGAAAATTGAAGCAGCATCTTATATCTAAATATCATTTATTCTTGCACCAAAATTCATATTATACAGCATAACCTATAACTGTTTTCAAAATTATGATGTTGTAATGATTATTTCCATTTGTATTACCTGCCATGAACAATGTCCCTGTCATGTTTTGTCATGTATGTTTTCTTTTTTAGTTTTGTTTGTATATGTAAAGCTCTTAACTACTGTTTGGGAACTATGCTTCCACAAGGCCATTTGGCCTTATTTTTTAGTTCCCTATTTTCATTATCTTATATATTGCAAATGCTTATCATTGTATATATCTTTGTATTGTTTTTATTGAAAATAGAAATTAATATAACAAATTGAATTGAATTGAATACATGTGTGATGAGGGAAATCCTGAATTTGAAGAAAAAAACCCTGAGTAGTGTTTGGTTTTGTCTCTTTCTATCTTATTACAACTATAAATAGGAACATTCTTGACTACAAATAACACACTTCTTCCACGACTGAGTTAATGTGGCATAAGAGAGAGAATTCTTTGGTAGTATCTTGTGGTATGAACATAGATGGCATTATAAAATAATATGTAATACATAATTTTGTAACAAATAACGTGTTAGAACTGTTTTGAAAATTATCACTTTCTAAGAAAAAGTATCATGCATACACAAAACTAATAGGAAGTGACAACAACATTCCAGTTATTTAGTTGTCATGGATAACATTTTTATATAAAGATTAACTTTTTTGCAACAATCATTCCACATTTTGTGGTTTGGCTAAATAACTTTGGATTCACAGCCCTAAAAAATATGCCAGTGCTTGAGTAGAATCAAACTCTTCCACACTAACAAATGAAGAATGAAGAAGCTCACAAATTTGTTTTCACCTTTTCAAGAACGGAACACGACCTTCTCTTTATATGAAAATAAAACAAGCTTTACTTCCCTAGTGTAAGAAATGTTGCTGTCATGTTAGCGAGTAAGTCTCTATGCTATTTCCGGTACATATCATCGTTGAAGAAGCTCACAAATTATTTTTCCCTTTCCCGGAACGGAACACGACCTTCTCTTTATTTAAAAAATAAACCATGGTAGACTAACCAAGTGTGAGAAACATTGCTGTTATGTTGGCGAGTAAATCTCTATGCTATTTCGGGCACATATCGAGGGGTCAGTGACATAAAGACGTAACTCCATTTTGGCCATTTTGAGAAAAGGTGGTTTATTGTGTCACTGAGCACTTTGGCCTTAAGGAGTTAAGTCTATGTTTCACTAGCCACTGACTTCAATGGGGTGTTGGGTGGAGTTAAGTCTTTGTGTTTCCTGGAAAGCCCACCTATTTTCTGAACATTTTGATATCAAATACTCATTTTGGCAAAATATGGAGTTACATCTTTGTGTCACTGAACCTTTGATATCATCGTTGAAGAAGCTCACAAATTATTTTTCACTTTTTTCCCGGAATGGAACATGACCATCTCTTAATATAAAAATAAACAAAGGTAGACTTAACTAGTGTAAGAAACATTGCTGTCAAGTTGGCAAGTAAGTCTCCATACTATTTTGGGTACATGTCATCGTTGAAGAAGCTCACAAATTATATTTCACCTTTCCCGGGACAGAACTGGGGGGGGGGGGTGGGGGTGTTTCACAAAGATCCTACGTTGAACTTAACTTTAAGTTGGACTTAACAATTATGCAGAGCCATTTTTAGCCTCATAATGAAATATATTCAAAAGCAAAAAATCAAGTATTTTAGACTTTTCATAAATTCCACATCAAGAACATGTAATCTCCCATGATAATCGAAAATATGAAAGATATGAATCAACTTTATATGCCTTTAAAAGTAACTTTTACAAAATATTTTCAAGGGTGCTAACAGCTTTCCATAATTTTAAGTCCAACTTAGAGATAATTTCAACTTAGGATCTTTGTGAAACACCCCCCTGGATCTTCTCTTTATATAAAAATAAACCAAGGTAGACTTACCCAGTGTGAGAAACATTGCTGTCAAGTTGGCGAGTAAGTCTCTATGCCCTTTCGGGTAGATGTCATCGTTGTGTATCATATAAAACGTGTTGACGTAGATGGCGCCCATTATCAGTCCAATGAACACCATGTAAGCAGGAAGAATGTAGACAGGCATGAACTTGTACTGCAGAAAAGAAGAGGGGGAGGAGAAGAAAAATGATTGGGTGAAAAAATACCTCAGTCGGCGCCCTGACATTTTTCTCCAGCGACGACTGCTCCAGGATTCCGTCAAGAGTATAGGGTTAGGGTTAGGGCTGTGATTGGGTTTTAGGTTCAGTTCATAGTTTTATTTCTTCTTTCACAAACATTTGTACATAGAATTTCAAATACAAATGTTTGTGAAAGAAGAAATAAAAGGTTAGGGTTAGGGTTAGGGTTAGGGCTGTGATTGGGTTTTAGGTTAGGTTTATGTTTATGCTATGGTCACAAATCTGAGCAGCGACCGACCGATCAGTAGCCTGCTCGGTCGCTGCTGGAATTTAGGCATCGCCCAGCAATTAGGTCGGTGCCGGCCGGCGACCGCCCAGGCACCGAGCGTATTTTGGGCGGCGAGTAAAAAGTGAGCAGGCGCCGCCCAAATTTTAACTCCGCGCTAAAACTTCAGCGGCGACCGAGCGATGCCCTAAAAACGAGCGATGCCTGGGCGGCCGCCGCTCGGTGGCCGAGCAGCCGCCGGGCAGAATTGGTTAAAAACTCGCCGCTCGGCCGCCGAGCAGGCAACTTTTGGGTAATGTGACCATAGCATTAGTGTTGGGAAAGGTATAGCGTTGCTTCCAGGATTAAAGTTAGGTATTTGGTCTGTGCAGGAAATTACCGCAGAGCTATTGTCATACTAACGTCCTTTGGCATGCAATAAGCTACATTTGCCACTCTCCACCCAGGTGTTAAATTTGTACCCGGTAGGATGTGAACCTTAATGTAGTTTGTACGTCTACAAAATGGTGCTTGGCTGGAATACTCCCCAGGAAGTGGAGAATGCGTACACATTGTGTGCTGGCAAGCCTGAATTTGATGACCGGGTTAATAACGTATTTGTAAAGTGCTTACAAACATCTTCAATGTATTGAGCGCTATATACAAGCGGAATTTTATTATCAATATAGACACCCCAAAACATGGCATTCTCAAGTTTTGATCCATGGCAATGAAGGGTTGAAGGATTAATAGTTCGTTCTGATATAGCGCTCTCAAAGCGCTTTACAGATATATATCATTACCCCAGTGAAATGTATGCACATTCTCCACTCCCTGGGGAGCATTCTGGCCAGGCGTCATTTTTACAACCGCACACTTGCTCATCTAACCACATCGAATTTTGCATCCTACCGGGTACCCATTTAACACCTGGGTGGAGAGTGGCAAATGTACATCAATGTCTTGCCAAAGGACATTAGTGCCGCGGCAGGACTTAAAACCGCAGACCTTGTGATCCACGGTCCGGTGACATATCCACTTGACCACGACACCTCTAAGGATTGAAGGATTGAACTTACCCTAGTGTTCACTATCCAGATAACAGCATTCATGAGCTGAACGGCCGACAGGATCTGCACTTTGCGAATCTTGATGAGCTGGACGGAAGACAAAGAGGCAAACTGGGCAGCCTGCAAAGAGAAGGTAATGAATCACATTACGCAAAGGTCTCGTTAAAAACAAACCCCACCACTATAACACAGGAAACAATGTTATTCAGGCGGGTATCACGACCCCCATTTTGTTTCTCTCGTTAAAACTTGGACAGAGCCTTGCAGCTCTCTCTATCACCCCGTCAAGGTCTCGGCGGGGAGATTACATTGTATAGTGCTAGTGTTTACTTTAGGCTTAGCTCTAGTAGTGGTGAAAGTCAATTAGGGGTTTCAATTTTAAACAATGAATTTTTGTCATGCTTTATTGAATCCAGTATCACATTAAAACCAACAAAGAATGAGCCTCATTTTTGTTTAAATGTAGATTTACCATTACATTGCCTGATTCTTATTTCTGTATAATTTAATATATGAATGGGTTAAATTAAGAAATTCTCAAGTCGTTATATTTTTTACTAAAAGCCGCAAAACTGGCTACCACCACTACCATAATCACCACCATCACCACAATCATAAACATCATCAACATTACCACTATCATCATCATCACCAGTTCACCACCACTACCATAATCACCACAATCATAAACATCATCTACATTACCACTATCATCATCATCATCACCAGTTCACCACCACTACCATAATCACCACAATCATAAACATCATCAACATTACCACTATCATCATCATCACCAGTTCACCACCACTACCATAATCACCACAATCATAAACATCATCAACATTACCACTATCATCATCATCACCAGTTCACCACCACTACCATAATCATCACCATCACAATCATAAACATCATCATCACCACTATCATAATCATGATCATTATCATCATCATCGTCACCGCTACCACTATTGCCGTCATCACCAACCTAGTCACTAATCTACTTTATATTTATATTCTTGTCTTTATAATCAGGCTTAGAAGTTAGAGTACTATACCATGAAACATAGCTGTAGAGATACATAGAGCTCCGGACAATTCTGGTCATACACTGTATTATCCTCTGCTTTGGCTGAGGAAACACGACATACGTATGTTGCAAAGGTCGCTGCGGCAAGCTGAAACATGACCACAATAACAATGTTATCAAAAATATCCAGATAGATACAACAAATACATAAGCTGCAAAGTTTGTTAGAACAAGCTGCAACATCTTGTAGCAGGAACGTCCCAAAAATTAAAAGAAAAAATGAAAATTCAGCAAAATGAATATTGTAAAAGTTTAACTACGAGGAACAAGGAACTGCAAACAGATTTTTTAAATAAATAAAACAATAGAAAAGAGTATGAACACACAAATTTATCTTGCAAAGGTAGTGACATTGAACTGTCACAAGATGACAACATACCCCCCCCCTGTCTCTCTCTCTTTTAACCTATTTAAAGGTATAGACCAGTTTTGGAAACATCCCCCCCCCCCTATAGAAAATGGAATGGAATTATATTTTATACTAATCATGTGAAAGAATATGTTTTGACTAGTACGTGATGATACAAATTTTGCCGGGAAACCGCCTCCTAATTGATATATTTGGCAAATTATTGTATCGATCCGGCCTGAATAGATATCGCGTAGTCCCATATACATCTTTCTGTGTACAGTGCATGTAACTTTACCAAAACTGGGCCAAATTTTTATCATTTTGATGGTTCCAAAACCTTGCAGTTCACACCAATACTTATAAGCTAGATGATCAACCTTTTCTGATCGATTCCACAACGTTTCTTTCACAATGCAATTCGCATGACCAGAACTGGTCTATAACTTTAACACTATAAAATAAATGAATTACTTACGTTCAGACCCAGCTTCCAAATGAGTTTAAAACCGCGTCGTCTATCAGCCATGGTAAACCTTTTGGGTTCACTTCCAAGTAGTGCATCTGAAATCAAACCAAGGAATAGCAAAATGAGCGTCAAATCACCATTTTGTTTGAAGGCGTTAAGACATCTCAATATAGCTATCCTGCATCATATCTTTTGTATTATGTTCAGTAGCAGTAGCTGTAGTAGTAGTAGTAGTAGTAGTAGTAGTAGTAGCAGCAGCAGTAGCAGTTGTAGAAGTAGTAGTAGTACATGTAGCAGTAGTCATAGAATTAGAAGTTGTAGTACGAGTATCAGCAGTTTTAGTAGTAGCAGCAGCAGCAGCAGCAGCAGTAGTAGTATTAGTAATAGCTGGAGTAGTAGTAATAGTATTAGTAGTAATAGTAGTAATAGTAATAGTAGTAGTAGCAGTAGGAGTAGTAGTAGTAGTAGTAGTATTAGTAGTAATAGTAGTAATAGTAGTAGTAATAGTAGTAATAGTAGTAGCAGTAGTAGTAGTATTAGTAGTAGAAGAAGCAGCAGCAGCAGTAGTAGCAGCAGCACTACTACTACTACTACTACTACTATTACTACTACTACTACTCCAGCTATTACTACTACTACTACTACCTACTACTACTACTACTACTACTACTACTACTACTACTACTACTACAATACTACTACTACTGCTGCTGCTAGGAGGCACGATAGCTCAGTCGGTAGAGCAGTGGTCGCGTAATCCGGTGACCCGGGTCCGAAACCAAGGCGATGCGCTAGTGCCCTTTAGTAAGGCATTAATCCTCATTACCAGGTCCCTCAGAGAGGACCTAAAGCCGTCGATCTTCTGATTGCTTACTAACAAGCATTTATTGCTTTCTTACCTGTCAGGTAAATAACCACCACTATCATAATAGTATGAGTGGGAGTAGCAGCAGCAGCAGCAGCAGTACTTGTAGTAGTAGAAGTAGTTATAGTACTTGTAGAACTAGTAGTAGTATATCATGAACATCATTATTATCAATGCATGGTTTCTACACAAGTTGAGAAGAGCAACGGCAAACAAAACATGGAGCAGAAAAGAGACAGAAATAAATCAGACCACTAGTTAGACCACAGAAAGTGTTCAAAGCAATTTACCATTTTCTCTACTCTGTAAGCTTAGATTATTATCTGTTACTTGCGCTCCATTCACACAACAGCCATTAATCTGGACTAAAATTAATCTGGACTAAAGCTCCTTTCTTTCTAAATAGAAACACTAGTTAAAGAGCACACTTGCCAACCTTCCATGACACAAATTAGGATTCTCTCAATGTAAAATTAGGAATACAGTGTATTATGTATGCTTTTACAAAGAGATTTTGCAGGGAAAAAGGAAAAGTCTTAAAAAGTCTAAAGGAGTGGTTTAAAAGATATTTTACAATAAAACTTACCTTGTTCTGTATGTTGTACACAATAATCTCCATCTGTTACTTGAGCTGCATTCTCACTGTATCCATTAATCCAGACTACAAGTCTTTTCTTTCAAAGTCCAAGCACAAGTTCTTAGAGTGAAACTTACCTTGATCTGTACTTTGTACGCTTTGATCTTCATCTGTAACTTGAGATGCTTTCACACTGTATCCATTAAACCAGACTACAAGTATTTTCTTTCAAAGACTAAACACAAGTTCTTAGAGTGAAACTTACCTTGTTCTTACCTTGGATCTGCATCTGTAACTTGAGCTTCATTCTCACTGTAACTATTAACCCAGACTACAAGTATTTTCTTTCAAAGACCAAACACAAGTTCTTAGAGTGAAACTTACCTTGTTCTGTACTTTGTATGCTTTGATCTTCATCTGTAACTTGAGCTGGATTATCACTGTATCCGCTAACCGGGGCTAAAGTTCTCTCCTGAGGAGGTTCGACGATCACCACAAGGTAAGCAACCAGATAGATAAATACAAATGGGCAGCATGCTAGAAAACTGTACCTGCAATGGCAAGAGATAATCAAATAGTCATTAGAGATAATCAATTAGTCATTAGAGATAATCCATTAGTCATTAGATACAATACATACTTGAAAAATTACAAAAATATTACTACTGCTGCTGCTGCTACTATTATTACAACTACTACTACTGCTACTACTACTATTACAACTAATACTACTACAGCTACTGCAACAACTACTGCTACTCCTACTACAGTACTTCAACTACTACTACTACTACTATCACTTATACTACTAATACGAATACTATTGTTCTTATTTCTACTACTACTACTACTACTACTACTACTACTACTACTACTTCTATTACTGCTGCTGCTACTACAACTACTACTTCTACTACTGCTACTACACTACTACTACTACTACTACTAATTCTAATATTACTACTTCTACTACTTCTACTAATAACAAACATTCCTGATATAGTACATGAGACTTATTCTGAGTCCTTTTGTACTTAACATAGCATCGTATAAAGTTGAAAAAACTTTGAAGTAAACTTAATTTACAATATAATTACAATAGTATCCATAGAAAAGTGTCGTTTTGTATATTTTGTGAGGATCACTTCTAACAAGCCGGTCATGTGCTTTTCATGATCCTTCCACTTTATATATATCATTATATTATGTTTGTATTTTGATTATTATATGATGTTTTTTTTATCTTGACGTGGAAATAAATAAATGAAATGAAATGAAAAATATATCACTGACTTCACTCGATTTGCATTAAATAACAACCGATTCTTCTTACCAATTTATAAGTCTAAGATCAGTTGCTTTGTCTGTTGTTTGTTCAAGAACACACCCTGAAAAAAAAATGCGTGCAAAGGTAAATAATGGGATCGATTTTGTTACAATTGAACATACGAGAGAAAAGAATGGCCTAACTATATCACAACAGTTTTTAAATTATCAAAATATTCATTGTTTTTGTCTTCATAATAATTGTACAATGTATGTTAATGTATGCTGTATACCACCGGTCCTCAAACTTTTTCCTTGGTGCCCAGATGTGATTTCCATGAAAGCTATAAGGTTCTTTAAACAATGGGCAATTTTATTTCATTTAAAGCCCATCTGTACTAGTTTGGCCAGGAGGGATTAGACCATCCAGCAAGGTCACTGACAGGTGGGTATGTCATCAAATCAGCTCTCAAGTAACAAGATAAATGGGACAATGGGGGACCAATGGTCACTGATTAGGCATTGTTTGCTATATAGAGGGCGCAAGTAGCTACAAGTAGTGCAGTGGGGCTTTAATCAGCTATTTCCATAGATATAAGAGTGTGATAATATACTGTACGTGTCTTTACACACACCTTAATTTCAAGAGTTGAGACAGTCAAAAGTGGAAGTTCCCGGTACACATGTAGGGTATATAAGTGGGAAAGTAGCCGTTTTCCGGCAATAAGCTGCTTAGACATTAGTTCAAATGGAGTGATTGCAATATCCCAGAACTCAAGTTTATCTTTAGTGATACTTATATACTGAAGAAAATGAGGCTAGTTTTGTTATGTATTCAGACTTTGAGAAGCCTTGCTGTATACAGTATACTTTAAACTCAAAGTCACACAAGTCAAATTTGTCAAATGTTCTAGATATCAGCATTTACCAAATGTCCCATACCTGCAAATACAGAATGTCCTATATTTGCATTTACCAAATGTCCTATATCAGCACTTACAGAATGTCCTATATCTGCACTTACCAAATGTCCTGTATCGGCACTTTCCAAATGTCTGATACCTGCACTTACTGAATGTCCTATACCTGCACTTACCGAATGTCCTATACCTGCACTTACCCAATGTCCTACATGTATATTTGCAAATTCACAGATTTACCAAATGTCCTATATCAGCACTTACCAAATGTCCTATACCCTGCACTTACAGAATGTCCTATATCAGCACTTACAAATGTTCTTTGTCTGCACATACCAAATGTCTGATACCTGCACTTACCAAATGTCCATACCTGCACTTACCCAATGTCCTACATGTATATTTGGATTTACCAAATGTCCTATATCAGCACTTACTACATGTCCTACACCTGCACTTACCAAATGCCCTATATCAGCACTTACCAAATGTCCTATATCAGCACTTGCAAAATGTGTTATATCAGCACTTACCAAATGTCCTACACCTGCACGTACCAAATGTCCTACACCTGCACTTACCAAATGTCCTATATCAGCACTTACCAAATGTCCTATATCAGCACTTACCAAATGTCCTATATCAGCACTTACCAAATGTCCTATATCTGCACGTACCGAATGTCCTACACCTGCACTTACAAATGTTCTGTGTCTGCACATACCACTTGTCCTATACCTGCACTTACAAAATGTCCTATACCTGCACTTACCAAATATCCTACATCAGCACTTACCAAATTTCCTATACCCTGCACTTACAGAATGTCCTATATCAGCACTTTCCAAATGTCTGATACCTGCACTTACCAAATGTCCATACCTGCACTTACCCAATGTCCTACATGTATATTTGGATTTACCAAATGTCCTATATCAGCACTTACTACATGTCCTACACCTGCACTTACCAAATGCCCTATATCAGCACTTACCAAATGTCCTATATCAGCACTTGCAAAATGTGCTATATCAGCACTTACCAAATGTCCTACACCTGCACGTACCAAATGTCCTACACCTGCACTTACCAAATGTCCTATATCAGCACTTACCAAATGTCCTATATCAGCACTTACCAAATGTCCTATATCAGCACTTACCAAATGTCCTATATCTGCACGTACCGAATGTCCTACACCTGCACTTACCACATGTCCTATATCAGCACTTACCAAATGTGATGAGGAAGGCTGCTCCTAACAAGCCTGCACAGCCGCATCCGCTGGACCAGGCATTGACCAGACGACTGTCAAATTTTGATAAGTAGCCCAGCACTACACTGCAAGATAGAGGCAGACGAAAAATGAATAGCAAATCATTATTTATGCATTTATTCATATATTTGTGTATTTTTATTAACAGGGTAGCACATTCAACATCAATTGGTCTCCTATGGGGCCCTGCGAGTAAAGATAATCGTGCAATGAAATCAAATCAATCACGATCAAAATGACAAGTCAGAAAGAAAAAAATTATGAAAACCAGGGGGAGTTTCACAAAGACTAAGATTGACTTAAATTGGACTTTTATAAATTGGACTTTTATATATTGCCAATGATATTGATAACTCTGTACTTTTGTTGTATGAATACATGTTTATTTGCTTTGATTGTATTTTGATAAAATAAACCATTTATTGATTAATACGAATACAGTACATGTAGCTCAGTGCTAAACCTTAAAGGTACAGGGATGCATGAAATGAATATCACTTTAATTAATAATCATCAAGTCTACAAATAGAGGAGGGAAGAGGGTACGGTACCAGAATTTGTTCATTTAGCAGAAAACGATTCAAAAGACTTGACAGAGAAAAAGAGTCCTGAAAATAAGCAGGAAAACTTCACACAATCCAAAGAATTAACATTTTCTTTCAATAAAGTGGTAAGCTTTCTCTTCCATTCCATTTGCATATATCTATCTCTCTGCCCCCCCCCCCCTCTCTCTCTCTCTCTCTCTCTCTACCTAAGTACATGTATCTCCATCTCTCTCTCTCTACCTTGAAAACTCCTCTCCATTCACCTTTATCTCTATATCTCTCTTTCTCCTTCAATAAAAACAAAAACTTACCTTTCTCCAAAGGCGTAGCTTCCTCCGATAACAACCTGTATAATACAACGGAAGGGAAAAAAGCTGAAGTTGAAACAAAATCAATCTTTTCATGCATTTAATTTCATGAAGATAAATGAAATGCAGATTGAACACTTTAAAATATACATATACCCCTGCCTAACCTTTGCAAGTGCATATAGCCACACATGTGCATCAATTAGTCTAGATGCACAAGTGTCTTTAACATGTATTGAGATATCATATACAGTCAAACCTTTCTGTAGCGACCGCCCAAGGGAAACACAAAAGGTGGCCTTTGTAGACAGGTGGTCTGTGTAGACAGGTACCTTTAGTACATGATTCAATGAGAAACCATTTTCATGAGAAACCATTTTCAAGAGAAATAACAAATGTGGCCTTTGTAGACAGGTGGTCTTTGTAGACAAGTGGTCACTAAAGCAGGTTTGACTGTATTACATTATATTCAATTAATTAAGTTGCAATATGTCTCTGGAGAGTTAACTCTTCACTCAACCTAGGTGGTATAAACAGGTACGTGGCAGGGATTAATTCCTTGAAATGCTAGAGCGCCGTAATGTCAGCACAACTAAAGCCGGGGTAATAATCTCAAAGTTTGGAAGCGCTTAGAGACTTAATTGTCATTTGCGCTATATAAAAGCTGAGTATTATTATCATTATTTACTTTAGAAACATCAAATATGATCACACATTTTAGTTTAGTGACATGAAATGGGACTACTAACTGTATAGCCCAAAATATTTTTTGATTGATAAGTTCCTTTGAACAAGAATTGGACATTACCCGGTATATACATTTATGGCTTGCGTATAAATAGGTCCAGTACAGATAAAAACCAATGAGCTCAAAGTAATTTAGGTTTCATAAGTTACCGGTATTTATCATTACTGAGTAAATGTAATGTAAATGGATGATGTAAATGGCAGAGAGAAAATGAAACTAAAAACTGAACTGATACAAAAAATAAGTTTAATACGGGATGGACGTGATTAATGATTAAGCCTACAAATTACAAAGACAAATCAGTAGTAATTTAGTAAATGGTAAAAGAAACTGATAACAAGTATGATGAAGAAAAGACAACAGAGTTCTTGTACATGTATAGGCTAACAAGAACAAATACCGGTACAAAAAACAGAGGTTGCAAATCATTTTGCATACAAATGGCCTTTACAGTTGGTCATCATATAATAACTGTACAAGAAAAAGGTTCAATTTCAGTAAGTTCAATTGAACAATTTTCAAACTGGTTAAAATCTTTAAAAAGGCTTATTCGCATATGGTACTCTGCAAACAATTGTGGCAAACTACTGTGGCAAAATAATCAGTTGTATACATCATTGAATAACTAGTAGAGTGAAACAACATTTATCTAAAAAATACATGCAACAAACAAACGAAAAAAGTATGGACAAAAAAAGACTCTTACCACAGCAACAATGGCAGTAATGAAATTGGGAGCGAAAGCTATCCCGGCTATACCTACATGTGTTTTTTAGTAGAGGAAAAAAATGAAGAAGAGAGTGCAGATAAATCACTTCACTTCCCACATAGTATTCAGTAACATCATGCAATTAATACCTTGAAATAGTAATAGATACAATTGACTTTCATAGTGTTATTATACCAGAGAATGGAGATAGTGATAATAGCTGTACTTGTACATGTAGAACTTTCATTAAAAACAATGGAGGAAGGTTAACAACAGGTAAAGGAAGAGAGAGAGAGAGAGAGGGAGAGGGAGAGGGAGAGAGATGAAGGGGTGAGTGAAAGAGGTAGACATAATGAGAGAAAGAGTGAGAGAGAGAGAGAGAGAGAGATGATAAGAGAGACAAAAGAAAGAAAGAGAGAAAGACATAGGTAAAGATAGAAAAATCAATGAAATACAGAAAAGGGAACAGGGAGAGAGAAAAGAAGAGCAACAGAGGGAGGGATATAAAAAAAAAAAAAAACAGAGGAAAAGACAGAGCCAAGACAAACAGGCAGAGAAGACAGACATGCAATGGATCCAAATGTGAAATTAATTAACCCCCAAAAATAGATTACATCTGAGTGAAAACCAAAACAGAGAAAAATATTAAACCTGTTAACGACATTACCACCATTATACCGTCATACCAACATAAAAACAAACTGATAAGTTCTTGTCATTACATTTTTCAAACCTGTTGGAAATATTAGTATAATGAAAAATGCAGTGTATGCAAATTTCACAAAACTTGTCATCAGTGATTAATGACAGTTTTTGTTATAAGCTAGTGAAATCCTTGCTTCTGATTGGTTATCAGCAGGTTTGTCACTGATTTTTGTCATTTGTCATGGAAAAAAAGCTTTGTGAAACAGGTCCCGGATGAAAGAAATCCTGTGAAATGCTAAAACACTGTTATATACAGTACTATGGATCATTTTAGACAACTTCCCTAGATAGAAACTATAGACAACACAGACAGAATGATTGATGAGAAAAATGGCAGCACACTTACCTAATAGAAGTACCAAGGAGTTGATAGCGAACCTGATGTTGTACGATAGTCTGCTTAAAACGAATGCATTCAGCACTGTGAAAAAACAAAAACATTATTTAAATGGATACATGTCTAATGTATTCCACCTACAGTCAAACCTGCTGCAGTGACCACCGGTCTACAAAGATCACATTGTTTGTTTCCCTTGAAACGGTTTCTCATTGAAACATGTACTAAAGGAACCTGTCTACAAAGACCACTTTTTGTGTTTCCCTTGGGCGGTCGCTATAGACAGGTTTGACTGTATACGTCTCATAACACAGTTACAAGGCGAATCCTTCTCCCCGCGACTCCAAACCAATCAGTTCTTGGCCAAACATTTCTGTTCCTTTTGCCGTCAGTCAGGACCCTGTTTCACAAAACTTGTTATCAATAACAAGTTACAAGCTACTGTTATAAGCTACTCAAATCATGGCATCTGATTGGCTGAAAGCAAATTTGTCATAGAAATTTAGCAGTTGTTGTAGATAACAAGTTTTGTGAAACGGGCCCCTGGAGCAAGTCTCATTTGTGTGGCTGGGTTATTAAACATGTATTCAAAACTGAAACTAAGAAAATACTAGATTATCTTTCTCGCACTAAAAGTCTAAAATGGATACTTGGATTAATGAAGTACTGCATGAAGCCTTCAGCACCATAAAAACACAAAATTAACACCATCATTACTTAATGGTTATGTGTATATCTTAAACTTGAATTCAGCACTGGTACCAACATAAACAAACATCACAGTTAAACGTAATTTATAATTCATGTATTCCATGATGCTAAAATGAAGAAAATATACACTTATACTACAAATGTTTGCTATCAAAAGACATTCAGTTTAATTTTTTGTGGCATTTAACAAAGGAATCCGATCTAAAAATTTACTTACTTTTGACAACAATAGTCAAAGAGCCTGAGAAACCATACACAGCCGCAATAAAGCCTTCTCGGCCATAACTGCATGGAAGACAAAGAATTATAAATTCAATTTTTTTTTAAATCAATCCTCCTCCTCCTCCTCCTCCTCACTAGTTCAAGTTCAAGTTCAAGTTCAAGTTCAAGTTCAAGTTTTATTTATCTTTCTTTCATAACACACTTTACAAATATGACATGAATATAACAAGTTTACATAATATGGCGTTACAAAAGAAAGATGAGGTGACCTTGGTTGAAAGCAAGGCTTGTGGATTTAAGGTCCCTCATGAGTAGCTTATGAATATGTCCTAAAAGAACAAAACTCGTCAGATAAGAATAATGCATACATTTAAGTGCTGACAAACTAAACTAACTAAACAACTGATAAAATATAAACATAAATAAGTATAATAAAATCTACTGACTACTAAATAATGGCTATAAACAAGAGAAACGGAAAAAAACCACGAGCAACAGGACTGAAACACAGACAAAAACAAACAAAGACAGACATATGAATAGATGTGAGAGATGGGAGTAGAATTATGCTGACCTATATAGAAATTAATTTTCTTAAATATTGATCACACCATCACTACTACTACTTCCACTACCACCACCACCATCACCCCCACCACCACCTCCTCCACCTCCACCACCACCACACCATTTCTACCACTTATACTACTACTCCTATGAGACTACTTCTGACCTTCTTGCGATGGAGTTTGCTCCAGCACTGACCATGGCAAGAGGAAGCATGTTGGACAGACCGAGGAGAAAGAACCCCACCTGCAGATAAAATGATTAAAAACCTCATTAACTGCAAACTCTTTGAGACCAACCTTGTTACATCACTGCTACAAAACAATTGAATACAAAGAAGTAGGGCTGAATAAACAGCTCGTTTTATTGAATTGATTAATTGAATTGACTTCTTTTCCACATTGTCATAAAAAAAATAACAAAAACAATATACACGATATATATATATATAGTAATTATTCAACATGTTAATGACATAATACAAAAAATAGGAAGAAAAAAATCAACAAGAACAAAAGCAGAAATACAGAAAAACATTTGACTACAAACACATTAGTGTCTCAATGTGGGGGTTATAAGAAGTGATGAACTTATAACATAACCCCATGAATGTATTATAAATGTGTAATTTATATTGGAAAAGACAAAACTTAACAAATTAATGAATAATAATTACAATTCAGTTGAAGTAAGTGAATCACCACAGGTATTACAGATTGCGTAGAAGGTACTTTTTAACTTTTGTTTTGAATATATTCAGGGATTAAGAATTTTTAACATTTTCAGGTTAACTATTCCAGAATACAGGACCATTGTGAGATAGTGATTTTCGAGATAAGGGGGATTTCCTGCATACAATACGATAATCAGATTTCCCCCTAGTATTAAACAATGAGTGAAAGTTAATTGGTGATAATTATTTATAATATAAATACATAAAAATATCCAGATTATCTTCATATAGTTCATATACATTGGCAAAATATTAAACTTTTGAAATAGTAGGGCAGTATATGCTCTGAAATGTCTTATGGCTCATTTTCATGGAAAAACGGTTGGGATGTGAAATTAATAAATGTATCCATAGAGAGAAGAGACTATAGAAACAGATAGTAATTGAAACAAATACAAGTATGGAAGGAGCCTTATTTTAACTCTTACACAAAGAGAACAAAGGAACAAACATGTACCAGGTGAGATGGAAATCTAGGTATGTAGAGGAGATGAATTGGGTTGAGTAGTTGACATAAATTATTAATATGTAAGTAATAAGCAAATGAAATGAAATAAATATGTATAGAGAGAAGAGAGTAGAGAAACAAATAGTAATTGAAACAAATACAAGTATGGAAGGAGTCTAATTTTAACTCTTACACAACTAACAGGTCTTGTGTTTACAATGAATTGTATACAATGCATTGTGGCCTTGCCCACCGCCATTATACTATTTGATTAATTGATTTCCCTCACCCTTGAGATATAAAGTCAAGCTGAAGTATTTGTCAGGGGTGATAGTGAGCACTAAAAAAAAAATAGGTTTTTTGTTTTCCCCTCAACCGCGCCCTCCTTGAGTAAAAAAAAAAAAAAAGAGGATTCGCGGGGAAAAATTGGCATCTAACAACATTCCCCCCTTTCGAGTAAGAAAATTGGGACAAAATAGGGAAGAATAGAGAAAATAAGAGGGAAATCGGGAAAATCATGGTAAAATAGGGAAGAAGAAAAAAAATTGGTAAATTTTTTTTTTTTTTTTTTTTTTTTTTTTTTTTTAAATCAGGAAGAAAAAAAATCAGGAAAAAATCGGGAAAAATCAAAAAAATCAGGAAACCGATTTAAATCGGGTTTTGATCAGGCCTAATTTGTTTGGTGGGGCAACTGCTTCACTGCTTCAGGGGCCTTTGCCTTAGTAGGCAATTCAATTAACTCTGCTGTCAGCGAATTATGATGCTGTAAAGTGTAAGAGTTAAAATTAGACTCCTTTCATACTTGTATTTCGAGGGGTCAGTGACACAAAGACGTAACTCCATTTTGGCCATTTTGAGAAAAAGTGGTTTATGTGTCACTGAGCACTTGGGCCTAAGTCTATGTTTCACCAGCCATTGACTTCGATGGGGTGTTGGGTGGAGTTACGGTAAGTCTTTGTGTTTCCTGGAAAGCCCACATTTTTCTGAACATTTTGATATCAAATATTCATTTTGGCAAAATATGGAGTTAACGTCTTTGTGTCACTGAACCCTCAATTTGTTTTAATTACTATTTGTTCTCTAGTCTCTTCTCTCTATACATATTCATTTCACATCATTCGCTTTATAGAAAGTGAGTAAGCAAATAATGTGAAGTAAATAAATGGAGTACTAAGTACATAATTCATTTACTTCAATTACTCAACCAAATTCTCTCCTCCAATTATCTGCTACATACCAAGTCTTCTATCTCACCTAGTACAGTATGTTACTTTGTTCTCTTCTCATTCTCTATTCATGGTCTTGTAGGAATGCATTAGGTATTTCCACTTCTTACTTATCATTGGTTCTCTTCTCCTTTTCCTTTTTAATATTCAGTCTTAATCCTAAATCTTTTTTTGATATTGGTTCACGAATTATTTCATTTTAACTTTGTTTAAAAATGTTTAGTATTTAATAGTATAATGCTGCCTAGCAGTCTACAATAAAAGACCGACTGAGTTGGTCCTATTGATTTCGGGCTCTGCTACTTTAAGTTGGAGATTAAGGAGAGAGGATTTCTTTGAGTTTGGCCAAAGACAAAATACTTCATGCATGGCTGATTGTCAACGAAACGGACTTAAGTCTTTTGTCAATTCTGTTTGTTACTACGGCAGGCAGCCAGTGAAAATGAATTTGTTTGCTAAAATTATGGAAATGCAAGCACTACTTTAAACAAACAGAACTTTGTTATTCCTAGCTCATTTTTCCTGATTGAGGTGTCATATGAAAGGGCAGAAAATGAACTTTCTAGAAATGCAATTTTCTCTTTGAAATTCAGATACTGTCCTCCAAATGACTTTTTGGTTCCCTCTCTTCAAATATGAAATATGCATCATATGAGCTGCATCAAATGAAAGAGGAGGATCTAAGCTTTACAAATATGTGTCATTTATTAATTATAATTGTGATTAAGTTATGATAAAACATCGATAATTTTCGGTTTTGTTTTTTTATCTGGGACGCACTTATATAGACTCTATACATTTGTAAATATAATATGATGGGTGGACAGTGGACTTACCCAATTGCGTCTAAAATGGGGGGTGTTGTTGAGTTGCACTACTGGTACCGGTTGATACATTTTGATGAACAGTCTTTGTAGGACAGTCTCCAACTCTAACTCCAAGGGCTACTCCATGATCTTCAAAATTAAACAAAAGAAGAGTCAGCAATGGATGTCAATGATGCTTCTACACTTTTGTTGAACTAAGTAAGTAAGAGGTAGGCCTAGAGTAGTAGTGTACTTTAGTTTTAGTAAGTAGTAGAGTAGACCCCTAGCCCTACTAAAAAGTACTACATTGTAGTTCTTACTTTGTCTTTAAACTTAAACTACCGGTAAGAAGATCTAGATAGATCTCGACTCTAGGTCTAGATCTAGAATCTAAAATCTGATGATTTTAATATTGCCGAGGGGACAGGCCTCTCGCCATAGAAATTAAAATCGCGTGGCGTTATCCGAGGGAATTTGTGAAATTTGTTATCCAATGTTACGAAGAAAACAAAATGAGAATGATCCTAGCTGTTTGGATTTTTTGAAGCTGTAATTATTTTCCTTACCGTATTTGCCGGCGATAAGGCTGCACCGCCGCATAGGACGCACCCCAACTTTGACATTTCAAAGAGGGAAAAAAAAACGGAAAAAAAAAACAAACAAACAAAACAAAATAATCATAATTTTCTCTTAAAGGTACTATGTCCCAATTGCAGGCCAAACAAATGAAAAAGTTAAATTCCAACTGCATTTGAAAGATAATACTAATTTAGAACTTCCCTAAAAAAGGTGGGGCTTGAAAATGTCTTCAAGTGGGAAAATAACGACTATTAGTTGTCAAATCGACTTTAGGGCTATAGAGCCCAAAAGTAATAGTCTTGATTTTCAGACAATTGTACCGAATGGTCATACGTTTTAATCAAAGATTCAATCAGTTTAATCTTGGCCATCACAAGAAGTGGGTTATTGATGTAGACAAATGCTCATGTACTCTTTACAACTCTTTTCATGTATGTTATTACCAAAGAAGAAAAAAGCCAGTCAGTCACTCAATAGTGTCTGACAGTGAAGTCTAGCAAGTAAATGGGTTTTCTTGCATAATTTGAATATGAGGACACTGCTAACGTTTAAATTTCACAGATAGGACATACATGACATATTCATAATTCCTGCAAAGTTCTACAGCATTTGAGGTTGGCTGCAAAAGGGACATAGTACCTGTAAAACACTATTTTTTTTTACAAACTGATACCAAATTCATCAATATTCTTATAATTTACCGGAAGTTTAGCTAAAAAAGTGATTGCAGGCACATTTGGTGTCTGATATACCCCTACCACAATATACGGTGTAATGCGAAATTGCATGAAATGGAAAACAAAATGGCGACTTCGGATAGATGCTTCGCGGCAGCTCCGTTACAGGGTCCCTTCCTTTACTTTTGCAATGCATTGGCACGAACTTAGATCAAGATATATCGGCAAATGTTGTTTTAGGAAGTTATTTTCGTCATCATGTCAACAATGCAAGATAAAATTGTCGGTAAGATGTGTGTAAATATCTTGTACCATAGTGGTAATTGTACCGTTCGTAGTCCCATATGTGCAAATTCGTGCTGGTTTTGACTTAGGTTTTTTTTTTTTTTTTTTTTACTCTTCCGCCGTATAAGGTCGCACCCGGACTTTTTAATATTTTCTCTTCCAAAAATACTGCGGCCTTTACGCCGGCAAATAGGGTATATTAAAAACGATATTGCATTTTCTTATTTGCACAAAAATTGCAGTAGACCTACTCAAATTTCTGCAAGTCTTTTACTTTATATTTGAGTAAAATAAATTCTCTGTCTCAAAATGAAATTTATACACCCGTCAATGAAAGTTTTGATTGAGGTCAACACACACACAGACTAGGCCGCTGCGCTAAGCCATGTGCACACAATACCATACCTGCCAACCCTTACAAATAATTCTGTTTTGGGGGATTTCTAGGACCTGAAAATCAAAATTTTGATATTTTTGTTTGAAGAATGCGTGGTGCTAGGAAGGGCAAATCAGGAACGCGTACACATGGCGCGCGCACCTCGCCTTATCATTGTATGCGAGGGCCTTGCGAGGGGAACTCTAGATCTAGACCGAATTTTCCGTCTCTTTCGTTCGTTAATCCTCTAATTTGGGTCGGGTCGGCTCTACCCAAATAAGACAAGAGAGCCTCAAGTTTAACGAACGAAAGAGACAGAAAAATTCGGTCTACTCTAGGCCTAAATCTAGCTAGTGCTAAATCAAGCTAAAGTTCTACTAGACCGAATTTTCCGTCTCTTTCGTTCGTTAGCCTCTTATTGGGGTAGGGTCGGCTCTCTCTTTAGAGACGGAAACCGTCTATACACATTCCCTTGATAACGCCACGGCCATTTCAGGTCGTAGCGTTTTGCCCCAAAAATCCCCCAAAATGTCATTTTACCTCGTGCATATCCACATGTAAATTAGGCCTTGGCTATAATAAATCAGTTCCACTTACCAACTTGACTGAAATAATCAGTTTAATAGTCCCTTTTTAGGAAATTATGGGTCAAAATCGAAATCCATTTTGAAAATCTTTTTCAACATAAGAGAGCCGGCCGACCCTACCTCAAAGAGGCTAACGAACGAAAGAGACGGAAAATTCGGTCTAAAGTTCTACGTGCTAGGCCGTCTACCATGACTTACACTTAAAATGAATGAATATTGGACACTGCCTAATTAGGGTGCATACATGGTGGGGAATTCCCAGTCAGGACTTGCTTTGCCTTTGTTAACTAAGCTGAGCTGAACAGTCGAGTCTGCGATCAGGTTCGGCTCTGCGGAGCTCCAGCAGGTCAGCGCCCCGGAACTGCAGGCGTGAAGTCTCAGGCTGAGCCGAGGCTCGTCGGGGGGACTTGTTTTGGCACAATCAGCAATCGATGTTAACATTACTTAGTTGATACTGTAATCACTACTCTCAGTACGGGATATTACGAATTATTGTCTGCAGTCTGGGTGTCTCTAAGGATTTTTTTTTCTTTCTATCTAAAAAAAAACGTGAACAAAACTTACGTGTTTTTAGACGTTGGCTCTAGCTATCAGCTGTTGTTTTCTTTCTACCAACGATAGAGGGCGGTAAAGCCGCAATTGCTCAAAAATATTTTTCTATGTTCATTATAATTCATGAAAATTAATATCTTGTATCGAAAATCTTGTTTCATTATTGAGATAATTATAGTGAACACTCCTTTTTTTTCTTCTTCTTTACACCCACCCCCTTAAGTTTTAAGCTTGTCAGGGGGGGGGGGCTATTTTCATTTTTTGGTTAAAAAAGGTAAAATTAACTAAAGTTACCATCCTTTTTGTACCTGTTTTTTGCCAGGGGGCCGGGCCCGTCGGCCTCCCCCACCCCCCCCCCCCCCCCCCCCCCCTAGATCCGCGCCTGGGCACAGGGGCGCCTGTCCGTTTCCCAAAAAAACTTCTCTTTTTTTTATGATTTGTTTTTCTTGTCGCTTTGGACAAGATGATGTTCCATACGTTACCCAAAATGGCTTATCCTTGCTCAAGGAACATGGTAATGTGGGTATCTTCCACCTTCTCATCATTCCCACATGATGATAGCATTTCGTTGTTAATGATATTTACTAAGGATTAGGGTTTCTGCGAGATAAACATGGATATTTCGATTAGCTTATTATAGTGGGCAGTGGCTATTGCTTGGATCAATAAAATGTAGAGGAAACAAGTCGATATAATAGTATACTCACTGTTTGTCTAGATCCTGCCAAATGCGAAATGAATCATGGAATGAGGCGTCGAGTCCTCTCCTCAGAAATATTTATCCAGCAGAGCTAAAAGGATTCACACATAGTCTTACACTGTAGTTCAAATAAAAGTAACTGGCAACAATTAACATGAGAGGTCTCTTCTAGAACGTGATATAAAGGCGTTTACAATGTCTCTTTCGCAAGATAAGAGAAGAGTATTGTCTTTGAGTCATGAATCCGGGTTGATCGACGGATACCAAAACATGGAGTGCGTCGAAGAAAATGATATAGAAATCAATCAAATGCAGATTCCCTTTGCACACAATTTAATGTGCTTCGTTCCATCAGATTTCCATGTAGAAGTGACGGATAACCCTTATGAAATTAAAGCCAGACTATAACTGTGTGAGCCTGTCTTTAACACCGTCTAGTGATGGGGCATCATGTGAGCAGGCCGGGGGGGGGGGCGCACTTGTCATCAGTGACAAAATGACAGTTTTTGTTATAAGCTACTGAAATCCTTGCTTCTGATTGGTTATCCGCAGATTTGTCACCGAATTTTGTCATTTGTCATTGGAAAAATGCTTTGTGAAACGCCCCCATGCAGAACTAATCACATGATATTATTTTAAGCACAATGCCCATCAGGACCGACTCACTGAGCGACAGGTTGTGTATTCTTTTGTTTGGTTGGTTAGCTCTAGTTATATATATGTATTTTCCACTGGTTTCGTTGCAGACCAAAAGGTTTTTGATCATGTGATCCAAAATGTTTTGGATCATGACTTGTGGTCCAAAACGAAAACCAGAGGAAAATTACATTTTGCATCATGACTTAATTGTGGTCCAAAACGAAACCAGAGGAAAATTACATTTTGGATCATGACTTAATTGTGGTCCAAAACGAAACCAGAAGAAAATACATGTAACTAAAGCTAACAAACCAATCAAAAGAATACATGATTATCTCTAGCTCAGTGAGTCGGTCCTGATGGGCATTAATTGGGATGAAAAAATATCATGTGATAAAGTGGCCTTGGCATTTCGTTGAATCCGCTCAACAGAAACCTTAAGATGTTCCCAGACAAAAAAGAAACTTTATATATATATATATGGTTATTATAATTTAAATAGCACTCGAATGGACGTAAATTGCGGGTAACACACACACACACGCGCACATAGTTTGCAAGAATCTCCAGTCAATATTGAAGGTGGCAGACTTAATCATCATCATCATCATCATCATCATCATCAGAAGAAGAAGAAGAAGAAGAAGAAGAAGAAGAAGAAGCGCTCCTACGTTTATGTAGGCTATGTTTGAAGAAAAGAAATGCTTCAGAAATCAAGTCTTACTTTACCTCATCTGGGAGCGTCACATTAATTATGTCTTTCAAGGAAATAAGTTCAGTCACGCGAAGAATATGTCATAGATTATTTATATCAGACTTTTATATTGTTTATATTATATCATAATATTCTGATATAATAAACTATGACACATTCTTCACGTGAACTTATTTGTAATGTGATGCGTTTGCTATTTCATGATGCCCAAGGTTGAGAGATAATGTAACGAATGTATTATGAAACTATATTCGATCGTCATTTAGATGAGAATGGGGGGGGGGGGGTGGATCTAGATACTTCAATAACTGTGTCATGTGTGTATCAAATGCCATTCTTTTCCCACACTCATTTAAATTTACTACACAGTCTACATGAGTGAATCTAGACAATTTCCAAACATCTTCTGTTGCAAATGTAAACATGTTACCCCCCCCCCCCCTTTAAACACACTTTTTTTTTTAGGGGGGATTTAAAGGTAATACAAAGTTTTGGTAAATTTTGAAAATTGGGTGGATAGTGATTCTTTACAATTTTGATATATTTGGATTCCCCTGTGGATGTATTATAAGCACACAAATTTTTAGCCCCTTAAACACTTCTGCTTTCGAGAAAAATGGAATATAAAAATTTACCGGTGCTCCCCGTAAATTTTAATAAATTTCAAATAGCGCCTACGGCCGTACATATGGTAGCTGCGACCATGCACATCTCAGAATATGTAGTTGTGATATATAATTTCCAAACGGGAATAGCTAATCGGTCGATTTCAGTCAAGAAATACTGCTTTATAGCTTAATTAATATACTGACCTTGAGAGGGAGCTTTTCAACATAAAGAGTTTATTATTGACAATTTCATAACTTTAGACTCGATTTCAACCGCGACAACAATCATTGAATATTTACGGATCGCATATGATTCTAATATGTTCTTTTGAACCAAATTCATGACCCCATACCAAAACTTTGTATTACCTTTAACCTCGCTCTTTCGATCTCCTACCAAAGCCTACACATTTTGTACGTGTTACAACTATTTCTCTCAGATCGCTGTGAGACTTATTGAAGAGCGCCATCTACCATACAAGCCGCAAGTTAAAAAACACTACAGAGATGAAAAACAACAACTCGATCAGCTGGTAAAGTGGTATATGTAGTGATTAATTTACAGCATGCAGTGAAAAGCCAGAGAACTTCAATGTTATTCTAGATGTCATTTTGGGCGAATATAGCATGTAAGTGATAGGTAGCATCTACCCTGAACAAATTTAAAAGTTTGCATTTGTTCAGTTATTGCGTAATCTAGGCTTAGATCTATTATTAGTATTTTTTGTAGTCAAAAACTTTTTTCACGCCAGTGCAGCGCGAGGCCAAGGAGGCCTCAAAAGCGACAGCGTCTTCTCCCGGAGTTGAGGGAGCCTAGCTAGCCCACGTGTATGCTACCGCCTTCCTCCGCCAAGCGCAAGCCCAAGTGCTGAGCTTTGTCAATCCACACCATGCACTATATTTCCTAATCTTGTGGAAATGGTGTTGTTAATTATTGTCATAACAAATTGAAATTGTCTTTAACAAATGCTTAGCATCATGATCATCGGGTACTGCAAAGTTAGCTTGTCTTTTTTCTTTAAATCGATAGCCTACAATTTTAAAAGTAATGTCAATGACAATCACACTTTCAACTATGCAGCCGATCAATCATCAATGATTTATGTTTTAATAAATCTAGTCTAGATCTAGTCAGAGAACATAAAAAAGACAAAATACATTAAATTTAATGATTTACAGTTAACTTTTAACATTCCACAAGTCGAATCGGCGCACAGTGCATTTCAACTTTCAAGGAATGTTTCATAAAGCTGTTTGTAAAGTTACGCATGACTTTATGAAGGACTTGTAATGAAGTGCCAGATACATGTAGGATGCCAAATTTTTTTCTGATATTTTCACTAACCTCAATTAAATTATGGCAAAAAATATACTTTGCATTAAAAATGTTTGTTATCATAAGAATGTTAATCAACATCTGCACAGTTCAACTTTAGTTGATGTCACTATGAACACGATGGACAAAGAAAGCGGACAGAATATCTACAGTTCCTCGTTCTATTCTACCCTCAACAATTGCTATGGTAGACAAAGGAACATCCCTTCACTGCTATTATGTAAAAAAAATAAGTAGCACAGGTGAATATACATGTACATGTGACACCTGTTCTACACATTTTTACATATAGCAGTGAAGGGATGTTCCTTTGTCTACCACAGCAATTGTTGACGGTAGAATGAGGAACTGTATATCTTGTCCGCTTTCTTTGTCCGTCATGTTCATAGTGTGTAGACTATTTAATAATTATTCAGGGCCCTGCTGGGCATAAATGCATCGGTTCTTGTGTTTATAATTGCCATGTCTCATCAATGCTGAATATATTTATATGTACTTGTAATATGTCTTCCAACAGGGATCCCGTAGGGAGTGCAGAGCCAAAGAAGAGCAAAAAGTCCAAGAAGAAGAAGAAGTCAAAGAAGGTTAAAGACAACAAGGGCAACGTCGATAACCTGCAGAAAGATGTTGATCAGATAGCAGAGATCATGGTGACTAACATCGATAAGATGCTTGAGAGAGCAGAAAACCTTGAAGATTTAATGGAAAATGCAGGTAACTATTAAAGATATCTGGGGGGGGGGGGTGGTTCACAAAGACTAAGATCAACTTTAGGTTGGACTGATCTATGGCAGGCCATTAATGCCACTGTTTTCTCTCGCCTTAGATAATATTTTTTCCTTCAATAATGAATTATCAAAAAATATAAATTCTTTAGATTTGTGACTATAATTTGTATGTCCTTTGAGAGACCAATGCCAGTAAGCGGTGAGAGCAAACAGTGGCATGAACAGCCTGCCATAGTTAAGTCCAACTTAAATTTGATCTTAGTCTTTGTGAAACACTCCCCAGGTATTAATGACAAATGTTTAAATAAATTGCTCATGAAAGATCTCTGTGGATGTGCTATAGCCGCAGAATACCCAACCCATATGTAACCGTAATCCTGAATCCTGACATTGATCCTAATTCTCTTTTTTATAACTCTAAAACCCTAATCCTACCCCTGACGTTAAGGCTTATAACCCTAACTCTCATCCTACCCTAACATTCATGATGAAATATTCTGCAGTTTACTGTATGCCTACCGTAATAGTTAAATTTCTTTACTCTAAATATTGGCCTACATGGATAAATCTTTCAAAAACAGAACATTACTTAAAGATGAAGTTGAGTTCTGATCATGCGATTGCATTGTGAAAGAAACGGTGTGGAATTGATTAGGAGAGGTTGATCATCTATGTATAAGAATTTGTGTGTATTGCAAGGTTTTGGAATCATCAAAATGATAAGAAATTTGGCCAAGTCTTGATAAAGTTACAAACACTGTACACAGAAAGATGTATATAGGACTACACGAACACATGGGGTAAAAATCCTACCCGGATTTTTTACGATGTTACATGACATATTTAGAATATGAAGGCATTTGAAAAGCCATGCTTTTCAGGGAACATGTCTTATCTGATGTTCTTCCACACTTGCATACCGGTAATAAGAATGTTACAAATTATTTTTCACCTCTTCCCAGAACTCAACCTTCTCTTTAAAAAAACCCCTGCAAAATGATGGGTGGCAGAAATACTTCTGAGTGGAAGAAGAGCGTGCATTTTGAAGTTATGAATATTATTTTAATCCAATGATATTTCATTACAATATGATTTGATTGGGTAGCTGTAAGTAAAATTAAATTCTTTAAAGGTATAGACCAGTTCTGGTCATGCGATTGTGAAAGAAATATTGTGAAATTGATCAGAAAAGGTTGATCATCTAGCATATCAGTATTGGTGGGTACTGCAAGGTTCTGGAATCAACAAAATTATAAGAAATTTGGCCCAGTCTTGGTAAAGTTACAAGCACTGTACACCGAAAGATGTATATGGGCCTACGCGATTATCTATCCAGTCCTGATAGATATAATAATTTACCAAATATATCAATTAGTTGGCAGTTTTCCCAGCAAAATTTGTATCATCACTTATTAGTCAAAACATATTCTTTCCCATGATTGGTAATAAGAGCTTCTATTTCATTTTTTGAGAGTGGGGGGGGGGGGGGGGGGGCGTTTCCAAAACTGGTCTATACCTTTAAACAAGAGTTGTACTAAATTTCATCACTAGTCAGATTATCGCACTTTAACAAAAATGAATGTACTTTTTATATTCAATTTCAGAGGATCTAGAAGCACAGGCAAAAGGCTTTCAAGTTGTCACAATGAAGGTTAAAGAAAAGGAGAAATGGAAATACCAAAAAGTGAGTACCGGTCTAAGTTTACCGGAATATGTTACGTACCGCAAGATTACACTTTTTTCCTCTAATAAGAATGTACTGGCTAACCCCCCCCCCCCCCCCCCCTCCCACTCCCAAGGTTGATAACTTGATCAATAGAGATTTCCAACAAGCAGCCATATTGGGGGACAGACAGTAAATACCCGTGCATCGATCAGACCATGAAAAGTCATTGTTTCCATGGTCTAGTGAACAGGTTTGCTATTGTATATACTCCGATATGGCTACTTGTTGGAAGCCTCTGTAAACAGATCAGTCACAAAAAATACTAGCATGAAATGGTAACTCGACAGTGAAATTTCAAGTTTGAATACTTTCTAAATGAACACAAGAGGGACAACTGGAAGTTAGAAGAGTATGTCTGGGCGAGCATCATATATGTTCCACTTCTTCTTTGTTTATTTTGCTATATTAGGAAAATAGAAATTAATAGCAGCTTAGAGTTGTTTAAGCAAAAGACTTTGTAATTCTGTGAATATACATATTTATAATTTATATAAATGTTTATGTATAGTCATTGGTTATACAGTGCGTCCCAGAAAAAACGAAACCGAGAATTATCGATGTTTATCATAACTTAGTCACATTTATAATTAATAAATGATACATATTTGTGATTGTGATTAAGTTATGATAAAGCATTGATAATTCTCGGTTTCGTTTTTTCTGGGACGAACTGTATATTGCTTTGTCTTTTAAAAAAATCTAAGAAATCTGTCAAAAAGAGGTATGGATGGACTTATAATCTATACAGGATTTAACATGAGCCTTTGTTATTCTGGTTATCTGAAGAAATAAAATTGAAACCAGTTAGTGAAGAAGAGAACTTTCTCAATGATTTTTATTTCAATTGTTTTGATTATTATTTATATATATTGTAATTGTACATATGTATATTGTAACTCTTGTCTTTTATCTGTAAAGCTATGGCTATTCAGCCATCCAGCTGCGAAGATATGTTTTTTTTAACAAATATTGAATGAATAATCTCTCCTTTTATTTTCCTGCAGTCAAAGATGTGCCTGACTCTGATAATCGTCTTCATCATGATAGCCATCATTGCAATCATTCTATGTAAGTACAAGGGCTTCTAGGACCCAAGACTTTTACATTTGATTGAACAAATACCGCCCCCCCCCCCCCTTTCCACCAACAACACACAACATCAAATGCATTGGACAATGCCCCTGTCTCTTCTCTGGTTAACTACTACCCTCTTTCTTTGGACCCTCGCCCCTAACTGGACGACAACTTAACCCTTGGACTTTGACCCGATTGGCCAACTTGCCCTAGGTTAACTTCCCCCTCTCAAACAACTACCCAAGGACAATACCCCCACTCCCCTGACAACTCTCCTCTTTTGATAACTACTTGTGGACTATCATCTCCATTTGGACCACTTTCCCCAAAGACAAGTTTTCAAAGGTCACAGAGTCATTAACTATTTGGATATAGGCAAAGGCATGAGTGACATCCTTCTACTTGTGAACTTTAATATACCATAGATACAAAGTTCTCTCGTTTTATTAGTAAGTTTTCCTGTATGGCTTTACTTCATGCATAGATATATACAGTGCATCCCAGAAAAAAACAAAACAGAGAATTATCAATGTTTTATCATAACTTAGTCACAATTATAATTAATATATGACACAAATTTGTAAAGCTTAGATCCTCTTTCAGTTGGTGCAACTCATATGATGCATATTTCACGCATGAGCGATTAAAAACAATTTGAAGAGAGGAAACCAAAAAGTCATTTGGCGGGCTTTTTATGAATTTCAAAGAGAAACTAACATTTCTAGAAAGTTCAATTTCTGCCCTTTCATATGATACCTCGATCAGGAAAAATGAGCCAGGACTAACAAAGTTCTGTTTGTTATAAGTAATGCTTCCACAATTTCCATAATTTGATGATTGTTTTTCTTGGTTTTGTGTTTTTATGCAGTGATAGTTCAGCCTTGGTAGCGATGCTGGAGTACCTTTTGTGCCTTTAAACTTGACTGGATGGTGTCAGATAGATCATCAACTAGCCAATAGAGTGCCCTCTCGATCGTGCCATCCTGTTGGACTGTCCGAGAAGTGCCTCTTGAGGAATCATAGGAAAACTCAGGGACACACTTGCTGCTTATACCAGAGAGGGTGACCTTTGAACCTATGAAGAGAGCTGCAAAGAGTAAAACCGTCCCAACAAAGATATCTGTGCCCTGTCTTACAAAGAGTTGCGATCCAAATCAATCGCAAGTCCTCTAATCAATCGCAAGTTTGCAGGCTCCTGTTTATAATGTACATAGTTGCAATTGATATCTATCGCAAATAAGTTGCGATTGATATCAACTCTTCGTAAGACAGGGCCCAGGGTAATAGATATATGTCAGTGCATTATTTCAAGTGCCATATAAAATGGGCTTGCTTTTTATAATTAGGTAAGCAAAATGTGTTTGGCATTTCTGTATCTTGTAAGTTACAGGCCTGATAAAAACTCGATTTAAATCGGTTTCCCGATTTTTTTTAAATTTTTTCCGATTTTTTCCTGATTTTTTCCTGATTTTTTTTTTTTTTTGACCAATTTTTTTTTTCTTCCTATTTTATCCTGATTTTCCCGATTTTCCTCTTATTTTCTCTATTCTTCCCTATTTTGCCCTATTTTTTCCTAATTTTGTCCTAATTTTCTTACTCGAAAGGGGGGAATGTTGTTAGATGCCATTTTTTCCCCGCGAATCCTCTCTTCTTTTTTTTTACTCAAGGGGGGCGTGGTTGAGGGGAAAACAAAAAACCTATTTTTTTTTAGTGCTCACTATCACCCCTGAAGTTACTCACTCATAAGAGAGTATATGCAGAATTTAAATTGTGGCCTTCTCGTTCTTGGGCGTTCTTGTGCAGAGGTGAAAAAAGCAACTACGGTACCGGTAAAGTGTTAAAACATCATTTGAAAAAACAGCAGTTATTGGATGGAAGAAAATCAGTTATGAACAAAATTGATGATGAAGGCTCATTGGTAAAAATCTACTACGGTAACTACAAAAATGTATCATTAAAACGTTATCTATGGTATATGATGAGCCTTTTAGATGGATAGAATTTTGTTGATTACCAGAAATTTTATATGCCAAATATTTTTGCACTGCCATATATTAAACAGTAGAATAAGTGAATATGTGTGTGAGGGGGGGGGGGGGAGGGGTAGAAAGGAGTGTGGGAGAGAGAGAGATGAAACGGGCAAAGAAAAGATTAAAAAAAGGAGATCCCATTGTATTTACTTTTTATCAATCATGTTTACAAAGTCAAATTGTATTGCTATACTTAATGCCAAAAAATGGATTGCCTGGACAAGAGAGAGAGAGAGAGAGAGAGAGAGAGAGAGAAAGGGAGGGATAGATAGGGAGGGGGAGAGAGAGAGTTGGAGAGAGACACACACAGAGACAGGGAGAGAGGAAGAGAGGGTGTAGGAGGATGAGAGTGATAAAGACCAAAATAAAAAGGAAAAATGGAATGTATAATATATTATAGGTAGATGTTTTTTTAACATATGAATTGTAGTGAACCAAGAAAAACAATCAAAAACAAACATTAAGAGAATGAGGTACAGTATATGTACATATGTAAACTTGGGAATTAGCTGAGTAATTTTATTTAACCAATTATCCAAAAGTGTACTTATATATGTCAGAGGCCTACAATCATCATATGCTGTATATAGATATTTTTATGTTATTTGCAATTTTGCATAGACGAATATATTGCTTTAATTACCTTGATTCATTATTACAATGTTTGTATTCTAAAAAAAATTCTTGGATTTAAGAAATGTGTTTTCATGTACTTATTTTTTGTAAAAAGTGCCTTAAGCAGAAATATTCAATTGTCTTCTACGCATAGTACTCTCAGTTCCGTACAGTTTCAACGAAACCTCTCAAAAAAAGTTATAAAACTCAATTAAAATGTATACTATCTCTCATGCAATGGCATATAACCATCGCTATGTTTAGTATCATGAGAAAATGTGTTCCTAATATTCCTTTTTAAAATGATACCCCATTTATTATAATTTGTGAGTCATGTAATGTGCAGTAAATCAAAATAAGGGGCAAGGTAAAAAGTTAAAAGTTAAAGAATGTACTGCTCTTGTTCGACTTTGCAAAATTATTCACGATCCAGTAAAGGGCTGCTGTGTTATAAGATGATCTTCCATGAGCAACATACACACATAACACGGCACTGAGCAAACATGCATGAAGTTGAACAAACATGCAAGCACTAAAACATTTATGCTTTATCACTCAAACAAACATCCATGAGCATTCAAATAAAGTTGATGACCAAACAGTCGTAAACTTTGCCCAACACTCATGTCACCATAGTGCAAATTTCCATTTTCAGATTCCTTAGAATTTGGCATTCATGGATGACCAGTTTGGAACAATAGCCCAGAGCAATTTACAAAAATCACACTATCTTAAATCAAAAAAAGAGTCCTCTGCATAACAATATTACTATTTATCAGTGCCTTTATCAACTCTTCACTTTTCATGCTGCCAAAATCATACCAAACATGGTACCATTTTAAAGAGGAATAAACACACTTTGTAATGATACTAAACAAAGCGGTCATGATGTCACGACAAGAAATATATAATCAATCATACTTCAGTTTTCAAACTTTTTTTGAGGAGTTTTCAAATCAGTACTCAAGACATTTTATACTTACCGGTATTTATGTCTATATTTTCTCAGTTGTTTAGTTAGTTTAGTTTGTAAGCATTTAAATGTATGCATTATTCTTATCCGACGAGTTTGTTCTTTTAGGACATGCTCATAAGCTGCTCATGAGGGACCTTAAATCCACAAGCCTTGCTTTCAACCAAGGTCACCTCATCTTTCTGTTGTAACGCCATATTCTGTTAAATTGTTATATTCATGTCATATTTGTAATTTGTGTTATGAAAGAAAGATGATTAAAACTTGAACTTGAACTTGAACTTGAATTTAAGCACATGCAGTGACTGCCCTAAGTGAGTCAAAGACCACATTGTTTTGGGATCCATTTGATGTTGCTTGGGCTTCATTTGATGTTGCTTGGGCTTCATTTGATGTTGCCTGGGCTTCATTTGATGTTGCCTGGGCTTCATTTGATGTTGCTTGGGCTTCATTTGATGTTGCTTGGGCTTCATTTGATGTTGCCTGGGCTTCATTTGATGTTGCCTGGGCTTCATTTGATGTTGCTTGGGCTTCATTTGATGTTGCTTGGGCTTCATTTGATGTTGCCTGGGCTTCATTTGATGTTGCCTGGGCTTCATTTGATGTTGCCTGGGCTTCATTTGATGTTGCCTGGGCTTCATTTGATGTTGCTTGGGCTTCATTTGATGTTGCCTGGGCTTCATTTGATGTTGCTTGGCCTTCATTTGATGTTGCTTGGGCTTCATTTGATGTTGCTTAGGGCTTCATTTGATGTTGCCTGGGCTTCATTTGATGTTGCTTGGGCTTCATTTGATGTTGCCTGGGCTTCATTTGATGTTGCCTGGGCTTCATTTGATGTTGCTTAGGGCTTCATTTGATGTTGCCTGGGCTTCATTTGATGTTGCTTGGGCTTCATTTGGTGTTGCTTGGGCTTCATTTGATGTTGCTTGGGCTTATATTGTAAATATCACAAGCTCAAAGGGAGTTGACAAGGAAAATGTTTCACAACTAAGATCAATTTTAAGTTGGACTGAACTATGGAAGGCCGTTCATGCCATCGTTTGCTCTGACCGTTATGATCTTTAGATAATATTTTTCCTTCATTAAAGAATTATAAAAAATTGTAAATTCTGTAGATTTGTGACCATGATTTGTAGGTCCCTTGAGAGACCAATGCCAGTAAATGTTGAGAGCAAACAGTGGCATGAATGGCCTGCCATAGTTAACTCAAACTTATATTCGATCTTGGTCTTTGTGAAACCGTCCCACCTGATTATAGAAGTTTGGAGTAAGAGCCAATCTAAACAAGTGGACAAGACATCAATATTTACATGTATATTGAACACAAAAGGCAAATGGTGGAAAATCTGGCATTGTCGACCTGTTAATGTTTATTTTGCAAAAATAATGGATAATTTATTTTAAAGGTTGTCATTTGAAAGATATATTATATGATGAATTATTCAAGGACTTAAAAGGGTAATTGACCTATGTACAGCATTATTTTTCAGAAAATATGTAGGTATCAACAGCAGGTTGATTTTGCAAGATTATCCCATGTCTTTTGTACACACCCCCTTGCATTAAACGTTAAAGGCTCTATTCATCAAGCATTGTATGCCATGTTTTTTCTTTTTTTTCCTCCTACCTGTGCTCAGTTTTCTGAAGTTTTGTCTGGCTACTAGGACTGGCGAATTACTGTAACTGAGAGTTAGTTATTCTATAAAAGTGTTCTTTATAACCAGCTCCCATTGTATAACTGTTATGTTCAATTCAGATTTTACAATAATTATGTTTTTTTTAGACAGTAGAATCTCTGTCAATCTAAAAGATTGTGTATTAATGTGATTACCTCTTATAATCACCTTGAAATGGAATTGCTAGTTCATGTGTTACAATACAATTTTGAACCAGAAAATATTTGTAAAATGTGATATACCAATTACATGTATGTGGTGCTAATAGTTGATTATAATTATCTGTACATTTATATGTATTAAGCCTTCATATTTCTATACATGTAGTAAACTGATTTGATATACCAATTATGTGATGCTAATTCTTGATTATAATTGTCTGTACATTTATATGTATTCAGCCTTCATATATCTATGTTGTAAACTTATTTAAAATAAATTTTTGATAAACCAAATAACTATTTTGTGCAAAGAAATCATTTTGGCCTCCTTCAGATAAGTATGTTTCCAACCTTTACTCTAAATTACTTTATCCTTTTATTCATTTTCTTTCTCTTTCTTTGTCTATTTTTCTCTTTGGTTCTTATATACACATGTAATATTGTTTCATTTTATAAGGCTTTTTTTTTAAATAGGTTTCTCCTTCTTCCTGTTGATGCTCTTATAAATTCATTATTTTTTAAGTATTTTGTTGATATTTAAAAGAAGAAGAAAATGAACGTTATTTTGATGATTGATTGTAGATGATGATTCCTGCATGTTGTATAACAAGAAAAACAAGTGATAATTATGATTAACAATGGGAAAATCAAAATAGAGTTTGGGAACCAAGATGGGGGGGGGGGGGGGTGGTTAGGGAAGTGAAGGTGAGAAAGATGTAGATTACTTTGACTGAGCTTGAATTAATAGACACAAAATCAGAGAGGAGAGAGAGCTCAGAGAGAGAGAGACGGGGGGGGGGGGGGGGGTGGTAGGGGAGGGGAATGGGAAAGGAGGCTATAATAGAGAGAATATTTTATTTTTCCATCATATTTTTTCCATTCTATTAAAAATATAGATTGGAAACCTTCACTATGAACATGACAGACAATGAAAGCGGACAAAATATACAGTTCCTCAGGAAAACAAAGGAACATCCCTTCACTGCTATTATGTAAAAATGTGTAGAACAGGTGAATATGCATGTGACACCTGTTCTACACATTTTTACATAATAGCAGTGAAGGGATGTCCCTTTGTCTACCTGAGGAACTGTATATTTTGTCCGCTTTCATTGTCTGTCATGTTCATAGTGCTTGTAAAGGTTCTTAAAATATATGAAAAAGAAAGACAAAAATTAATCCTCCGTGGCGGGGAATCGAACCCCGGTCTTCCGCGTGACAGGCGGAGATACTTACCACTATACTACCAAGGAATTGGATGGGAATAGTGCGTCTTTTAAATTATAAACTACCGTATTGCATTCGTCGTTGTCTATTGACTAGGGGTGCTCTGCTATTTTTCATGAAGGTATATTACTAATATATACCTTGTCACAAATCATGCTTAAACGTGATCTAATCCCCAAATTATATTTCTATTATTATGTTATTTACCTTCGGTATGCTCTCTATCCTGAAAGACTATGTAAAACTTAATGAACTCTTCCAGTTTCATGACTGCAAAAATAGCTGGGCTCCCCCGGTCGAATTGATCTCTTTTATTTTCCTGAGCATGCGCAAAACACACGCCCAAGACATTTTCTTGCAAAGCTTCGTGCGAGCGCAATAGTTGAGGTAAGAATTTGGTTATGTTTCATGCGAAATTGACTATCAAGCTTGAATAAGATATTTGAACTGTGGGATCATGCCGTTTTTGAATGACGTGTCCAAATAATTGTTGAAGTGTTCATATTTTGTGTGTAGTGAATTAAAGCGAAATGCATTGTAGGAAATGAATCCCATAATCCTAAAAACGCAATGCGTTTTCCTCTTGGCCCATACGTGCGTATATGTATGAAAGTGTGCTGAGGTAGTCAATAAATATATTGATAATCCTCGTGCAGGGGCCAGTTTTTCAACTATCCGCCCCGTTGCATCGTGGGCTTACCCAGAAATCATAGCCAAATTTCCCGACATTCCCCTTTTATTTCTGCTAAATAAGTACAGATTATAGTCTGCTTGTGAAATGAAAAGATGCGATTTTTATCAAAATTCACCTTTAAGATTTATATTGACCCGTCAGAACTCTATAAAATGAGGATTGCGATCAAAAGTAAATGTTGTACATCGGAGAATTCGTATGGAAACCCCGCATGAGTGATGCTGCGTGATATTTGTACGTTAATAGAGCCGCTGAATATGGCAGGATATTGCATGGTTTTTCTGCCGTGTGCATAGGCCTGGAATACTTCAGTAGGTGCTACGGGAGTGAACTTGCTCCTGCAGCTGCAGCTGCAGGCATGACATATTTAGTGACAGTTTTTTTCAGACGACAGGCCCCAAGTCGTTTCACACTCGCTGCACTGGGTACAATAATAGGGCCAATAATAGAATAGGGTCTACATTATAGTGATTTACAGTCACAATTTAAGTAATTAGATTCTGTTTGCTGGGAATTAATTGCCACCAAGACAAGTGACATGCATGCAGCTAAGCCTAAGGTGCTTCATGAATACCTCTTCAGGCTCTTGTTTGCCCTCTTGTGCAAGAATACTAAGTTCAAGTTCAACTTGTATTCTGCCCTGTCATAATAATTTTAGATTTTATTTTCATGTCTTGTTACTTATTTCCTAGAGGCTAGACCTACATGTAGATCTACTCTAGTCTGCAATTATTATTTGGTCTAGATTTATTAATTATTGTTATTTGTACTTGCAGCTCACAAGCTAGTAGTAGACCCTAGTTTTGTGGGGGTAGTCTATCCTTACCATTGATATGTGTGGACTATCATATATTGATTGTGACCTTTTTCATACTTTGATAATCATTTAATGGAAGTTGATTAGTCTACATAGACACTAGAATTAGAAAGGTGGTGAAAATAAATATGAAATGAAATATAAACAAAAGTTTTGTTAATTTTAGAATTATTTTAGTAGTATTAGCCTATATTATTAAATTGTGATTATTTGTTTTATTATTAATATTTTTTTACATTTTAATTTTTGACTTTTTTAATATCATTATAATTATCATCATTATTATTATTAATGTTATTATCATATTACCATTATCATTATTAAACCATTGCCATCATCATCAGTAGCAGCATCAACATCATTATTACCACCATATACCACCACCACCAAATCGTCATTACTATGTTTTTATTATTGTTATCATCAGTAATCCAGAAGAAATGGAGGGTGACCTTGACATGGACAAGGAGCATGTTGGGTCAGAGGTCAACTCGAACCAGGAAGTGATTGGTATGCTACTGTCACAGGCATCCGATGGAGAAGATAGCCAACTCCAGATACAACCTGATATAGTAAGTCAGATCTTATTCAACCCATAGTGGCGCAGTTCAGAGTTTTCTTGTATTAATTAATTAATCAGTTTTCTCACTGTAAATTGGCAACAGTTCATAATCATATTTTCTACTCCTTCATAGTTTGAAGAAAATAAGAATGTTTATTAAATGAACCAACACAATCAATGTGAAATTAAATTTCAAAATTTAACCCCCCCCCCCCCCCCAAAAAAAAAAAATGCATTGGAAATAGACTAAAAGTTTTCTGTTAAATTTTGCTCCTTCTTTTCATGTATAATAGAAGATCACTAATGTAATTTCTTGATTTTGCATGTGAATTCTAGCCTGAGGATGAGGTAGGTGGGGCAGGAGATCACGAAGGAGGATCCCTCCTGGACGATGGCTCCAGCCTCCAGGCGGTTCAACTTACAGATGGCACCACAGCTATCATACAACAAAAAGGTAAACATGTAGTGACATTTACTCCAGCAACAGATGCTCCAGGGGCCGGGGGGTGTTTCACAAAGATCCAAAGTCAAACTTAACTCCAAGTTGGACTTAAAAATTATGGAGAGCCATTTGTAGCCTTAAAATAAAATATTATTCAAAAGCGAAAATTTAAGTATTTTAGACTTTTTATAAATTCCACATCAATGCATGAAATCTCCTTAGTGATAGAAAATATGAATGATTTGAATCAACATTTTATGCCTTTTAAAATAACTTTTACAAAATATTTTCATAGATGCTAATCGCTTTCCATAATTGTTAAGTCCCATGTTGTCAGGGCTCAACACTAACAGGCACCCAAATTTGAAGTCCTTATCCCCTAATTTATTTTACTTAGGGCTCTGAATGCATACAGAATTACAGACTGTAACAAGTTCAATTTTAGATCCCCTTCTAGAAAATTTATTGGGAGCCCTGCTAATACTTTGAAATTTAAGTTCTTTCACACAACATACATGCCAACTGTTCAGATTAAAGAGGAACATTCCTCTTTTTGGGAGAAGATAATTATCATTTTAATGCAGGTGTTCCTCTTCCTGTACAAATTTGTCTGTAATATTGAATAGGAGAGTTAGGATTGTTCCTCTTTTTTTTGAAAATAGCATAATTTGTACAGATTTCTGGTTTTCAAATGTTGGCATGTATGACACAAGTATAAATTTGTTCTCCCGTGTAAGAGTACCGTACCACTTACTTTGTGCTTGTTTTGTTCATAGGTGATGGGAGCATTTTAGAAGGCCAGGCTGTACAGTTGGAAGATGGAACCACAGCGTTTATTCACAATCTCAGTGGGAAAGGTAAGCTTCATCTTTTACTTGAAAACTGTTTTCCGTTTTCTCTCTCTCAAATTCTTCTATGAAATGACAATTATTTTTAGTACAGGGCAAATGAGAGGGAACTGAAATGCCAATTTGTCTTTGATTGATCTAAAGTTTAAAATTCATATTTTTTTTAAAAATCAGTCAGATTTTGGCATTTTGCTCAAACTTTCGCTGACCTGTACCTCTACTTTGTCTGCTTCTATTAGAACCAGCTAAATAGCTGGGTGGACTTCCCTTTTAAGTCAGAGAATTTCAATGACCCCAAAAGAGAGTACAGCTCAGTCTCTAATACTTGTCTTGTGTCCAAACAGCTTATCCACCCAATGATAAGCTACAGTAACCTTTTTAGTATGTAAAGTGCTTTGTCTAATGATCCTGGGACTTTGAAACTCCATCAGGGAAAAATCAGAACTTTGTTTTTGTGGAATGGTGGGAACCCTTTTCTGCTCTTTTTAAACAAAAAATTTGATTCTGTTTGCTGAATGAATGAACGAATGTATAAATGATTGAATGAACAAATGCATGGATGAATGAATGAATGGATGGATGAATGAGTTAATGAATGAATGAATAAATGAATGAATGAATGAATGCATGAATGAATGAATGAATACTTATTCAATATTTTCTCATTTTTAACAGGATTTGAGGAAGGCCAAACTGTTCAGCTTGAGGATGGATCAACGGCTTACATCATCAGGACAAATGCTAAAGGTTTATTTCCTTTCTTTTTACGGTCTTTTTTGTTGTTGTCTTTGTTTGTTTCAGATACAAACACACCTATCGTATTTTTTTGTAATAGGGTTTGCCCTCGAAAGGCTGATGGCCTTTGTAAATCCCACCATATTTTAGATCCCTTGTTGATCATACATTGCCAGACAAACAAATATCGCTAGCGATATTATTTTCAATATTTTAGTTTGTTTGTGTTTTATGGTTTTATTTGTCATTGTGATTGTTCTTTTTTATTCAAATTTGAAAATAAAATGAACTGAAAAAAATCTTATTGAATTTTTCCATCCTAGGTTACCAATCACATCCCCCCCCCCCTTTCCCGCAAAAAAAAAGAAGTTATGTCTGGAAGGTTTCCCATGTTTCTATACAATACTTATGATGTAATCCCCAATCATTTCTTATGCATAAAGATATTTAAACACCCTTAGTAAATACAAAAGAGACTTATACACAGGGGCATATAAGAAGAAGAAAAAGGAGAAGAAGAAGGAGGAATTTTTTTATATCTATGCATATTTTATCGTTATTCTGTTTGTTTGTTTTATATGTTTTTTTGTACAATGATTGAAATAAAGAATCCTGATATCTTCTCTTCTGACAGTTGATGGAGAGAGCATGCAGGCGGTACAGCTGGAGGACGGTACAACAGCTCTGATACAGACCAACGTCACAGACTTTGATCAGGCACACAGTAAGTTGGAATTCATAAAAACACTTTTTTTAAATAAAAAACTCTTTTTTAGCATGCAACCATGTTATTAAATTATTTCTTGTCTTGATGTGAATTTTTCAGGTGTCTTTAAAACAAAGCAGTACATTGTTTTCTTATTTTCTAAATTAATCAGTTTTCCCTCCTCAAGATGGCAACAATTTTATTTCCCACTCCTCATTTGTTTATTAAATGAACTAATGTAAGTTGGAATCCATAAAACTCTTTGAACCGTAGCTGTTCAGAGGTTTCTACTTTTCTAAATTAATCAGTTCCCCTCCTAAATTTGGTAACAATATTATTTCCCACTCCTCATTTGTTTATTAAATGAACTAATGTTGGTTTGAATCCTTAAAACACTTTAAACCTGAACAAATCAGGATTATCTTATCTTATAAATTAATCTTTTTCTCTCCTCAAATTGGCAACAGTCTTTTTTCCCACTCCTTCAAAGTATGTTTATTAAATAAAGTAATGTAGGTTTGAATCCTTAAAACTCTTTGAACCGTAGCTGTTCAGAGGTTTCTACTTTTCTAGATAAATCATTTTTCCCTCTTCAAATTGGCATCAATCTTATTTCCTGATCCTCTATATGTTTATTCAATGAACTTATGTACGTTCGAATCCTTAAAACTCTTTGAACCTTAGCAGGTCAGGATTATCTTACCTTCTAAATTAATTAGTTTTCCTCCCTCAAATTAGCAACAATCTTTGTTTACCACTCCTTCATATTGTTTACTAAATGAATGAATGTGAAAGAAATTGCAAAATGAAGAAAAAAAACCCCAAATTTTATTGTTTGCCCACCTTGATACACCACAGTTGACTCTGGTCTTATTGTAAAGGATTTGAGAAAATTATGGCAGTGAGAGCATGTTTCCATGAACAGAAGAATGTTTTTAAATATCAAAAACGTTGAAAATAATATCAAAAACAATTTTTCCTCGTTAATAAAATATCTTTATTCAAGGCACGACCCTGTTATTGAACTATTTTGTTTTTGTCTCGATGTGAATTTTTCAGGTGCCTTTTCCTCAGAGGACCCGTTGGATGCACATTCTCTCAATGTGTTAGATCAATATGCAGCTCAGGTAGAGTAGTCTTTGCATTATCCTCATCCTCCTCCTCCTCCTCCTCCTTCTTCTTCTTCTTTTTTTCTTTTCCTTCTTCTTCTTCTACTACTTCTTCTCTTTCTCCTCCTCTTCCTCCTCCTCCTCTTTCTCTTCCTCTTCCTCTTCCTCTTCTTCCTCTTCTTCCTCTTCCTCTTTCTCTTCCTCTTCCTCTTCCTCTTCTTCCTTCTCTTCCTCCTCCTCCTCCTCCTCCTCCTTCTTCTTTTTCTTCTACTTCTTCTTCTTCATTTTCTTCTTCTTCTTCTACTTCTCTACTTCTTCTCCTTCTCATTCTGCTTCTTTTTTTTTCTTCTTCTTCTTCTTCTTCTCCTCCTTCTCCCTCTCCCTCTCCCCCTCCTCCTCCTCCTCCTCCTCCTCCTCCTCCTCCTCCTCCTCTTCTTTTTCTTCTTTTTGTTGTTGTTGCTGTACTTCACATTTGTATGTTGTTCTAATGCCTAGGTCACACCCAAACTTTTCCATTTCAATGTCAGTTCGTTTCTCGATTTTGGTCAAGTCACAAATGTATGTTTTCTTTCCTTTTGTAGAACGCTAGTGAACAAGGAGGTGCGCTACAACTTACTACCGGTGATCATGATTTCACTTCGGTAAGGATCGTATATATTCTCTCATATTCCAGAGAAAGGTTGTGAATGTTGATTGCGATTTTTTAATCATTAAAATTACAAATTATTTCCATCCTTAAAGGTATATTTTAATTTTATTCTATCAACTAATATTTCTTCTTCAGCCAATGCGAGTCACAGTAGGATCTGTTGGAACTACGATGCAAACCAAAGTGGAAGTGATGTCAAGTAAAACGTTTCAATGTCCGCACGAAGGTTGCGGGCGAATGTACACCGCCTCACATCATCTGAAGGTATTTATTTGTTTCATTATTCATTTTCATTTCCAGGAACATAACACAAAATAATAGCATACATAGATGAATATAGCATAGAGTTGGCAATTAAATTATTCATACTCTTTGTAAATTTGATGTTTTTTGTGTTTTCTTAACTCAAGAATGAAATTTGGACCGATTGAATCAGGGCCTTTGTTGAATTCTTTTAGATGTGAACTTTAAGATGTCACATTCTCAAAAAACACATCTCTGAACAAAAATGTTGTGACATACACTTACAAAATTACAAAACTGGTGGTAGGTCTATGGTAAGAGTATGAATACTTTAGTTGTTAACTGAAATGATAATGATAACAATAACAGAAAGAAGAACAACAACCGATGCCTGGGGATTCCAAGAAGAAATATCAGTTGGTTTTCTGTATGCAAAATTATGTGCAAATATCAAGTTTAGTAGTAGCAGAATTGAGGTACATGCATTAATTAAGCACGGCTTAGTTATAAAGGCAAGCTGATCGGGTCCACATGTTATGTCATCACATCAAATTTTACTTCCTGTTGACCCATTATTTGGAGGGGTGCAAAAAAAGAGGTTTTGATTTGCTTTTGTGCACCACTGAAAGGGAAAAAATGTGGTATTCCTTTATATTTGTATTCTTCATTCATTCAGCTTTCCATTGATATAAATAAGCTGTATTTTCATCGGATAGGGTCTTTGAACTGAACTGAGTGTAGTTATGCATATTTTATCTGTCTTTTGCCACCCATGATTTTTATTCCACTTCTCCTTATCCCATAAATCCCTCCCCATGTGTTTCTCCTAGGTTCATGAACGTTCTCACAGCGGCGTCAAACCGTTCCGGTGTGAACACCCCGGCTGTGAGAAGGCGTTCGCCACAGGTTACGGCCTGAAGAGTCACACCCGTGTTCACACGGGTGAAAAACCTTACCAGTGTGTTCAGGAGGGCTGTCTCAAAGCATTTAAAACGTCAGGAGATCTGCAGAAGCACACAAGAACACATACAGGTACGTTGTACTTGCATTGTTAAGTATGCAATTTACCAACTCTTGAGGAGAGGAGACTAGCACTTTGTAGAAAATTCGCAAAATCCCTCTCAAATCACTCTATTTGTCAGACCTGGTTACCTAAGAAAAAAAAACACTAATATCACTCTTCGCCGTATTCCCATTTATCAACAATTTCAATTCAAAACAAAAAGATTTAAAAAGAGCCCACTGTCATTTCTAGTTGACATACTCAATAAAAGTTGAAGAAAATAACAACAACTTGTTTTATTTTGTACTTTTATCGTTATTGCAGGTATACTAAGTGTTTGTCTCCTCCCCTCAGCAGGCTGTTTATAATATACCTATTTTAATCTTTTTACCATGCTTGTATTGACTTTTATAGGACATTTGTAAACAATTACAGCTGTATTTCTGGAAACTTGTGCAATACGTTTATGGATTTTAGTTACAGAATCAAAGTCTTATTTTTGATATTGCTAGTTTTTTACATGTTTATATTTAAAAGTGTTATCTATTGTGCCGAACATGTAAACATGTAAAATTGTATTTGTATATTAATCATGTTTCTGCTCTAATAAAAACCATTTTTGAATTGAATTGAATTAGATCTACATGTAGGTGTTTAACAAACATAGTCAAACCTGCTTTAGTGACCACCTGTCTACAAAGACCACATTTTTTTGTTTCCCTTGAAAATTGTTTCTCATTGAAACATGTGATAAAGGAACCTGTCTACAAAGACCAATTTTTGTGTTTCCCTTGGGCGGTCGCTATAGAAAAGTTTGACTGTACATGTCTGAACATTCAATCTATCCAGACGCATTTGCGTGCAATAAGCATAGGATGAATATCGTCCTTGTTTTCACGAAGTGACGGTAGTGAGGAAAATCGTCACGCAAAGTGAATGCAATTTTTTTTCACTACCGTCACTTCGTGTAAACAGCGACGATATTATGAACAATCGGTTGCTTTGTAGAAGAACTTTAAGTGGAAATGTATACCTGACAAAATTCTTTAAAAATTGTGTAGTATATATTTTACAATGGTATATCCGTGATAGTCAGTGTCCATGTGTATTTTGGGTAAACACCAGAATGGTGTCAAATTCCCCATAAAAACCCACTACCATGCATCTTTAAATCGCAAAGAAACTCCTTGGAGGCTTAGTACACCCTTTCACGGTTACAAGAGTGCGCATACACTGACACTGGCGCCATCTTTAATTATGAGTAAACAAAGTTGTTTACTCATAATTTAAAATGGCGCCCATGTCAATATGATGTGAGCGCACAGCGCAGGCAGTGATGCAACAATACATGCGCAAATGAAAACATTGTTGACGCAATGTTTATGCTCAAATTAAAATGGCGGCTTTCACCGTGAAAGGGTGTATTGCGTCTTATCATGCAAGCTCGACTGAAGGTGTTGTAATGATCTGATAGTTTGTATTGAGCAAACTGGAGTAATTTTTGTAAACTTCTCTTTTTTATCCGTTTTCAGGTGAGCGGCCATTCAAATGTCCGTTTGAAGGTTGCGAGAAGGCCTTCACCACGTCAAACATTCGTAAGGTTCACATCCGTACGCACACCGGCGAGAGACCTTACATCTGCCCGAACGAGGGGTGCGGCCGAGCGTTTGCCAGCGCAACCAATTACAAGAACCATATGAGAATACACACAGGTAATATTTTGCGATAGACTTCCTGGTTAGCATTCAGAACAGGACTATTTTCAGGGCTTGATTGATGAAATTTTTTCTTTTCCTTTAAAGCCCCACTGCACTACTCATAGCTACTTGTGCCCTCTATATAGCAAAAATTGAGGGAAAGAGAAGCAGAGGGAGACGGCGCATGAAATACATGAATATTGTTCATTGGGCTGCCTGGTAGCAGACGTAACATCACATTACAAAGAAACAGAGATAGAAAGACCTGATCACCATTGGTACAGACAAAGCAACTTCAGAAAGAGGGTTGCAAAGGAGAAAATAGTATTTGGTGTTATCAGGAGAAAAACCATACGTTTACATGGTTGCTAGGTGTGGCAAATTGAGGTCTGAAAGGATTTTTTTTTTTTAATATTGGTTTGTTTTCTGAAGAAAAAAAAATCACTGTCGTCGGGTGTGGCAAGCATGCACATGCACAATTGAGATTGAGGTCTATACAAAATTTGAGAGATAACAACAATATTATTTGATTGTGTGTTTTCAGAAGAAAAGCCATACATCTGAACGGTTGCCGGGTTATGCAAATGGAGGTCTGAAAAGATTTTGAAAAATATATCAGTTTTTTTTCAGAAGAAAAATCACTGTTGTCAGGTGTGGCAAGCATACATATAAAATTGAGATGGATGTCTATGAAAAAGTTGTTTTTATTTGTGTATTTTCAGGAGAAAAGCCGTACGTCTGCACGGTTGCCGGGTGTGGCAAGCGCTTCACCGAGTACTCCAGTCTCTACAAGCACCATGTAGTCCACACCCACTCCAAGCCTTACATGTGTTCATCGTGCGGTAAGAACTATCGTCAAATCTCGACGCTAGCCATGCACAAGCGACAGACGCACGGAGAGGATCCCCTCATCGAGGGCCTGGAGATAGCTATTGGACAAGGTAATCTCAACAAAGTGAGGCAGTGTCTTGACTCCGCTCATCGTCCGAAAATCTCATGACTTTCGTCATGTGCGTAGGTTTGAGTCCCACCCTGAGCATACAAAAAATTAAAAAAATTACTGTCACTAGGTTTGCTGTGTGCGAGACTTGTACATCCATAAATGGTACCCTCACAAAAGTAAAACCACGGCCCTATATAGTGTACCGTAATCATTGTAATGGTATATGTACCATGATGGTGTTTTTTTTTTATAAGGGCATTTCCACCAAGTCTGGTGTAAGCGAATTGTGACCTTCTGCACACCCAAACTTATTACCTTCTCCTTTTTAATTTTACTTCTTGAATGCAGGAGACAGGCCAGATATCGTATCGATTCTTGGAGCGCCTCCCGCGAAGAAGGCCAAATCAGAGTATCACATAGGGTCAATGAACTTCAACACCCAGGCTGCGGATGCTGCCAATGAAAGCAGTACTCAGATTCTTACAGACTCTCTCAATTCTGCAGGAATGGTAAGAATGATGATGATGATGATGGTGGTGGTGGTAGTGGTGGTGGTGGTGGTAGTGAAGATGGTGATGGTGGTGGTGATCTGAAGATAATGGTGATAGTGGTATGGTGATAATGGTGATGGTGATGATGCTGCTGCTGATGATGGTGATAGTGATTATGATAATGGTGATGATGATTGTGATGATGGTGATGATGATGGTGATGATAGTGGTGGTGGTACTGATGATGGCGATTATGATGATGATAGTGATTATGATGATGATGGTAGTGGTGATGATGATGATGATGATGATGATGCTGCTGATGATGGTGATTATAATGATGATGGTGATAATGACGATGATGATGCTGCTGATGATGGTGATTATGAAGAAGATGATAATAGTGATGATGGTGATGATGGTGGTGATGATGATTGTGATGATAATGGCGCTGATGATGATGATGATGATGATGATGGTGATGATGGTGATAATGATGATAGTAGTGGTGGTACCGATGATGGTGATTATGATGATGATGGTAGTGACAATGATGATTATAATCATCATGATGATGATTGTGATGATGATGGTAATGATGATGGTACTGATGATGATGGTAGTGGTGATGATGATGATGATGATGGTGATCATAATGATGATGGTGATAATGACCACGATGGTGCTGATGATGATTATGATCATGGTGATGAGGATGATGAGGATAATATTAATGGTGCTGATGATGATGGTGATGATGATGAAGATAATGATGATGATGGTGATAATGACAATGATGCTGATGCTGATGATGATGGTGCGGATGATGATGGTGATTATGATGATGATGGTAGTAACGATGATGATTATGATCATGGTGATGAGGATGATGAGGATAATATTAATGGTGCTGATGATGATGGTGATGATGAAGATAATGATGATGATGGTGATAATGACAATGATGCTGATGCTGATGATGATGGTGCGGATGATGATGGTGATAGTGGTGATGGTAATGGTGAAGATGGTGATGGTAATGGTGAAGATGATGGTGGTGGTGCTGATGATGATGGTGATTATAATGACGATGGTGCTGATGATGATGATGATGACGATGGTAGTGATGATGATTATTATAATAATGGTTATTATGATGATAATTGTGACAATAGGGATGATAATCTTTTATCTCTCCTCCCATCTCAGAACCAATCCAAGACCATCATCCTACGAGACGCTAACGGCCAGACGCGTCATGTGACCATGGTGTCGGCTCTTAACCGTGATGCTGCCCTCGCGGCCATGAAGGCTGCCGTCGGAAACCACGCCATGCTTCAAGTGGTCTCCGATGGGTCCCTAGCCAATCTCTCAGATATGGTAAGCTCAAACATTATGGTGATGATGGTGGTGATGGTGATGGTGATTATTATGATAAATGTGACAATGATGGGCAATTTATGATTTAAATTGAAGATGTTTCATTTTAACATTTGTTATTGTATATGCATATAAATTGTACTTATGTTTTTAAAAAAAATCAGATGTGGAAATAAAACTTGAACTTGAATTTTTTATACAAACGATGCTCAGGTTTGAGTGGGTCGGTTGGAATCGCAAGTACAAAGTAACTAAGGTTTAGGTTAAGTTGAGATAAAGGTGAAAATAATTTGTGATTGGCACATCACCCAATCAACTCTTCTTTCTTTCCTCTGTCTGGTCTACTCGCCATTAGTATCACTTCCACTTTCTTAAGCTTGTCAAAGAAAGTGAAATTAAAGGCTATCCATCATCCCCAAATCTCTTGTCACTTGGAGTTTGGAAGGGCACAAATGCCTACACATTCAAAGTACTTTGATTAATAGCTGAAAGATTTGGAGCAAAAAAAACAAACTTTTATGTGTATAGTCCCACATATACATTCCTATGTGCAGTGCAAGTCATTTCCAGCATAACTGATTGCATTTCTTATACTTAAAGTTGTTGTATCACCTATTTCTCTAACAAATTTATTCATTTTTTAAATTTTTTTACAACAATTTCTTACCTAATTCAACTTAAAAAGAAAATCAAGTGTTTCCATTTTGAAGAACAGCAGCATATGTCCTGAAAGACTTGTACTTCAAGCCCCCCTGCATTAGTTTGACCAGGAGGGATTAGACTCGCTGCATTGTCAGCTCTCAATTAACATAAGAAAAAAGGATCATGGGGGAGCAACGGGTACCGCTTTATAGGCGTTGTTTGCTATATAGAGGGCGCAAGTAACTACAAGTAGTGCAGTCCCGCTTTAACATTATTTTTTATTATTATTCCATCTTTTGCAGCAACTGCAAGAAGTGATGGCCGTCCACGGAGCACTGGGAGAGGAGGACGATGAGGAGGGAGGGAAGCCAGAGGAATGCACAGCTGCAACCCAGCTCTCTGAAGTAAACACAGAAGCAGAGCTGGTTGGCCTTCATACATGATGATAAGCAATGCAGGGGGGGGGTGGGGCAAAGTATACGGAATTGCTTCTTTTAACACATATACACTTACCAATGAAGGGGGAGTTATACAGTCATGAAATTGCTACTCAACATTAAAGATTTTTTTTTAAAGACCCTATCCGATGACAATACAACTTTATTTTAATGGAAAGCTGAATGAACGTAGAATACAAATTTAAAGGAATAAACAATATTTTTCCTTTCAGTATTGCACAAAAGCAAATTGAAATCTTATTTTCTACACACCTCACAATTTTTTTTTAGGCCTAATAGAAGTACTGTTGGTGTATAGATGAATGATTACATACATTTCATGAATGTACACATATTAAACCAGCATTTGTCTAAATGGGTTTTACGATTTTGTACAAATGACCTTTATCTGCCTGTGCGCAAGTAGTATCTCCATGGTATCTATTCAAAGAAACCAACCTTTTCCTTCCTATTGTTGGATTGCAATTAATGGGTGGTTTTGAGTGGAAAAAGACACAAATTTAAAGGGAAAGTGCACCTTGATACCAAGTTGGTTTTAATAAAAGCAGAAAAATGAAACAAATTATTGAAAGTTTGAGCAATATCTGATTAAAAATAGGAAAGTTATGAATGTTTGAAGTTGTCATCAGTGAAACAAATTGGCAACACTGTGAGGTATTTTGCGAGCTCCTCTCCGCCAATTTGCTCTGTATAGAAAATTTCATAGACTTTTTCTTTTCTTTTTATGACGGAATAGATATGTTTCATACAGGGGTTGTTTAGAAACATATTTGCAAGAATTATATTTAGGGTGAATGTTAATTGAAAATTTTCTTACTGGATCTTAATTTTTGAAGATTTTGGTACAAGGCAAACGGGAGGGGAGCTGGCAAGATACGTTACAGAGTTGCCTATTTATGTTTTAATTAATTGCACCTTCAAAAATTCATGACTTTCTTATTTTTAATTGGTTTTGCTCAAACTTTCTCTGACCCGTTTCTCTCCTTTTCCGATTCTATTTAAACCAACTTAATATCAGGGTGAACTTTCCCTTTAAGGTATTACAAGTTCAGCTGATTATTCTGCCTAATAGCCATACTTTGTAAATAGCTGTATAAAATTAAACTATTTTGCCTTGTATATGATTTGGAAAGGACTTAGAATCCTATGTGAATATATGGATAATATTAAGATATATCGGGGAGAGAAAAACAAATCATTAAATAAGATTGATATTCTTTCCTACACTGATGGTCATTATATTGTTTTTTTTAGTGGAATAGAATATTTCAATTGAGTGGGAGTGTCAGAGAGAGAGAGAGGGGGAGAGAGACAGACAGAGAGAGGGAGAGAGAGGGAGGAAGAGAAAGAGAGAGGAAGAGAGAGAAAAAGGGAGGAAGAGAGAGAAAGAGAGAGAAGAAAGAGAAAGAGAGGAAGAGAGAAAGGAAGAGAGAAAGAGAGAGGGAGATATAAAGAGGAAGAGAGAGAAAGAGAAAGAGAGAGAGGAAGAGAGAAGAAAGAGAGAGGAAGAGAAAGAGAGAGGAAGAGAGAGAGAGAGAGAGACCGAGAACAAGGGAGAGAAAGGGGAGAGGCAGAGAGAGAAAATACATACACATCATTACAATGTGATCATTTGTATTTCAAGTATTTTAAGTAGAATAAGGTAGTTTTAATTGAGGGGTAGAGGAGGAGACAGGCAAAGAGATAGAAAAAGAGAGGCAGAGAAAAAGAAAGGCAGAGAAAGAGAGAGGAAGAGAAATAGAAAGAGAAAGAGGCAAAGAGAAAGAGGAAAAGAGAGAAAGAAAGAAAGAGGCACAGAGAGAGGAAGAGAAAGAGAGAGGAAGAGAAATAGAAAGAGAAAGAGGCAAAGAGAAAGAGAGAAAGAAAGAAAGAGGCACAGAGAGAGGAAGAGAAAGAGAGAGGAAGAGAAATAGAAAGAGAAAGAGGCAAAGAGAAAGAGGAAAAGAGAGAAAGAAAGAAAGAGGCACAGAGAGAGGAAGAGAAAGAGAGAGGAAAAGAAAGAGGAAAAGAAAGAGGCAAAGAGAAAGGAAAAGAGAGAAAGAAAGAAAGAGGCACAGAGAGAGGAAGAGAAAGAGAGAGGAAAAGAAAGAGGAAGAGAAAGAGGCAAAGAGAAAGAGGAAAAGAGAGAGAAAGAAAGAGGCACAGAGAGAGGCAGAGAAAGAGAGAGGGGAAGAGAACGAGAGAGAGAAAGAGAGGCAGAGAAAGAGAGGCAGAGAGAGAGAGAGAGAGAGAGAGAGAACACACATACACACACAGTTATACAGAGACAGACAGAAAGGCAGACATTAGTTAGTATTTAAAATGTGATCATTTGAAGTTTTAGTAGAGTATTTCAAGTGAGACAGATATACAAACATCATTTTATCTACAAAATGTGATTACAACGCTATCCTTTTTTTATTTTCATAGAATATTTTATTACAATTAGGAAAAGAATATATACAACTTTGTCAATGTTTTTGTACAATGAAAGCACAGGCACAATTATAGTTATCAGATTAATAGATTCATTTGAAAACCCAAGTTGCTCAAATTGAAAAGAAAAAGAAAACAACCGAAACATAAAGATAATACATTGTACAAGTCCATATAATGCTGTATCACATCGCAATGAAACCTTACTTTTTAAAAGCATATAAAACACTAAAGAAACAGGATGTATTTCAAGCAACATTATACCATTAAACAAAGAAAAGAAAATAGTTTGAAAATTAAGCCTCTAAGATTCTGAGAATTATAGTACAGACATTGTAAGAATTAATTAAAAAACAACTGAACATTAAAAAAATAAAAAACAAAACAGAAATGAATAGAAATTTGCTAATGAGATACATCCATCAATTAACTTCTATAATTCTTCTATATTCCCTTTCTGCACAATAACATCAACACAAATATGAACAATTCGTTCCACACCATAGTATTCAAACTTCATGAATGAATATTCAATTTCAAGAATGATTTACTCATCAGTATTCAAAGGAAACGATCAAATTTGGATCATTCTAATTATTTAACACACACAGGAACAAAGGTCGAAGTTCCCTTGATATCAAACTTTTAAATAACTTAAACAAACTCCTCAATCTTAAATTGTCGACATGTACATGTATATCACATATCACTTATACATACACGGTACCTTTGCATTTACAATTAACTTTTACAAGTATTGAAAAGCCTTATACCTATAGTACACATATTCAATGTTTTCACCTTTACAATGGACAACACTACCTCAAGAATAAAATGAGGAAATCCTTTCAATGCTTGATTGTTAAAGACAGAAAAATGACATTGAAAAACAAGAGCTAACAATGACAATTCTTTTGCTTTTTTGTTTACTGTTTGCTGGTCCGACCACTGATCTATTCCATGATAATCATTTTTGTGAACGATTTTAAGCAAGTTTCATTCAAAATGTAAAATTACACAAATTCAAGATTTAGTGGAAAAATTATTTTAAAAATGTGCTTCATTATCTGTAAATGATTCTGATCTGAAGACATGAACACTTGATGTCATTTCGACTCAATAAATGCATAAATTACTCAATAAATTTAAACACAAAATACAATACTTCATCCTCACCTCATAACCTACGTGTACACATGGAAGAATAATTATTATGCTAATAAAGATAATTACACAATCGAAACAGTACTCCAAAGCATTTAACACACACAGATTAACCCTTTCACATTTAATAAGTACATTTAGAAATTGTTTTCAAATCAAAGCTATTTAAAGATAGTTTCTAGACTACTGTGTATAAATACCTGTCTCTTTAAATAAAGCCTGTGGGATGTTTCACAAAGATCCTGAGTCAAACTTGAATCTATAAAGTTAGACTTAAACATTATGGAGAGCCATTTGTAGCCTTAGAATGAAATCTATATAAAAGCAAAAAATCAAGTATTTTAGACTTTTCATAAATCCCACATCAAGAACATGAAATCTCCTAGATAATAGAAAATATGAATAATTTGAATCAACATTTCATGCCTTTTAAATGACTTTTTTCAAAATATTCTCAATGATGCTAACAGCTTTCCATAATTATTAAGTCCAACTTAGAGATAAGTTCAACTTAGGATCTTTGTGAAACGCCCCCCAGGAGTGACTGTCACATGAGCTAATATCGGGCCATTCATAATGTAGCTGTGAAGATTATGCAATACACAGGGATTCAGTACTACACCTTCAAAATTCTGTCATCGACAGATGTTGCACTACATATACTATACTTTCTCTATACTAGTTTTGAAGATTATCCAATCACTAAGGATTCAGAACTTCTCCTTAATTCACAGTAAAGGTACAGCTGTAAAGATTATGCAATTCATAGGGATTCAGTACTTCAGAATTCTGTCATAAATGGATGTTGCACTATTACTATTTTCTCTATAGCTAGTTTTGAAGATTAGCCAATCCACACAGATGCAGTACTTTATCTTTTCATTGCACCATACATATCTGACACACCCATACATTGCAAACATCTACCATCAAATGCACGTCTAAATATTGCAATTAATCAAACTAAAATGTAAACATCCAGGTTAAAACAAAAACTACAAACTACTATAGATTAAACTTAAAAATAGTCCAATACAAATTCACAGGAAATTAGTAGAAAAACCATATGAGAACTGAATGATACCTATTTGTTGTTACATTTACAGATGAATCCATTCATTCAATATTTCTGCTTCATGACTACATCCATACTCACTTTCTAATGTTATACAACTTCAATAGATGTTGCCAATTTAAAGAAGATTTTTTTTTTTTTAATTGAGCCTTTAAAAAAACATAGAAAAAAATAATAATAACATTGTCATGGATTGATTACTAAGCAAGAATATGATTGATATCTTTCGGATTATTACAAATCAAATACTTCTCTATTTGAAATTAAATGCAGCAACATGTGCCTCCTTAACAGATATATCGCCCGTTTTAACTAAAAAGGAAATACATAGCAAGTGCTCAAGATGTAAAATGTCCTCTGTTCTCGTTTTTTGTGTATATGATGTTAAAGAAACATATATGTGACAGATGGAATACACATGTGAGTCCACGAATACATTTGGTTGTAACAAAACAAAATTCATCAGGACCCCGTCTTATAAAGAGTTGCGATTGATCCAAATCAATCTTAAGTTCCTTAATCAATTGCAAGTTTGCAGTCTCCTATCTCTTATGTTCATAGTTGCAATTGATATCAATCACAAAAAATTGCAATTGATCACAACTTTTTATATTTAAAAAGACGGGGCTCTGCAGTTCTTACAGAACACAAAATATGAAATAAAATAAACATTTTTCTCCATCAATCGAAAGTTTGCAGCCCTTTATCTCTTATGTTCATAGTTGCAATTGATATCAATCACAAAAAATTGCAATTAATCGCAACTTTTTATGTTAAAGACGGCGCTCAGCAGTTCTTACAGAACACAAAATATGTAATGGAATAAACATTTTCAATCTAGGTTTTACATCAACATGTCATGAAATAAATTCAGTCATAATGTTGTTTTATGATAAATTAATTGATATTCAGCAAAATAGTACGCATGTTTGTTTTCATAATGGATGTCAACTTGTCAAGTCATGTAAGTGTTCACTTTTAATATTGCTTCATTCATAAGAGCAAATGGTGCTTCACGACCAAATGCAATCTAAAATTTGAAATGACTGCAGGTGAAGATTTTTTTATTTTTTTAAATCATTCAGTTGAAAATATTGCCTTGTAAGGAAAAGCAGCATACATAACAATTTCTTTCATAAAACAAAAATACAAGAGATCCTAGAAGCTACAAATGTGCAAGTAGATCCTGTAATAAACGTATACATGTAATTATATATAAAGGCATCACAAATAATTTATAACGCAATATTCAGCCGCAAAAAAAATTAAATGCATTTGCCACTCTCCACCCAGGTGTAAATGGGTACCCGATATGCCCGAGCGCTAGTTAAATTGGCAGCTCAGCTTAAACCAGGGTATTGCCTAAGGCCCATGAGCATCACTGCGTGATGGACATGCATGCTATATAAGAAGCCATCATTGTTATTGAAATACACATTTCTTCAATAAATTATCAAGCTCATGATATTTTCACCATGCAAGTCTTCTAAAATGAAGAACATAATTATACAAAGTCACAGTGAATCGAAACAGAAGAATATTTGCAAGGCAGAGAGCTGAACAATTATACAATTATACCACTTCTATCGATTTCCATAATTATTTTGTTTCCATATAACAGAACAACTTTAGATTTTCAAGGCATATTCATGTTTTTGGAGCATAACAGCACCCTAACTTATTCTGAATCTATTTGTGTTTTTTTTATTGCCAAATAAAATAATAAATTATTATTATTATTAGAGCACCTTGAATTGAGGTATCGTACATGTACAACTCAGAGATGAGGGTCGTTCCATGGGGGTGGGGTTATTTTTGTGACGGACCAGAAGTGAAAAATTATGCCTCCTATCAACTATAACAATTTTTGCTCAAATTACATTTCGCATAAAAAATCTATCAATGTTTAGAAGTACTCTAGCTCCATGTTAAATCAATAGTATTAAACCCAAAGTTTGTGTCGTGGTATATAAATGAGATTCCTGTGTTACGCTGCTAAAAAAAGAAATTTTAAAGAGAAGCAGCTTGAAACAGGAATGATTCTGACAGGGCACTACTATAATATTATTTGCTTAAAAATCTTGAACAGATGATTTCATCTTATATGTATTAGTAGAAGATCTCACACCAACGTTACATGGACATTGTCATACTATTTGCCCCAACCTCGTTGAACGACCTACAAAGTACTGTATATGTACTTTTTTTTCTCCACAAAATGGTTCTTATTTTCCCAATATGGTGTCTTTATTCTCAATGTTCTTTTCAATGTTCTTTTCAATGTTCATTTCAATGTTCATTTCAATGTTCATTTCAATGTTCTTTTCTATGTTCTTTTCAATGTTCATTTCAATGTTCTTTTCAATGTTCATTTCAATGTTCTTTTCAATGTTCATTTCAATGTTCTTTTCAATGTTCATTTCAATGTTCATTTCAATGTTCTTTTCAATGTTCATTTCAATGTTCTTTTCAATGTTCATTTCAATGTTCTTTTCAATGATCTTTTCAATGTTCATTTCAATGTTCATTTCAATGTTCTTTTCAATGTTCTTTTCAATGTTCTTTTCAGGAATTTCACCGCACCATATGAGAGTATTACTTTATATTAAAAGAATAAAATAAAAAACACCAACATCCTCATGCATATTTCAGCTAACATGAGAATTCAACATGATTTTTAAACATTAAACAATGTTGAATTTCCTATTCCTAAAATTTAGGACAGATTAGTAACTAATGCCTTAAGCCACAATGTGCAGTACATGTAATGTCGATTATTGTATCTACAGTATTTCTAATGTTTATTAAGTACATTTTATGAACTTATTGCTCAAAAGTCTAATGCTTGCCTACATACCAATTGCATCTTAATAGCAATTAAATGGAAAAATGATTTGATAAATAGAAATAGAATGCTGACTTTAAGCTAGGCACTGCGTGAGATTATTTATATATAAATAAGAATACATTGCTCAAAATTGTACGTGTATAAACTCAGTGAAAAAGGTGCTGATTCAACACATTATACATTGAATGAGAATTTTTACACAGAGACTACGTCACAAATTTGTATTTGTATGAAGGGTTTTGCCAGCGGAAAAATCATTGTATCTCATACTTCCTGCAAAAGTACCGAGTCTCAGACAACCGTGCAATTTTAAAACAATATCTCATGGTTTGTGAAAAAGTATGCAGATGACCGTGCAATATCATTTCAATATCTCATGTTTTGTGGTGCGCGAACGTGTTTAACGCGTATTCAAGTTGACATACACATAGGCGAAGACAATGGATGTATGCGCGCAACCCTTGCAAATTTCTTGGGTGTAGAGGGCGAAATTTGCTTTCTCTTTGTATCTAATACGCAAGTTTTCCTTCAGGGTCAAGGAGATATCTTTTTGGGAATATTTCACTCGTCATGACGCAACGCTAGAAATATCCTCATCGATTGTTGCGATAGACCCTTGCAGCCAACTCAAGGCCATTCAATATTATATAAATACTAAAAGGAAATAAGCATGACTACCTTCCCCCTTCATATCTGTATAGCTTTGGCTTTGGTCCACTCAAGACTGGCGGCAGTTAACCACGTAAATGTAAACATTAATACTGAACTGACGAGGTGGAGACATAGACGGAGAGTTAGTAGCCACACGACAAGCACAAGTTGACAAGATGGAGTTAGGGAGGGAAGGGTCTACATAGAAACGATCTGTGACGGTTTCATAAAAGAGAGGAGATAAAAAAGAAGAGAGAGAGACAAGAGAAAAATACTGAATTACAGATAGGAATGTGCATTAACAAAGATATAACATATATTTAAACACAATATGAATACACATAGCAACGTCCCCAAAACTTCAAAGGCACATGAAATAACTACCTTAAATACGTTTTTAAGAATGTCTTATACAACAACAACAACAAAAAATTCTTCTAGATTGAAATTATCTAACTAAGTTCACCATTTGTGACTGCATTTTTGAAAAAAATTAAATCTCAAACATTCTCATATTTTCATATTTGCTTATTTTCACATTTGCTTAAATAGATAAGTTTTGAGGCATCATTTTAAGCATTCTAGACTGTCAATCTAACTAAAATTTACATTTAAAGGCATTTTTGTGACAAACAGGCAAGCCTGTTTAATAAGCCACCTCTTTATAAAGGCCACCTGTCATAGTGGTCACCTTTATTGCCTCCCTCTAGGAAGATATGTGTGTTGTAGAACATGTCTAGAAAGGTTTTCTATATCTACAGTGGTCACTATCTTGGTGCAGTAAAACCTGTGTTTGTGACCACCTGTCTATAAAGGCCACCTGTTTAAAGTGATCATATATTGCCTCCCTCTAGGAATATATGCGTTATATAACCTGTCTAGAAAGGCTACCTGTCTACGGGGGCTACTTTATCTGGTTCCCTATGGTGGCCTTAATAGCCAGGTTTGGCTTGATACATGTACATGCACAAGCATTATGGGAATTATGTCACAGTTAAACAACATAGAGAAAGATGTAACTGAAGATTGGTACATGTATGCCTTTATATCCTCCTCTCGGAAAAATTTGTGTGGTAGAACCTGTCTAGAAAGGCCAGTGGCCACTTTCTTGGCGCAGTAAAACTTGTGTTAGTGGCCATCTCTCTATAAAGGCTACCTGTCTATAGTGGTCACTTTCTCTGGTTTGCTTAAGTGGCCTTTATATACAGGTTTAATTGTATACATGCACAAGCATAAATGTGAACTACAGCAGTAAAACATCATAGAGAGAGATACATCTACAAATTGGTATGCCTTTATTTCCCCCTCAAGGAAGAAATATGTGCTGTAGAACCTGTCTACAGTGGCCAATTTCTCTGTTTCTTTTGGGCGGCCTTAATATACAGGTTTGATTGTATACATCAGCAAGCATAAATGTAAACAAACATAAATAAAACAACAGAGAGAGAGAGAGAGATACATCTATGGATTGGTATGCCTTTATTTCCCCCTCTAGGAAGATATTTGTGTTATAAACCCTGTCTACAGTGGCCATTTTCTCAGTTTCAACATGGTGGCCTCAATGGACAGGTTTGATTGTATACATGTACAAGCTTTATGTAAACTACGGTAGTAAAACAACACACAGAGAGAGATACATCAACAGATTTGTATGCCTTATGTTGTAGAACCTGTCTAGATTGGCCGCGTTCTCTGGTTCCCTATGGTGGTCTTAATAGACAGGTTTGATTGTATACATCAGCAAGCATAAATGTGAACTACGGCAGTTAAACAACATGGTGATACATGTATCTACGGATGGGTATGCCTTTACATGTATTTCCCCCTAAAGGAACCTGTCTACAGTGGCCACTTCCTGAGTTTTGCTTGGGTGGCCTTAATAGGCAGGTTTGAGTGTATGCATGCACAAGCATAATGTGATCAACAGAGAGAGAGAGATACATGTATCTAGGGATTGGTATGCATACTGTTAGACATGCTGTACCGTTTCAGCTACGCCACTGCCTCTCCACCGACGCCTCCCAAAACACCGCCTCTTCAACGCTAATATCTGCGTGAGAAAAAAACAATACAAAAGAAAGCATTTACATTTATGTAAATACAGAGAAGGAAAACAAAAAATCAAATCTAGCTTCTTACATGCCACACAAATTATCTCCCTTTGCCATATTGTATGTATCATGTGATAGATATTAAGGCATCAAGATTATTTATCTGAATTTATAAATGTGTTTAAAGGGTAGACACCCCTCCCAAAACACCGCTTCTTCAACGTTAATAGCTGTATGATTTGGATTTGGATTTGGAGCCTTATAAATCTTATGTATTATTATTATTATTATTATGAAAAGGACAGAAAAGAACATTCATTGGGATAATATGATGTACTCTGTTTAAATGCCACATTTATTTGTTTCACTTGATAAAAACGAATGAGTGTGTAAATCATTCTAGTATACAGTGAAATTAAACAAAACAAAACAATACAAAACATTTACAATATAAAAATTATGTAAATACATGTACATAGTAGGAAAAAAATACCAGTTTAAGTCTGTATATGCCACACAAATTATCTCCCTATACCACATTGTATTAATCATGTGATAGATATACCAAAGGCTTCAAGATTATTCAACTGTCTCCACTTCAAGATTAACATCTCACCAAAGGACGTTAGTGTCGGGCTGGGATTTGAACCTGTACCTTGTGATCTGCAGTCGGGTGACTTATCCAATAGACCATAACACCTCTACAGGTACAATATAAATAGAAAGATTTTGGAAAAGTAATAAAGCAAAAAAAGGGCTAAATCGAGGAGAGAATAGTATACTTACACGACTTGAACAAAAAGACACAGCACTAAAGGTGATAAGAGCTCCTAATGATAGATGAGTCCAGAACCGCAACCAGTCTCTGTATTTCCTCCTGTAACATAGCAAGATATGGAAAATATCAGGCACCAGCCAGGGGTGATAGTGAGAGTTTTTTAAAAATGTTTTAGAAATCCGAGCACTTGCGCGAGGTGTTCAAACAAGTCATGAAAAAACAGCACCTCACCCCCTAATTTTAAACCGGATTTACATCGATCTCAGGGACTATCCATTTTTGGAGAAAAAAATCATGATAACCAAAATAAAATAAAAAACAAAATAAAAAAAATCAGGAAATTATCAGACTTGGCACCAGCACAATATTTTGAAGTCTCGCTCAGATATGATGCAGCAAAACCTTGGCATTTTTTTCAGAATGAAGACGTTAAGTGTTATATGCTTTATATTCCTGTATCATATAACACAGAGCTCAGTGAATATATGCAGGACCTTTGCTGCACGCAGATGTCATGCACTTACAAGTAAAAAACAATATGTGACCCGGCACCACAAAACCACCAAAATGTCGCAAAAAATTATTTTCCTGATTTCATCTGATTATGAAAGAAGAAGTTCTCCTCATTAAAATGGTATATTACTTGTCCAAATTGAAGCTTCCTAACCCTTTCAATTTAGTGAATGAAAAGAGCTGGTGAGGGAGGTTACTGGTATTAAATTGTGAGAAAGAGAGCTTTAAAGTTTGGGGCTATTCAAGCATGCGGAGCAAGCAAACCACAGGGAAATCAATAGAAGGGTGAATCAAAAGGCCATAGCAACCACTATGAAGAGATTTTCAGATTAGGCTGAAATTTGGCCTGATGGTCAAACATAGTCTGTTCATTATGTTTCTGAGGTTTCAATGTGTGGACTTAAGTCTTTCAAAAGTTATTATGTTGTAAATGTATAGAGTTGTAATTGGACAGATTAAGTGAACTGCAACATAGTGCCGAGACACCTGCACTAGACAATGCCTATTCATGGTGGACCCGGAGTCTTTTTGTTCCCCCTTACATAACACTGCTTGTCACCTATCTTGTTTTGTATACATCTGGGCAATTATTTGTAACCACATTATCAGGAATTCTCTCGTCGCTGTCTTGCCCGAAGTGTTCAGTAAGCAAAGCTGTAAGGTTGGCCTGATCCCCCGCAGCTAGCCCCCGCATCATCGCTTCGTTGACCGCCCGAGCTACCCGGGCATCTGCGTTGGTGCACCCCGGTACCATCCCACGGCTCTGCTCACGTACAAAACCTGGCATTGTAACGACGTTGTAGACTTTTTCACAACTTGTCACTCTCAAATGTATAAAATATAATAATGTTCTTACTCTTGATCAACAAATTCTGGATATGTGATGTACAATCAAGCTACTCGAAGTCGTTAACGGAGAATATAAGACGAACGCAAATCTGGAACTCGGATGTGAAAGCGGATACAAACAAAATGGCGCGCCGCACTGATTGCTATAACGGACCAATCACAGCCCGCGTAGCACGACCCGTTAGCAACGACCGACCATTTCCGGACTACGATAATTTCGCTCGGGAAAAGTGATCAAATTTTGGAAGAGACCGAAGGCTGTGCGAAAAAAACTGGTCTAGAAAAACCGTTTAAAACACATCTTCTACTATGTTTTAGACTTCCAAATTTTGATACTAGGTACAGAAAAGACCACTCTTTCAGAAAATGCAAAAAAACAAAAATCTATTTTTTTCACCTAAATTGACATTTTAGCTGATTACGGAGAATCGCTGGTTGCAACTTTTTGTTGGTTTTGTGGTGCCGGGTCACATATATGCACATTCTCCACTCCCTGGGGAGCATTCCAGCTCACAATGCTGAGCAAACGAAACTACAATAACTTTTGCATCCTACCGGGTACCCATTTAACACCTGGGTGGAGAGTGGCAAATGTAGATTAACGTCTTGACAAAGGACGATAGTGTGGGGCCAGGATTTGAACCCTGTATCTTATGATCTGCAGTCGGGTGACTTATCCACTAGACCATAACACTAGAACTCAACCTTCTACATGTATATAAACAATTAAATTTTCTTTTCGATAAAATATTGTCCAATTGATGAACTCACCATCCTCTAAGCTCGTCTATATGCAGGAACCTGTTCCGGTAATCCCGCGGTAGTTCAAACTGGGACGGGATTGGAAACAGCGACTCGTAGAAATCTTGGAGAACCGCTTTCACCATGTAAGCGTCGGAACTCTTGTGATCAATGTTGTCGTTAAGGCAGACAAATTTCCTGAGGATAGGCAAGAAAGTATTCACAAACATAATATTTGTTATTTGTTATCTTATAGAACTTAAACTTGTATCCTCGAGCGACATGATTGTTAAGAACAAAGAGTGCAGTTAGATCAAAGTGTTCCAAATCATTCAACATTTCATTTTGTTAATTTGTTCTATGAATGTAACATGACCTAAACCACAACTGTAGAGGGAGTGATCCACTTACTTTGGATTTTTGCGAATGTCGTCAAGTTGACCTATGACCTGTGACACGTTTGTTTGGATCATCTTGAAGGCGATCTCGTCTTCGCCCATGATCTCGTATCTGAAGCAGAAGATAAGGAATTCAAGAAAATTTGAAAATAAAGGGTAACAAAAACATTGAAAAATCACTTGTGTAAACTGACTGTGAATAGATAATTACGGTGAAAACAGAAACTTTGTTTACAAGGACTTTATAGACCGTGTCCGAAGTGAAATGCGAAACGGAAAGCTTATCAGCCATAGATTAAAATTAGTCCTTTATAATATTGTCCAACATAGATCTTAGAAGATTTACAAAATATTGGTTGGAAACTTCTTCAAATTGCTGTTTTAAATCAACACAACCTGTCTGGACACACAACATCTGGATATACCAATTAAAAAGAAAACCCTACCTTTTGTTAAACACTTTAATATGTATTCTGCAATCTAAATGCTTTTTTTAATAAGAAAAGGACCAGCATTGAAATTTAAATCATAACAAACATCAATTTAGCCCTGGAAAATTCCCAATTCCTCTTCTGAATTGGTTAATGTAAAGGTGTTGTGATATGTCACCGAACTTGCGATCACAAGGTCTGTAGTTAGACCCGCCGCGGCACTAATGTCCTTTGGCTAGACATTTATCTACACACTCAACCCAGGTGATGTAAATGGATACCTGGCAGGAATTAATTCCTTGAAATCCTAGAGCGCCGTAATGGCAGTACAGCTAAAGCCGGAGTAATAATCTCCAAATTTGGAAGCGCATAGAGAAGTTTAAATGTGATATGTGCTCTACAAGAATAGAATATTATTATCATTTATCATTAAATACATGTAGGTCGCGGGGTACTTACTTGTACATATGTTGACCTTTGACACTGCCTTGCATCTTTTCTATCAACGGAGGGCAGTGCATCAATAAGTTCTTGGTTATCTGAGGCTGTAGGAATGGAATGAATGAAAAGGGTGATATAATGAGAGATATTGCATCAATAAGTTCTTGGTTATATGAGGATGTAGCAATGAAGTATGTGAAAAACAGTGATATAATGAGACATATTGGCTGAGATGGGATATGTATCTACACATATCAGAATTTTGGTTTCCAAACATGCTACATCCAGAGATTTTTTCAACGTCATTGATCAATTATAAAAAAGCTATTAAAGCACCTGGATTTTTTTATAAAATATAATTATTTTATTATCAAAACAAACAGTATAATAGCAAGTTTCATTTTATATTGATGATACCAACAAAAAACAATAATAATAATAATTATGAGAAGAATTAATTTTTATTTTTCTGGGAACTTAATAGTTTTATGGATAAAGTCAAAGTCCCAAGCATGTTTATGAAAGGAAAACTCTGATTTTCTCCCGATTTTTCCCTGATAGAGTTTCAGAAGTCCAGGGTCAATATAGGAGGCAATTTTATTTACCACTTCCATAAAAACATGGAACAGGCAAAGAACACATAAAATATTTCTTAAAAACATGGATAAGCCTATAGAATGGAAAATTCACTATAGGAAATTACGAAGTGGTTGGATCATCAAAAAGTTACAGAAACTTATTGGTAAATGATCCTACACAAAATGCTAAAATTAACACACTCAAAAAGGGACAAAGAAATAATACAATGTTAATTACGCACATGAAAAGTGTGGTTGTCAAACTCAAAGAATCAAATAATACACTCACCATTTTCTCTTCATAGTACTTTTCTATAGCGTCCTCCGCAGGCGCGATGAGTTTACTCGACACATTATCTGCACAATGGACGATCATACTCTCAAGAGAAGTCAGCGTCTTCAGGTCTAGTGGTAGTTCGTAGAGCCGCGTTGCCAATGTGCGGATCTCACGGTCGGAAAGCACCCTACAATACAGGTATGGATCACAAAGAAATTGAGTGTTTTTTTTTAAATACTGAGAGATGGGTTTGTGGGACTACATACATGTGTGGCATCAAAATTTGGCCAAAATTTGGTCTAAAGTTGACAATTATTTCTAGTCTGATTTAGTAAATGAGGAGAAATCAAAACATTTTTTTTGCTATACTGCTACTATGAGTGAGGTCAATACTTAACTACTCCATGTTCAACCTTTTCCAATTGATTCCTCACATTGTCTTTTACAATGCAATCACACGACCAGAACTCAACTTTGCTTTAAAGCATGTCTGCACTAGTTTGGCAAGGAGGGATTAGACCTCCCTGCAAGGTCACTGACAAGTGGTTATCACATCAAATCAGCTCTCAATTATTAAACATAAGAAAAAGGGGATCATGGGGGACCAATGGCCACCGCTTAGGTATTGTTTGCTATAAAGAGGGCGCAAGTAGCTAGGAGTAGTGCAGTCCAGCCTTAAAGCCCCACTGCACTACTTATAGCTACTTGCGCCCTCTTTGGCAAACAATGCCTAATCGGTGCCTGTTGGTCTCCCATGATCCTCTTTTTCTTACGTTAATTGAGAGCTGATTTGATAAGATAACCACCTGTCAGTGACCTTGCAGGGAGGTCTAATCCCCCCTGGCCAAACTAGTACAGACAGGCTTTAAACTTACCCTGATCCATCTGTATCAAACTCATCAAAGACCTCCGTCACGTTGACGACCTTGGGTGTTCCCATCAGGTAGTAGAAGTAAGAGAAAGCATGCTGCATGTCCCGAGGGTGGCGCAGGCGATGGGACGCTGTGATGTCATACTCTTCCGCAAACCTTCCAAATAAAACGGTCACACAGTTATTATTCAAGACTACCAATGTAGTATGTTGACTATTACGGAGTGCAGACGTGTTTCATTGCTGCTCTGAATTTCTTTCACTATGTTACGCCAAAATGGACTTAAATTTCATATTTTTCCTGGAATTGTGCTAGAATAGTATCTATGGTAATCTTCAGATCTTTATACTGACAAGCTTCTGATTCTAGGGGAATTTTGGAATACCCTGTACTTTCACTATCTTGTAGTTTTGTGAGTTATTGTGAAATTTGGATGAACGCACAACACGGTCTTCATTGACGGACATGTCGGAGAATATCTAAGATCTCATGAGTGTTTTCTGTAGCTTCCTACAGTGTGATGATAAGAATTCTGATTCAGAATACAACTAAATTCCTAGTTGTTACAGGTTTATGATAATTCCCCAAAGGTCTAGGGAGGAGAACAAAGGTCAGAGCTTCGGAAACAGATACAAGCAACAACTATCTATAATCAGACCTGCCAACCTCTGGATTTCACAAACTGTATTCTTTAATCCAAAAAGTTGTGTTTTACTGACAGAAATTGTAATAAAAATTAAAAAAACACTGATCAATGCCTCTTACAGTTCCTACATACAGGAAGAATTTTCTTTATGGATCATTGGTTGAATATGCATGATTTCATGACTGGTGTGTTCGATGAACCAAAGAAAATCCCCAAATTGCCGATGTGAGATGCTAATAGGATACTTTACAGGACAGAATTTTTTTTTTGTATTTACTTCTAAAAATCGTACAAAATACGATTAAATCATACTGGTTGGCAGCTCTGTGTAATCCTCTATTGTTCTACAGTTTGTTACTCTCAAATCTTGAGCCCTTTATTACTAGTAAGTATGTCGGATGGTAACAATAGTACAACACAGTCCTCTCATCAGCTATACAAATGCTCTTCAGGGGGATGTTTCACAAAGATCCTAAAGTCGAACTTAACTTTAAGTTGGACTTAAAAATTATGGAGAGCCATTTGTAGCCTTAAAATAAGGTATATTAAAAAACGAAAATTCAAGTATTCTGGACTTTTGTTTAAAAATTCCATATTAAGAACATGAATTCTTCTTGAGAATAGAAAACAGGAAGGATTTGAATCAGCATTTTATGCCTTTTAAAATAACTTTGTACAAAATATTTTCATAGATGCTAACGGCTTTCCATAATTGTTAAGTTCAACTCAGAGATAAGTTCAACTTAGGATCTTTGTGAAACAACCCCCACCCCAGTTCACTTACTCTGCCTGGAGGTCATTCATGATGCCTACGTCCCCCATGTGGGGCATGTGAGCGGGGACCTTCCTGGCCTGGTAACCAAACTTCTTGTTGAACAACTTGTTGACGTGCCTGAGAGAGTCCCCAAAGGTGTCCAGGAGACGGCGTTGGGGACCAGTCTGCGCAGAGTACTGCTGCATGGCATCCTGTCTCTCCAGAAGCTGCAGTGAGAAAAAAAAAATGAGAAAAAAAGTCTAGAGTGTACACTTTTAAAGGCATTTTTTAACAATGTTTCCATTTTTACAAATCTGAGATGCATAAAGGTAGCCCTATGTAGAGGTGTCGTGGATGAGTAGATACGTCGCCAGACTGTCGATCACAAGGTCCGCAGTTTGAGTCCCGCCGCTGCACCAATGTCCTTTGGCAAGACATTGATCTACATTTGCCACTCTCCACCCAGGTGTTACATGTAAATGGGTACCGGAAGAAAAAATCCTGTGAGCGTCAAAATCGGCAGCCTTGCATAGCCGGGTAATGTTGGAGCGCCTTGAGGACCTTGCAAGGTCGATACATGTACGTGCGCTATATAAGAATCCAATATTATTATTTTAATTATTAATGTCTGTGATATGGTGTAATATTGAAGCCCTACAAAAATTGCACTTCAAAATGATCATGAAGTGCTTCAAAAAAATTAAAATCTTTTAGTGACCGGTTTTACCATACTCATTTTCCCCAATAGACTGAAGTGTTATAAAAAACGGTTCAAAACCGTTGGGAAAACAGGTTTCTGATATTTCAAATTGCAATCATAAATATCTTGATAATTAAACATGCGATGGGCTTGTAAAAGTCAAGGGTTTCATTTCCGACCTTAAAGTTTGTAATTATGATTGCAGCATGAGCTAAATCCAGATTTTGTTTAGAATCAGAGGCAATAATACTTTTAAGTTTCGAGAAAAAGTCTAAGGTTCATTTCACCTCAAAATTAGTAATCTCTCAACTCAAAATGAGGACTAATGTCTATATTGTACACTTTTGAACATAGGTTTCCAGAAAGAAGAGCGGATCTTAGGCTCATAACAGTAGGTTTGAATGCCAAGCAATAGGATTTGTTCCTCTAATATAAAACTTTGGCTAATATCAGTTTAGTGTAACCTTGTAGTGTTGATCTTGTTAGCTTTTGATCAAAATTCTATGAAAATCCTTCAGCAAAAAGTAACAGAAAAATGAAATATGAGTGAATTTCTGTTGCAATATATTGTGTCATACATGAACAAGAGTAATTTATTTAAAAATATGCATTAAAGCCCCTCTGCACTAGTTTGGCATGGAGGGATTAGACCTCCCTGCAAGGTCACTGACAGGTGGTTATCTCATCAAACCAGCTCTCAATTAACATTAGAAAAAGGGCACCAGGTAACGCTTAGACATTGATGGCTGTATAGAGGGCGCAAGTAGAATACGTAGTGCAGTGGGGCTTTAAAGTCTCTCAATTTACAATGCAAAGTGGAATCTCATAATCAAAATTTTTTGCATATTAATGGGCAGCTCTTTATTTTATTTTGCAATCTTAATCTTTAGGGGGCCTTACCAAACTTTAGGTAGGCTTTTAGGGTTAAATGTACATGTATGATGCAATGGATTTACAGTCTTTGATATGCAACAAAGCCTCAATTTTCAGGGTGAATGACTGTACGAACATTTCAGATTTAAAGGCCCACTGTACTTACTTGTAGCGACTTGCTCCCTCTTTATAGAAAACAATGCCTAATCAGTGACTATTGGTCCCCCATGATCCTCTTTTTCTTATGTTAATTGAGAGCTGAGTTGTTGAGATAGCAACCTGTCAGTAACCTTCCTGGGTGGTCTAATCCCTCCAAGCCAAACTAGTACAGATGGTCTTTAAATAAAAGAGTACAGCATACCTTTGTGAGATTATTGAAGCTGTCGGTCCGTTCCCAAGGTAGGAAGCTGCTCTTCCGATCCTGCTCCGCCTTCTGCCTCAAGGCATCGGCCTCAGCGATTGCATTCTCTTCTTGAAGAGACAGAGGACGCTCTACCACACTGCCGCTCCACTTCTTGACCTCATGATCAGTGGCAACTTGTTGCTTGGTGCTCAGGTCTTCTGTTGAGATGACTTTCTTCTTCAGGTCGTGATCACGGACACCACTTGTGATTCTCATCATGATTTGCTTGGCCTTCTCGACCCAGGCAGTTTTGCTCCTGAGGATATCCCTAGATTCTTTCAGGAGGCCTTGGGTGACATCACTGTCCAGAGAAACCTTCTCTTTGTCAGTGATCGCTAAGAGCTTCCTGAAGCCTCTGTCGTTTCCTTGAACACCTCCTGCATCGTCCTGAGGGTTCTGTCCTCCTCCTCCTCCTTGATCATCATCAAAGTCCACTTCTGCAGCATCTGGAAGCTGGAAAGGTAGGTTGTTCTGCTCCTTCAACAGATTCCCAATATTGTTGTTGTCCATGAAGTCATTCTCATTCCCTGGATTCAAGTCTACCACGTCCTTGTTCTGCAACTGATCTTGTACTTGCTGGTTGTTGCCTTCCTTCAAGTTGTTGCCATTCTGGAACTGGTTGGCAAAATCATTCTGGATTTTCACTGCAGGTTGTGCATCATTTGCACCCTGGAGGCCAACTGGTGGGTTCAAATTTGGCTGATTTTGATCAATTCCTCTTCCAAACCCTTCGTTCATGTCATTGTGCTCTACAACTGGTTGCTTACCCAATGGTAAACCGTCCTCTGGTGCCAGATCTTGACCAACACCTGCCAGGGGTTTAGCATCAAATACCACCTGCTGATTCAATCCATTAAGTTTATCCTGCCCTCCAATTGGTTGATTCAATATATTCTCCTTTTCCATTGGTTGATTCAAATGACCCTGACCAACCATCGCATCAGGTAAACCTCCGTCCTTCGGGATCTTGATGCCATTCTGCGCATCAAACTTGTCCGCAATGTGTTTGTATTTTTCTCGTGTCTCCTCCAGTCTGGGATCTTGTTTTTTCAAACCAAGACCCTGTTGTAGACCAAGCTGATCATCCTCCCCAAGATTATTGAGATCATTGTCCTGACCCATCCCTCCGCCCTCTTCAACATTCTGCTCCTCCAGTGGCCTTCCATCTTGGTTACCTTGACCGAATGTGTCCGGAATCTGTCCAAGCGGCACCTGTGCTTGTCCAAGGTCAAGTCCCTGTCCGAACTGCTTACCAAGCCCAAGACCTCTATGCAGCCCTTGCCCTGCTATTTCTCCGGTATTTCCATCAGGTATCTGCGCTCCTGCTTCTCTCTGTCCTTGACCTTGAACAGGCTGCAGAGGATTGTCTAGTTCTTGGTGAATCCCTTGACCTGGTTGAACACCCTGTCCAAAAGCCTGTCCCTGGTTCAGATTCTTCCCTGGTTTTAGTTTGTTGCCTCCAAACATTTCGTCATCAAATGCATCAGCTTCCTTCTTCAAGGCTCCTGCATTATCACCTAACCCCTCACCAATATTTCCCAAGTTCTGACCAAATGCCTGATTTCCTGCATTGTGCAAAACAGGCTGGCCCCTATCAACATCAAGTCCTTGTTGAACCCTGGCAAAGGCATTGTCTAGCGGAACTTGGCCTTGCATCTGCTGCTGTGCTGGATCAACAACCTGGCCCTGTTCTTTAGACAGTCTATCTTGAAATATCCCCTGACGAGCTTCGTTTCTGAAAACTACATTTCCTTGTGGCTGCACTGGCATTTGCCCTTGTACCTGGCCCTGCAGGATACCCCCTTCTTGCACTGGAGCTTGTCCGAGGGGCAGCTGCCCTAATCCTAACCCTCTATTTTGTACTTGTCCTAGTTGACCAACAGGCAACTGCTCATTCCCTAGTTGTAATCCTTGTTCGATCTGTTGACCTATAACTTGTCCCTGTCCAAAACCTTGCCCTACCACCCCTTGTCCTTGCTGTTTAAACTGCCCCTGTCCAAGATTTTGCTGCCTTGGTATTTCCCCCAAGTCTGTGTCTTTGAAGACTGCTTGCCCTTGTCCCAACTGCTTCCCGGCATTCTCCAGCTGTCCTCTGAAACCTTGCCCAGCCTGAGCAGCCTGTCCAAACTGCGGAACAACCTGCTGGTTGATACCTCCCTGCCCAAGCTGTCCATTTTGTCCACCAAAGACTCCATGAGCCTGACCTTCTCCAAGAACTTGACCTTGTAATTGACCTTGCCCTTGACCTTCACCTAGTCCTTGACCATGTCCATCAGGCTGTTGCACTATTCCCAATCCCAACCCGTTGTCAATGATGGGTTGTTTGCCTCCAGCTTGGTGAAGACCTTGGGCTACTTCTCTCCTGCGCTTCGTATACGCTGGCGATAGCATGTACTGGGCGAGTATCTTGGATCTCAGTCGGTCATGTCCTCTCTGGGTTATATCGCCTGTGAAAAAATGAACGAGAAAAAATATGAATACCATACAAATTGTTAAGCTTTAGCTTTTAGTGACCTGCATAGAGTTACTGGTAGCAATTTTCTGTGTTAATGACAGAGTATTTGTCTTTCGATAATAGCTCACATTGATAATGCGCCTAATACTTTGTTTCTAGGCGCAGTACATATTATTACCCCAGTCATCGGATTGCTTACCCACACACTATGTATGCACATTCTCTACTCCATGGGGAGCATTCTCGCCAGTCGCCATTTTATAAAGCGCCACTTGCTCATCCAACCACATAAACTTTCACATCCTACTGGGTAGCCATATAACACCTCGGTGGAGAGTGGCAAAAGTAGATTGATGTCTTGCCAAAGGACATTAGTGCCGTGTCGGAGATCTAACCACGACCTTCGAATTTCAAGTCAAATGCTTAAACCACTTGAATACGATATCATATGTCACTGGAAGTATCTGTACAAAGACCACCTGCCTGACACTGGACTTTGTTTATCCTTTGGATAAGACCGTTGCTCTACCACTGAACCATCAAGACCTTCTCTGTTTGCTCTTGCTACAAAGACGATATGTGAATTAACAAGGCCACTGAGGGTATGTGAAAGGATCTTTTCATCTATATTCATGTCTTCCCCGTCTTTTTTTTCCCTTTATTCTGTCTACTTCTATTTTCCTTTTATTTTTTTCCATTCAATTGCGGGGGCCCATCCACATGCCAATCCACCATTTTTTTCTCATTTTCTTTTCTTCACTCTCATGACAAGGTAGCCCATTCAACATATGTTGGGACCAAGCAAGTAATATCAAAATAAAATCAAGGAGCTACATCAAGGACTATTTCACCATTTTCTTACCATCCTGCAACTGTTGGGTCAATTCTTTGAGCTGACTTGCAACATCCTCTGTCAGTTCCTCCTCCGCTGGCTCAAAGGATACAGACACTTCCTTCTCTCTGGCTAGCGGTAGCTTCGGACTTCTAGAAGATTAAAGGCATCGCTTAACAATGTTAAATTTGATATGCATGGCCCTACGTGTTATCAGTGTCTGTAATATGGTATAATATTGAAGCCCTAAACAAATCGCACTTCAAAATGATCAAGAAGTACCTCAAAAAAGTCTGAGTGACCGGTTTTACCATACTCGTCTTCCACAATAGACTGTAGTGTTATGAAAACCGTTTGGCAAATGCAAAATTTGGTTTCGATTTCCAATCATAAATATCTTGATAATCAGAGACAGGCGATCGGCTTGTAAAAGTCATGGGGTTCCTGACTGACCTAAAGGTTTATGATTATTATTGCAGTATGAGCTAAATCCAGGATTTTGTTTCGGAATCTGAGACAAAGCTACCGGATCCCTTTAAATGAAGTAGAATAGTTCTTGCAATGACATAACTATTGAAATCTACCACAGACTGTACGTTACTAATACATTCAGAAATCGACACTAACAGGTTCATATAACAAAAGGACTCTAAAGGCTAACTGCAGACCCATCCCCCCCCCCCCCCCCCCCCCAAAAAAAAAAAAAAAAAAAAAAAAAAAAATGCATAAAAGGAGATTGAAATTTTGACGAAACAACCTTGCACACAGAGATCTATAGAAGTCCAATCGATATTGAAAAGGGGTTAGTGTGGAGCCATGAGGCTAGGTGTACAAACTACAACTACATATATAATATTATACAATACAACAGAAGAGAGAGAGAGAGAAAGGGAGAGAGAGTGAGAGAAAGAGAGAGATAGGAGAGGAGGGGGTAGAGGAGAGAAAGGCAGATTAGACAGACTCAGTGACATATGGTTGGCTGTTAAGAGTCATAGAGAGAAGCAGAGAGAGAGAAAGAGCGACAAAGAGAGACGGACAGACAGAGAAAGAGTACATGTGCACATACATGCATAAGCACAAAAATAGTTTCCTTAATGTAAAGCCCATCTGTACTAGTTTGGCCAGGAGTGATTAGACCTCCCTGCGTGGACACTGGAAGGTGGTTATCTCATCAAATCAGCTTTAAATCAACATAATAAAAAGGGGACCATGGGGGACCAATGGTCACCAATTAGGCATTGTTTGCTATATAGAGGGCGCAAGTAGCTAAAAGTAGTGCAGTGGGGCTTTAAACACCAATGATGACATTTAATCGTCATTAGCCTACAGTAAGACATTAAAAAAAAGACATACCTTCTCCCATCAGAAATGTCATCAAACTCGAAGACGGCTTCTTCTTTCTCCTCCTCCGAGACCTTTCGAGTCTTGTTTTCCTCCTTCTCTCCATCGGGGCGTTTTAAGGCAAGCAGCTCTTGTTCTAGATTCTTGTTCTCTTTTGTATCCACTGTCACGTTGAACGTCACCTGAAAATTCAAAGAGACGTTTGATTTAGAGGGGATGTAGCATGGGAAATATTGGTTGACGCCATCTACATCTTCTTTTGGACAACTGCACGAAAACGAATGGACTTGATTAAATGGGTCAGCGCGCTAGCGTTCACGAAACAGACTGGAGTCTGTTCTCCTCACCCTTCGGTGTTGCACGCACGTGAATACGTAGTTCTACTCCGGTCGCGTCGTCTGTAGTCATATTATACCCGATTGGCCCCTGAGTCAGGCCACGGGAAAGAATTAGAAAGAAGAGAACTTTAAACTGTTATGGGATAATGAACTACTGCAAAAATTACATCAAGTGGGCTGTCATGTTTACTCTTGCCATATAACATCAGGGCTGCCAACCTCTGGAAAGAGTTTGGAGTGAGACATTGCAAGGGAGCGAAGCGCCCGAGGGGGGGACGGTAAGGAGCTTTTACAATTTTGCAATTGAAATGGTGCAATCTGGTGCATACTTTAACCCTTTATTCCAAATCAACTGTCTTTATAAGCTTAGCAGTTGAACCTCAACCTATGATTATCTGTAACAAAATGGACAAATCCTCACTCAACAGGAACATGCATACTAAAAACACTGAGCCACCTGGGCCGGGCTGGGGGCCGGGCGCGATGTACAGCGATGACAGGCCATGGCATCGACACTCGCTTGTCGTGTCTCGCACAAACACCCCGCTTCATACTAAAGTGACGACGTCACTCGCACACGCAGGATAAGCCAATCGTAATTCACTATCTTGTTTTTACGCGGCAAACCAAAACCAATTTGCATTGATGGTTTAGCTTTGCGCATGTGTGGTTAAAAAAATGTTGAAACTTTCGCCAGGGATATTGAATATCCGATATAACAGACATTTTTTATTTTTTAGTTTCTATTTTCGGGGTTTAGCGTGAGAATTCCTATGATCAGCGTGAGAGCGTGAGAATCGGGTGAATTGCGTGAGAGTTGGCAGCCCTGTAACATGTATGATGGAATGTTAAAAATAAGATTTATTGTTGCCAATTTGAGGAGCGAAAAGTGATTAATCAGAAAAAAAAAAAAAACTGCAAAACTTACATTGAGAGGGCTGTCATCCTTCCGCTTGCCTAAAATGTGGAAGGTCAACACACTTTCTGACATGTTCTTGTAGAGGAGTACGTGTACGGTCTTGAATTTCTGGGCGATCGTAGCTGTCCGGACGATGTCCCGGTTGTCGTACTTTCCCTCTGTGATGGTCGATCCCTCACCGAAAATTGGGGTTGCGTTGAAGTACACCACCAAGAGGCCTTGGGGAGAGAATCAAATTAGATTCAGATGCATTTTCAATGGGTTTTATCCGTTCAGAGTTTAATCTGAAATTCCCCCAGACAGTGAAGAGCATGGACATAACTGTCAAACGTTTGAGACCAAAAAATAGCTTTCTGAATGTGAGAGAATTTTGTGATTATTCACAATTAAATCGTTCTTATTCATGAACGGCTCAATGTAAAGCATTGGAAAAGGAGTACAAATTTTCTTTGATTTTTGCTTTCTGCTCACGTATAAAGTGTGATTCCTAGCAATCTGTATCAAAAGATAATGCCAAAATGTCTCTTAAAAGCCAGCTGTCCTAGTTCAGCCAGAAGGGATTAGACCACACAGCGAGGTCACTGACAGGTGGCTATCTCATTAACTCAGCTCTCAACTAACATAAGAAAAAGAGGATCATGGGGAACCATGGGGTAAGTTTTCTATATAGAGGGAGGAAGTAGCTACAAGTAGGACAGTGTGGCTTTAAAGAAGACACTGAACTGCTATGAAATAAAACAAATTGGGGGAGGGGGGGGGGGTATTACCTTTTGGTAGAGTGACAGACATTCCAGAGGCTGTGATGAGCACAGAGTAGATGGATGGAAGATTGACCTTGCCACAATCACCAGCATCAAAACCACATTGGCGTACGTTACAGGCCTGATGGAAGAATGGGAAGAAGAGGAGGAGGAGGAGAAAGAACAGGAAGAGCAGAAGAAGAAGAAGAAGAAGAGAAGAAGAAGAAGAAGAAGAAGAAGAAGAAGAGGAAGAAGAGAAGGAGAAGGAGGAGGAGAAGGAGGAGAAGAAGAATAGAAGAAGAAAAAGAAAAAGAGAAGAAGGAGAAGAACAGAAAAAGACAAGAAGGAGAAGAACAGAAGAAGAATAAGAGGAGAAGATACAAAACAAGAAAAGTTATGAGGAGGAAGGGTAAAGAAGAAAACAAAATAGTAAATAGACGTCCATTTCAAAAATTGCAAAAAATAACAATATATGCAAATTTACCTATTTAAAGTTTGGTGATCACAGCAGCTTGGAAACTGCTTTTTACATAATCAAGTTAAAAGAATTTGGTGTTACTCTCTAATGCTCTATTTCTGTTCGTCTGTTTGTCTGTCTGTCTGTGTGTCGCTCTCTCTTTCTCTTTCCTCTCTTTGCTTTTTGGGAGAGAGAAAGAGAGAGAGGGGGGTCCTAAATTATACCAGGGCTATAACAAGTAAAGATTCTCACCTGATCACAGTATTTGTCAGCTATCCAGCCGTTAGCACAACCAGTATTACAGTACACTATAAAACAAACATAAGGTTTATGATATATTTATAAGGTGTACACGTACATTTGTATGTAACAATTGCAACCATTGTAACCGTACAGTGTAAAACAAAGATAAGGTTAAGAATATGTCAATAAGGTATGTGTAACCATCACAAACAGTACCACAGTACACTGTTAAACAAACATAAGGTTTATAATATATCAATAAGGTACATGTAACGATCACTACCAGTATCATTTTTATCAATACATAAACCCAACTTACGGTAATAAACATAAGATTCACAATTCAATAATCATTATGAATTTTGCAATTACATTAAAAAATATAAAGCACTTGCTAATAACTCAACAAACAGATATTTTGGAACATAAATCTGTGTGCAGGAAAATATTGTGAGAATCATTAACGTGACCTTTAACTAATAAGACAAAATGCACATGGAGTCATGTTAGACGTTTGTTTCATTTTACAAGTAATGGCTATAAAGGGTATTGTTACTCACTCTGTTCCATGTTTGTGTTTGCTCCGTGTATACCTCCGATGGCACCACCCTGGGCCGATACACCTGGGGAAAGTAAGGGGACAGGAGAGGGTTAGCTGCTGAAAAATCGATTCATGTACAAAATTGTTTTGCTTGTCTATAAATGTACTCTTAAGGCCTGTTTTCATCAGCTCGAGGTTGCCAAATATCCCACTACTTCAACCTATCATCCAGCTAATTTGCGTCATCAGCCCGAAGTCGCGATTAGCGGGATATTTGGTCGAGATAATAATCCCAAGATATCTTGGGCTAGTTTGCAAAATATCTAGCTATTTGTCCGGTGCGTCCTCACCAGTCCGAAGACTCGCACTATGCGTGGATGCTAATTTCTCGAGATCGAGTTTCAAGTTCCGGGGTCAAGTCTCGAGCTCATGAAGATGCGATTTGGTACTTTGGGATTATTTCCCAAATCAAAAATAGCGGGCTATTTGGCAATCTCGAGCTGATGAAGACGGGCTTTTAGAGATAGTCCTCTGCATACGATGGCACCAATGCACGAGTCACATCATTTTCTTACCTGTACAATCGCCACCATCCCATTCGCATTCAGAATTATTGCAAGCTTTGTCACAATAATTATCCTTGATCCAGGATGATGGACACCCCTCTGCACAATTTGGAACAGGCCATGTCAAATACACCTAGGGAAGAAACAAAATTACAAGACACATTTATATAAAGGATTCTTCTTTTTTAAATTTTGTCTTTTTTCATTGATATCATCATTATTTGTTATTTTCATTCTTATCATAAGAATAACATGCATTATATCTCTATCGCTACTATTGACAGCAATGCTCTTATTGTTAATTAAAGTTGGATTTATCATTATAATATCTAACTTTAACATCATCATCATCATAACTCTCCTCCTCCTCTTCCTCCTCATCACCATTCATCATTATCACCATCACCACCATAATCATCATCATCACCACCACCACCACCACCCCATCATCATCATCATCATCATCATCATCATCATTATCATCATCATCATCATCATCATCACCAATCATCATCACCATCATCATCATCATCATCATCATCATCATCATCATTATCATCATCATCATCACCATCACCACCATAATCATCACCATCACCACCACCACCACCACCCCATCATCATCATCATCATCATCATCATCATCATCATCACCATCATCATCATCACCATCACCACCACCACCACCACCCCATCATCATCATCATCATCATCATCATCATCATCATTATCATCATCATCATCATCATCATCACCAATCATCATCACCATCATCATCATCATCATCATCATCATCATCATCATTATCATCATCATCATCACCATCACCACCATAATCATCACCATCACCACCACCACCACCACCCCATCATCATCATCATCATCATCATCATCATCATCATCACCATCATCATCATCATCATCATTATCATCATCATCACCATCACCATCATCATCATCATCATCATCATCATTATCATCATCATTATCATCATCATCATCATCATCATCATCACCATCATCATCATCATCACCATCATCATTATCATCATCATCATTATCCTCATCATCATCATCATCATCATTATCATCATCATCATCACCATCATCATCATCATCATCATTATCATCATCATTATCATCATCATCATCATCATCATCACCATCATCATCATCATCATCATCATCATCATCATCATCATCATCATCATCATCATCATCATCATCATTATCATCATCATCATCATCATTATCATCATCATCATCATTCTCCTCCTCCTCCCCCTCCTCCTCCTCATCATCATCATCATCACCAGTACCTTCTGCCCCGAGGCGTGTGTGTAAAAATCATCGGGCCAGATATCCTTTCCAAACATGGTGTCGTCGTTGAGGTAAATGAATTTCTTTGAGAGTCCCGGTATCCGATGGATATGAGATTCAATGGCCGGGGAGCTGAAGGTGGGCAAGTGGGACTGGTTGCGGAATATCTCCTGCAAATCAAGAAAATATGAAAATGATAATACAATGTAGTAATGGTGGTCTGCTGTAATCATAAAGTCTAACTTGATTTATTCCTATGATTAAAAGGTATAAACCAGTTCTGGTCATGCGATTGCATTGTGATCGAAACTTTGTGGAATCAATCAGAAAAGGTTGATCATCTAGCATATAAGTATTGGTGTGAACTGCAAGGTTCTGGAATCATCAACATGATAAGAAATTTGGCCCAGTCTTGGTAAAGTAACAAGTACTGTACACAAAAGATGTATAAGGGACTACAAAAACATGTGGCATATAAATTTGGCCTCCATTTTAAGCTGTTACTTGTCATATTTAGAATATGAAGGCATTTGAAGAGCCATGCTTGTCTGGGAAATAAATTTCTCTGATGTTTTTCCACACTTGCATAATAACAATGATCCAGACTGGTAACCCTTAAATACTATCACATTCAACGTTCACATAATGATACTTACATCATGAGAAACTATCACCAGTCTTGGGTTGTCTAAATTCAACCAGGAAGGTATCTGACCATTGGTAACAACATAAACACGGCGTATCCAGGGGGCGTGTTTCTCTAACGACCGTAGTGAGTATCTTAATTCCTGGAATTTGAACACAAAAACATAATCTCCTTAATAATATAAACACCATCCTAAATTCACTACATCCATTGCAAAACAATTTCAATATCCGACAGTGACAAAGCCTCATAAAATAAAATGGCACCTGGCAGGAATGCTGCCCAGGGATCGGAGAATGTGCATACAGTCTGTGTGGGCAAGCCTGAATGAGTAGGGTAATAATATGTCGGTAAAACGCTTAGGGACATCGTCGGTGCATATGAACACAGAATATTATTATTTTGATAAATAGCACTATATTAATTGGTGAAACAATAGGTGATAATTTACACGCAATTATGGGTATATTTAAAAAATGAAAACATAACCATTATTTTCATACAGAATCGAAACAACGTAACAACAGATTGTAAGATTCATATTGTCATATAAATGATTGAAATACTTTTTATTTGTGACTCCGACACATTAAAAATTTGAATGTTTTCAAACTTTACCTCGTTATCTTCAAATCTATTAGGTGCGTAATCCTCATCTGGTCGAGATTCTTCCTGTAAAATAAACAACAATCAAGATATTCAATAATATCAAAATCCATGGAAATTGACCCAAATTCATGAATGCATTTTACATCTAACCAAAGGATCAAATAGTAGAGACCATCTCCAGATGAAAATGGCCTGGGGGGTGTTTCACAAAGATTCTAAGTCGAACTTAACTCTAAGTTGGACTTAAATATTATGAAGAGCTATTTGTAGCCTTATAATGAAACATATTCAAAAGCAAAAACTCAAGTATTTTAGACTGTTCATAATTTCCACATCAAGAACATGCAATCTCCCATGATAATAGAAAATATGAATGATTTGAATCAACATTTTATGTCTTTTAAAATAACTTTTACAAAATATTTTCAAGGATGCTAACAGCTTTCCATAACTTTTAAGTCCAACTTAGAGATAAGTTCAACTTAGGATCTTTGTGAAACACCCCCCTGGACCAGTATTTATTTCAATATTTAAATTAGAATAATTACTATTTTACTCAGTGTCTGTCTTTTAGATAGAAAACATGCCAAATTTGTCATTTTTTGAGTGAATTTGTTTTCTATTTATTTCAACCCAAGTCTGACTAGAAGTCACAAAAAAGGCCAAAAAGAAGGCCAAAAAATAGGAAAGGTTGGCAGCTATAAATTCCTCATTCCTCACTTTTGAGCACATCTAATGTTAATCATCTCGTATAAATCAGGAGTGTCGTGGTCGAGTGGTTTAAGGCGCTTGACTGGAGATGCAAAGGTCGAGGGTTCAAATCCCGACATGGCACTAATATCCTTTTGGCAAGGTATTAACCTACACTTGCTACTCTCCACCCAGGTAGGATGTGAAAGTTCATGTGATTGGACAAGCAAGTGTGCACTTGTAAAATGGCGACTGGCTGGAATGCTCCCAAGGGAGTGGAAAATGTGCATACATTGTGTGCTGGTAAGCCTGAATTCGATGACCGGGGTAATAATATGTCTGTAAAGCACTTAGGCACATCGTTGTATCGATGTATTTGGCACTATATAAAAGCGAAATGTTATTATTATTATTAAATCATATTTATAACAGATTATAAATCTTACATGTTCCATATTCCAGACGAGGTAGGCCTTGCTGACTTTAAGAGTACTGGTTGTGTTTGTCTTCTCTGCCTGTGGATGAAAAGAAGAAATAACATCAATTAGAATTTTTGTAAATGACAAGCAGCATACCAACTCTAAATTCACAGAAAATATAACTTTAGACTGATTCCATTTAAATATGATTTCCCATGTACTCAAATCTGTATCCAGCGTTTTTCATTGTTGGTTGATTTTAATACATATTTAGCTAATTTATTAAAATTTGACTGGCAAAATTTAGGTTTTCTGCGTACAACCGGAAACCCAAACTATGTATTCTTTTATTATCTTTGCAGATTGTGTGTCTTAAATGACTTCCTCTTTCATATTATAATACAATTCAAGTGAAATTTTGCCATCAAATTTGTGGGAAATCTGGGGCTCCCAACACTTTAGAGGGGCTTTAACAAACTCCAGAGAAATTTGTCGCCCAAAACCTCTTCTTTATTTATTTTTTTTTTTTTTTTACTTACGTCTGATACAAGGTCGTTTATGACATCAGGATCCGTGATGAAAACAATTGCAAGACCATGCACATTCTCAACAAGAACCTAACAGATAAAACAAAAGCAAACAACATTAATGATAATGATGAGGACGATGATGATAATAATGATGATGATGATGATGATGATGGTAATTATGAAGATGATGACTATGATGATGATGATGATGATGATGATGATGGTGATGATGATGGTGATGATGATGATGATGATGATGGTGATGATGATGATGATGACGATTATGATGATGATGATGATGATTTTTTTTTTTAAAGCTTTTTTTGTCATTTTCATCACATTGTGGAAAGAACAAATTGAATAGACATGTTTACTAACCTATTGTATGAATATTTTTAAAACAAAGGTCATTCTTGACAAGCGTGCCCAATGCTTGCCCAACATAGCAACAAGTATCGTATGCAGAATGGATTCCAAGTATCATGGTTCATTTATTAATGGAAGTAAGTAAATGGAATAACTCGTCACTCGTCTCGGGAAAGATACATTTATAAGTAAACCATTCTAGCAAAATTTAAAATATACTGATGAAAACACTGCAGACTGAAACTTAAAAAATATACTGACAAAAAAATATATACTAAACACGGCAGAAACTTACCTCTCCTATCTTCTCTTGGTATGGTTGGTCTATCCTAAGTTTTACTTGTTCTTTTGTTGTATCTTTTTCAACACCGGTGATAAGTACTCTGTCATTCAATGCGACACTCCCTGTTGCTGTCCAATCAGATGTCTGTCAAAAATAAAAACAAATAGGATAGGCATGACAGGAATTATATATATATGTTTATAAGATGCTGAAGCGGATCCTAATCAAATGATTGGTTGAGAGCGTACACATGACCAGGAATTTATTTTGCCTGTCACATAATTTTACTAATGATCGGACATTAGCAAATACTAATGACCAGTCATTAGTAAAATCATGTTATAAAACGTCATTTTTGAAAAAACAAATAAAACATCATCTTATAAAACAAATAATACACATCATTTTGTGCCTTTGAAACAGTCCAAACATAGACTGTTCCAAAGGTACCTTGTGTGGGTAATGCGTATCAATGCACTCACTGCTGTGTATTATTTGTATAATATACGGTCAAACTAGTCTATAGCGACCGCCCAAGGGAAACACAAAAAGTGGTCTTTGTAGACAGGTGGTCACTAAAGCAGGTTTGACTGTATACACATGCACCATGTGCAGGGCTCCAGGCTAATTTGGGGGGGGGGGGGACGGACGAGGGCTGGATGGAACATTTCAAAGTCTGTATGCATCATACCTATCATACAATGGAAGCTGACCTAGGGAAGTTCAGATAAATTCAATCAACTTAACATCCACTAGACCACTTGACACTAACAGGTGCCCGAGACACTTTAGGCCTATCTTTATCGGACCGAAGTTGCAAAATAACCCTCCATTTTAACTAGCCCGATCTCAAATTAGCCAGCTATTTGGAAATAGCGGGTTAATTTGCACAAGTTTGTGATAAGCGTATCGGTCTGGTGAAAACACAATTTCAAGCATTGGGAAAATATTCAGAGTCTGAAAATAGCAGGTTATTTTGCAACGTCGGTCTGATGACGAAAGACCCATGGGCGCCTAAACTCCAAGTTCGGACCCCTAATGTAATGTTAGAACATTGTATGATATGTTTCATGCATACAGACTCTGAACTCAACCTTCTCCTTAATTCAGAAGCTAATCTGAATTCATTTTGAACAGTCTGCAAATCGTGTCTCGTGACATTATCTGGCCACAAAAATCATGTACATGCTCATTCAACTACTGCACCATCTTGCCTGTGTAACCTACATGTATATCTAACTAACTCAAGTACAGCATCTCCCCTGAACAGCATAATTGACCTTGATCAGCAACATTATCAATGATTTACTAACCTCAAAGGCTAATTAAATGCAAGGAATAATACATGAGTGGAGTTTTTTTTATGAATACTTACGATGTATCCTTTCGATAAGGTGTAGTTCTTATTATTCAGTGATAAGGACTGTAATGCTTTCATCACTGCATCAACTGAAAAGAGAAGGACAAAAAACGCAGGATATGTTACTGAAGAACAGACAATTTGCAACTACACAATATTCTTGATATGAAATCTTAGATCACTCATCTACAACTTCTTATGAAACATATTTCCTTCTTTCCATTCTCTCTCTTTGTCTGTCAGTATATCTGTCTCTCTCTCTTCCTGTGTCTGTGTCTATGTCTCTCTCTCTCTCGCTTTATGTCTCTTGCTCTGTGTGTGTGTGTGTCTCTCTCTCTGTATGTCTGTCTCTCTGTTGTTCTATCTGTCTGTCTGTATGTCTCTATCTGTCTGTCTCTGTCTCTCTGTCTCTCTCTCTCTGTCTTTCTGTCTCTCTCTCCCCCTCCCTCTCTCTCTCTGTCTATCTCTCTCTCCCTCTCTCTGTCTGTATGTCTCTATCTGTCTGTCTCTGTATGTCTCTCTCTCTCTCTGTCTTTCTGTCTCTCTCTCCCTCTCCCCCTCTCTCTATCTCTCTCTCCCTCTCTCTGTCTGTCTGTTTACCTGCCTATCTCTCTCTCAATGCCACACAACAAATGAATGCTATCAGTAAACAGTTTAACATCATAAATTGATGACGATCAATTCACAACTTACCTTCCTCTCGCTTCGAAAACTGAAGCAGGGAATTCGTTTTGCCTCCTTCTTTTGTAATGTTTGAAATCTTGTTAATTCTAAGAAGGGAGCCCTCTATAACCCCGAGCCGGTTAACCGTGACCAATCTATCCAGGAAGGGATTGGTGATCATTACCGCCCCGGCTATACAGTCTTTTAATCTGCAATGGAATGAACTGGATAAAACACACAGAGAGTGATATGAAGAAAAAAAACAACATGTTATTACAAAGATGTGAATATATTGCATAGTTAACAACTTGATTATTCATATCCCTTGTTAACTTGATGTTTTTCATAACTCAAGAATGAGCTGAATTGTGGCCTTTGACGTAGGTCGAATACTTTTAGATGAAAGCTTTAAAGCGTATCTGCCATAGTTTACAGGAGGGATTAGACTGCCCTGCAAGGTCACTGGACAGGTGGTTATCTCATCAACTCAGCTCTCAGTTAACATAAGAAAAAGAGGATCATGGGGGACCAATGGTCACCGATTAGGCATTGTTTGTTATATAGAGGGCGCAAGTAGCTACAAGTAGTGCAGTGGGCCTTTAATATGCCACATTCTCATGAAATCAGGACAAATCAGTTTTTCACATACTTAAAACAATACAAAACCTGGTAAAGGGACTTTGTAATAATTCAGAATACTTTACAATATCATATTGAACCTGTGACCTTCCAGTTTTATAACTATGTACTTCCACTGGACCTTTAGGGATGTCTTCATCAGCTCGAGATTGCCAAATAACCCGCTATTTTAACTATCCTGATAGCAAATTATCCAGCGTCTTCATCAGTCCGAAGATGCAATTAGCGGGATATTTGGTCGAGATAATCATCCCAAGGTACCTTGGGCTAGTTTGCAAAATATCCTGCAATTTCATTTGTCCAGTGCGTCTTCACCAGCCCGAAGACTCGCACTATGCCCGAACGCTGAGCAAAATATCCCGAGCTAATTTATCAAGCTCTAGTTTCAAGGTTTGAGGTCAAGTCTCGAGCTGATGAGGATGCAATTGGTAACTTAGCTATGTGGCAATCTCGAGCCGATGAAGCCAGGCCTATTGTTCTACTAACCTTGTACTATTATCAGGGGTCTGGGCCGTGCTCGATTCAAGCTCTCTCTTCACTCGCTCCAGGTCTCGTAATAGCTTTGCATCTGAACCATTGACCCACGTATACACGGCATCGATGGGTATAGGAAGACACATCCTAAACAGCAAAAAAAACCAAACATGAAATGAAATAAAAGCCACACAGTCGTTTCCATGACGGGTATGGCATCATAATTCGCTGATGCCAAAGTTGGTTGAATTGCCAGGTAACGTGTGTACAGGTTTCCCGGGCAGCGAAACCTTTGACCTACTATGGATAAAGTAAGTTTTTACTTTAAAGCAGTCATGACTGCCCGACTCCTTGAGCCAATAGAACAGTACAATTTGAAACTACCGTAGACATGACGTTAACAAAAAAGTCTTTGATTTTAACAGTTCCTTTGATTTCGAACTTAACAAATGTTTAATTTCTTGTTTCTCTCTTCATCTATTATTCATAGAATGATCTCTCTGCTGCAAAACTTGCTAACTCTCAGATGTACATGTATGCACCTCGCCATTTGCTTTGTACTGCAATTTCAAACTTTTCCCTTTTCTTGTACCGGTAATCGATGAAAAAAATAATACATGAAGCACAGCTTGGTATCTTTGAGATGCAATGAACCTTACAAACCCTTATTCCATTCACTCTGTACCAAAAATTTCACACGTGTACAGTACATACTTTTGTTTTTAGATGGGTAATAAATAAATTGAAACAAATCTGGTGATGTACCCTGTACCTTGCAACAAGCACATCTCCTATTTGTACTGAAGATTCTATACGTTTCCAATTTCATGGATGTTGAACATGAAATACCCGGTAGACCTTTTTTTTTCCTTCAATGCACAACAAGTCCTAGGGCACCAACGCACAAGTATCATCATTTGTTCAGAAAAGGGGATCTCCATGAATTCTTAGAACAGAACAATGGCATCATAAGGACTCAAACGTACACAAAAGGAATCACATGAAGGGGTTTCAATGGCCTTACCTGTTTTCGAATGCTTTGTTTGCGATATTGTCGTGATAAATGTTGAACAGTCTGGAATACCTGTCCTGACTCCATTCAATTGCAACCTGTCACAAATAAATAAAAAGTTTCACGACTCACTCAACGACATATATTTTTAAAAGAATCCTTTAACATTAATGTCAAATCTGATGCACGGCCCTACATGTACGTGTTATCAGTGTCTGTGATATGGTGTAATATTGAAGTCCTAAAAAAAATTGCGCTTCAAAATGATCATGAAGTGCCTCAAAAAAGTAAAAATCTATGTATAAATATCTTGATAATCAGACAAGCAATCGGCTTGTAAAACTCATAGGGTTTCTGACAGACCTAAAGGTTTATAATTATCATGGCATCATGGGGCTTTGACAAAAAAGGAGGAGGCAGGGCATTACTATTTACTATTTTGCAATTTTTTTTCCAAGATGGCTGCCATGCTATTATGCTATTTATAGCTGGCCAAGCCTATTTATTCACAGATATTGTGCTATGCGAGTATACTGATGCAATGTGTGGCAAAATAAATGATTTGGATCACTTTAGAAGCTAATTTCAACAAAATTAATATCACAGGCTTTTTTTCTTCTGAATAGTAAATAGTAAAAAAAAAAAAAAGGAGGTGACAGCCAAAAAGAAGGTGGCGGCCAAAAAGAAGGTGGCGGCCAAAAAGAAGGTGGCGGCCAAAAAGAAGGTGGCGGCCAAAAAGAAGTTGGCGGCCAAAAAGGAGGTGGCGGCCAAAAAGGAGGTGACGGCCAAAAAGAAGGTGGCGGCCAAAAAGAAGGTGGCGGCCAAAAAGAAGGTGGCGGCCAAAAAGAAGGTGGCGGCCAAAAAGAAGGTGGCGGCCAAAAAGAAGGTGGCGGCCAAAAAGAAGGTGGCGGCCAAAAAGAAGGTGGCGGCCAAAAAGAAGGTGGCGGCCAAAAAGAAGGTGGCGGCCAAAAAGAAGGTGGCGGCCAAAAAGAAGGTGGCGGCCAAAATGGAGGTGGGGAGGGACGAGAAACACTTCATTTTTGATATTTGGCCTTTAATACAACCAACTTAATATCAGAGATTTCAGGGTGGACTTCCCCTTTAAAATTCAAACATATGTAGCTAAAGCCTCGGTCACAAATGCCATTACGAACTGCTATGAACGGTGTACGAACGATTTTCAGACAATGGAAATTCGGGAAGACAATAGAAAAACAGGGAGATTCGTACAAAATTATCGTTCGTACAAACCTTTGTGACCGTAGCATAATTTTCAAACCTGCACTGTTTCATTTTTAAACACTTGTGGACCATCTTCAATTCATATAAAAATTAAATCAGGACATGAATTCTAAAAGGGCTCACTAGCACTAGCTTTCTCCTTCTTCAGATTTCTATCTTGCTACATTTTCAAAATCAGAATAATAAAAACAAACATGAAATCAGAACCTGTATGCACATATATGTACATATGTGCACATTAAAAACTTGACATAAATGTATATTATTAATATAGCAAACAGCAATTGAATTTAATATTATTCAACATTTCCCTAGTTCACAGACTGGCTCGATATTGTTAATGACAAACATTAATGCCCGGGACAAAAAGGCTAAGTGAGAAGAATACATGCATTTGCTCTTTCACTTCAAAAAACATCTGGTATAATCAGAAATTACTGAGGCGAAACACTAAAAGTGGGCAATTATCTTTTCAAACTACACGGCTGTACATGGGTACTTTATTAAAAAAGAGGCAGAAAAGGTCTCTCTCTCTCTGTCGATGCCACACACAAACACACACACAACAACAACAAAAAGTATGCTATCAGTACACAGTGTAACAACATACAGTAAATTAATGACGATCGATTCACAACTTACCTTCCTCTCTCTCTTCATCACTATTTTTGTGTTTCTCTCTTTCTCTCTCACACTCTTTTGCCACTCCCCCTTTTCTCTCTCTCTCTCTCTCTCTCTCTCTCTTTCAAATTCTTTCTTTACATCTTCTACAGTACATAAACCTCTTGATTATTTCCCTTTGAACCCCCCCCCCCCCCTCCCCTCCCCACGTACTTACTGTGTGAATATCTGAGCAGTGCGAAATACCCTGTGAACATCCAAGATTCTATGCATTTCAAAAACCCTACATACAGCCAATTATTTTTAGGGATTTTAAGAGAAATCAGGATATTCAGCTTTTCAAGATGAACACAAATAAATAGGTAAATATAGGTAAATTATCTTAGTAATCCATCAACACATAATTTACTTGGGGAAATTTTGTAATTACACAGCTGTACTACACCATATTGGTAGAGTCAATAAAAAGTTGTACAAAATACGTGCATTTTACTGCAGAGGCCAGGTCTGTAACCTGTACCTGTGTCAATATTTGCACAAATCTCTTTCTTTCACTATTGAGCAAACATAATTGCACAGAATCAGAGCATTGTACTAATCAAATAGCTTGAATGTTAACAACTCTGAAATTAAAGACAAACATTACCTGAGAAAAAAAAGGAAAGATGAATGTGACTGCATCTATATGCCTCCATCTATTCATATAATATAGCACAAATTCTTTGCATTTAAATGTATTTGAGCCCAGTGGTGTTGATTTTGGTTGAATTTTGTTCACTTTTCACTGTATGAGATACTTTTTATGGCACATTTTACACTTTTATGACCTTTGAACTTGTGACCTTTGACCTCTGACCTCTTCCACCCATAATCTTCTCAGTTAATCCTTGCATGCCCATATTCATCAAGTTGTGGTTAGAATTGCTTCAATGCTTTCCATGTGAAGACAAGAGAAGCTCTAGAGTATTTTTTAACAATTTAATAACCCTGTGACCTATGAACTCTTACAGACTTATAATCTTCTCAGTTCAGCAATGAATGCTTGTACATACTTCATCTACGTTTGGTTTGAATTGCTACTCTGCTGGAGCGGGACAAGTTATCACAATAACAAGATATTTTCCTGGATTTTTAACACTTTTAGGACACTGTGAGTGTGACCTAAATTGACCTCTTACACCCGTAATTTACTCAGTTCATCAATGCATGCTCATACAGAGATGCCAACCTTGTGACACAACAAAAATGACTGAATATCCTTAAAAAAAAACAATTTTTTGAGAGAAAAAACAGCTTTTCACAAAAACTTGACACAACCACTGGGGCCGTTCGCCCTGGGCCAGTAAAATGTCAGGAAAATGTTTTACCGGTACGAAAGGGCAAGTAAAATGTTCGCTCTTTCATTATTACATTAAATGAAAAATTGTAACGCATCAGTAATAATTCTCATGATGCAAAAAGGGTGTTTAAGTGCATAATAAGAATAATGAAACAACTTAATTGCTTGCCTATTTTGGGCCAAAGAGGCGATATTGTATTATCATATTTCATTTTTGTTATCGTACTGGTTGGCATCTCTGCTCATACATGTAACATGTACATACCATATATGGACATATTTGGTTTGAAATGCTTCAAAAATAATAATAATAATAACAGTAATTCTTGTTTACCAAGGGTAGCCGAGTTACCATGGTAACAAGATATTTTCTAGTACATTCAACACTTATGTCTTGCCCAAATACTTAAAATTAAACTGCATTTAACATTTCTTACATCTATGTTCATCTCAATCCTCCTTATTAGTTGTCCCTAAGACGCGCAGTTCCTGGAGGGATAGATCCTTTTCTCATTCTGGTCCACCCCTTTGGAATAAGCTACCACTTAGTATTTGTAGCTTAACAGCCCTCCATGACTTCAAAGTTGCTCTAAAACCCATCTCTTTCATAACAGTTCTATATAATAATGACAATTATAATTGTGGCGTAGTAATTTGTATTGTTTTAGTTTACCTTTAGTTATGAAAGTGATATGCTTGTGATTGGGGCATCTGATATTTGTGGTATGTACAGCGAGATGAGTGTCAGAGCCTGGCGAATACCGGCGCTAAATAAATATCCATATTATTATTATTATTAACATTTCTTACCTCTCCAAACTGAAATGCTGAGACGATGACCAGGACGATACCGCTGAAGATGAGGAGAATGCCATAACGATGAGAAAGGAATGTATACGTTTGCTTCTGGACTATCTTGAACATCTTGCTTCATGAGTAGGTACTGTGCCAGGTCAGAAAGGAACAAATCAGAAGTATTATGGGTTTAATTTAATTAGGATTCTGAAAAAGATGCCAACGACCAATTTTTTTTTATTAATAAAATGTGCCCAAAGTGCCCAATTTTTTTTAAGGGCCTGCCATTGTGTTTTTGCATTTCAGAAGAATTTTTTTTTTGGTGTATAAAAAAAACACTATGAACAACGACACAAAAATGAAATTTTGGATTAGGTTAAGACCCACAGAAGACCACAGGGGCCGGAAGTTGCTCCAACTATAATCTATATCTATAGGCAGATTAGAAATTCTTAAACTAAAGCCCCTCTTAAGTGTTGGGAGCCCCAAATTTGCCAAATGTTCGATGGGAAAATTCATTTAAATTCTATCATAATGTTTGGGAGGATGTCATTTAAGACACACTTCTGCAAAGATTTACCCCAAAAAATGTTTTTGAAGACATATATTAATATTGGAATACATAATTTAGGTTTTCTGTTGTATACAGGAAATCTAAATCTTGTATTCTTTTATCAATATTCGACTTTAAACTGATTTGCTTTAAAAAAAAACCTCGCAGAACATGAGATTGTATTAAAAGGCAACAACTCTAAGATAAAAAAAAAACATAATACAAACGAAACTCTTCAACAAATAAGACAAAGTAAAACAGATGGGAATACAAATACAATGATGATACAATATGTATGGTCACCGTCACACGATATAAAAAAACACATTACAAAAGTTGCCAATGAATTATGATAATTTTCTTTTCTTCCTTTTTTTTTGCGGGGGGGGGGGGGGGGGCAGATGTTTCTGTATTTATTGAAAAATCAAATATAAAATATTTGAATAATAATAATAGGATATAACATAATTTACATAAAATGTGGGAATTGAAATACAAAAAAAAGTACATATATACCGGTAATTGAAAACTTAAAATTATGGAGGTAAATCAAAGAATCAAGATAAATCAAGATCCTAAAAAGATATGACAAGTTTGGAGTCGAGACAAATGAATTGTTGGCCCGACAAGGAAGTTGTCGCTACTTGCTAGTCATGGCAAAGTCAGTTTTCTGATGCACTTTGCAGGAAAGTCGAGCGACAACATTGAGATGTCTGTGATATTGTAGTTATGACAGTTTCACGAAACGATCCCCACATATATTCTTATTTTACTAGCACAAGAGGTTTAAGACAAAAAAGTGAGCAAAGAAACTTTGTGCAATTACAGCCCACTGACAAAAATATGATGTTTGATGATTGGCCGTTTTCTTCTTTTTCTCATTCTTTTTGTTTTTGTTTTTTGTTTCTTATTCTCCTTCTCCTAGTATTTACTCCTTTTTCACCTTCATCTATATCTTCTTCTTTTTTCTTCTCCTCCTTTTCCCCATATTTATTCTGCTTCTTCTTGATCTTGTTTTTCTTCCTCACCCTTCCTCTTCTCTAAGACTTTTTTTTTTGTAGCATTACTCCTGCTTTTATTGCTTTTCCCTGTTCTTCTTCTCTTACTTTTCTATTTTGTTTGTGTAGCTATCAGCTATTCCAGAAGTTGTATTGCTCCTCCTCTTCTCCTTCTCTTATTTTTTTCAAAGAATAATTCCAGATCTTAGTTGTATTGCTGCTGCTGCCACTCCTCCTCCCAGGAATCCTCCCCTCTTCCTCTTTTTCTTCCTTTTCTTCTTCCTTTTGAGTACAGACCTCTTTACAGAGTATTATCGTACTATACTGGGGGTGTGTGCAGGTGGACCACTACACCGGGGTTTCCCCCTACTCGTATCCGAATAGTGCAGTGGGTTATTAACGTGCAAAGGTAGTGACTCTTCCCTACACGGGGCCTCCATTTAACGTCCTATCTGAGGGACGGAGTGTTTTCCACTTGACATAACCTGCGTCTATGAACAAGGGAAGGGGCACGCTAACACACAACGCAGGCTTCAGTCATCCGACTGGGTGGGAGTCGAACCCGGGATCTTTGGTTCGACAGAGGGTCGCTTTACCGACTGAGCCAACTCGCCTCCTCTTCTTCTTTTTTATCTTCTTCTTCTTCTTCTTCATTTTTTCTTCTTCTTTTTTATCTTCTTCTTCTTCTTTGTTGTCTTGTTCTTTTCCTACATCACTTTCAGCCCGTCAAATTTTAATTACACAGATGCGGTGCGAAAAAGAGTCAATGTCAAAGACAGTGTCTGAACGATTTTTCAATTTTCAATTTGGGATCGTTTTTCACCATTTTTGTTTGATATTTGAATAAAAAATGTTATCAGAATAATACATTTCAAATTTCAAGTCTCACCGATGTTTCTATCAAAAGTTACAGCCCCTCCAACACGCTGGTATATTCATATCATTTTGGTCAAAATCGACGAAAAAGACGTCCACGCAGAGTGATGTTGTTTTGCTAAATTTAGCCAAACAGCTGTATCGCGCGATATGCAAGCGTATGCATATCGTACGCATGCTGCTAAGCCAATCCGCGACTTGCAGCTTGAGCTACGCTGTCTCCGCGACATGTGCGATTGACTAGTATGGTTGGCGTTCGTCGCACAATAAACCCGGAAGTGAATGCACGTTATAGTCAATGGCAATATCGCGGAGACAACGCACGTTGTCTCCGCGATATTGCCATTGACTATAACGTGTATTCACTTCCGGGTTTATCGAGGGAATTGCCAACCATAATTTCAGTCACTATAACGTGTAATTGAATTTGGGGTTTCGTTCGTGCGCGGAGATGTTACGCGATGTAACCATGGTTTGGACTGAGCGGAGCGCACGCCTCCTAATTAGCTGATCCACCAAATAGCGAGAAGGGTATTT